CGATGTCAACAGAGCTCGGGACAAGATTGAACGGCTCCTTCGCAACATTGAGGAGCTCCAACATAACGACTCGGACGCGCAGCTGCTGGCCCGCCGCGCCGAGCGAGACCTCCGCGAAGAGCGTGAGAAAGCATTGCGACTGGAACGCGAGCTGGAGGGCTGGAAGGCCCTGCGCGTTGAGCGGGGCAGTACCATTGGGCGTGGCGCCGTGCCCTTCAGTGATGCCGGAAGCCGCCGCGGGAGTGGTGCCTACGGATCTAATGACATTCCCCAACGGCAACCCAGCAATACTAAGGGCTTTTTGTGAATATGGATGAAGTGATGTTTAGCAGGCTGATCCCTGCTCGGAGTTGTAACAACTATTATGGATGGATGTTCTGTGTTAATGACGTTTATTTGCATTTGGGAAAGGGCTGTTACAGTCTTTTCTGCTGGCCTTGCGCTTGTTCATATTATTTGAAAGGCCAAGCTTTTATCCCTTGGTCTGTATTTTCCGGCGTTCATTTTTGTTTCTGTTTTGTTCATGAGTAAATATGGTCCACGGGTGGACTAACATATCTACAATGACGAGAATGTAACAACTCATCAACCTCTCCATTTAGCAGTCTTCTTTTTAAGATACGTTCTAATACTGCTTGACTATTACCACTATAGGGCAGTGCATATTTTGGGAGAGACAACCTCTGGATGGTTCCCTGTTTTCAGTCTGCAATAGTCGATCCATAGCGCTTCCTTGCCTGCAGCTACATGCGTACATCGTATATGTATTCCAAAAAAGATCAAGTATAGCAAAGTCTCTCTCTGTTATAATATACCTATATGGGTTGGTGCTATGTGTGCTTGAAGGGGCTATAACTACTGGCAAAGTCGAAGCTTTCGCTCACCAGAGCAGACGTTTCTCAATCTGATAGCCTCGAGCATGCTCCTGACTTAGATCATTCAAAGACATACCACACGTCCAATGTGTCATCGTTTGGACGTTTTCGGCAATCATTGCACAAAGGGGGTCAGCCATATATTGCTTGAACATCTGGAGAGGAATCCGAAGGGTCATTCGGGGAAGATCGTGATAGAATTTATGGACACCCCAGAGGAGCTGATTTCGATGATCATTAACAAGGATATACGCTACATGTTAGTGAATATTGCAGGTGTCGGATGGGCTGTTGGAGTCAATTGGGGTTCTACTTGTTTGTTTACCCGTATGACTTCTGCTCATTAGCTCATTTTTACCATGCCATCTCATAATAGAAAGTGATATATGGATATTCAGAAGTCATTTGCCATCTGAACCAATTGCAGCCACCGCAGAACCACATGTTTCTCGCATTGACTTCTGATTGAATATCCTCTTTGTAGTAAACTTGTTGGTGCCTCACTGTGACACAACGTGTTGGTTGCGGATACAACCATAATATTGGTCAAGGGTTACAAGAAGAATTGCTGTTTTTGAGTATATATTCGAAAGCGCCAACAAACTCAACAGACCTGTTGGATGGTGGACTGACGTTGACAATATGTGGAAACAAGGCACGTGATATCCGCGCGGCAAGCGGCAATTAGCGCGCGACTTCACTTCAAGCTGTCAAGCTCATGATTTCCTCTCCGGATTTCTTCCCTGCCAACGCCCACGATACCCGACTTATTCGGGTCGCTGACTTGGTCAATTATTCATAATGGTAAGACTCACCCTTACCGGCTCAACTCCACGAGAAAATCCCTATCTCTAGGTCCGGTCACATTTTGCTAACCCAACCCCCGCCTATGTAACAGGCACGCAACAGCGAAAAAGCGCAGTCGATGCTGTTCCGCTTCCGAGCGCAGCAAGCATCCGACCTTGGAATCATTGATCTCTCACGCACACGACGCCCCAAGGCTATTACATCCATCGACACGGTGCCAGTATGCGAGCGCTGGCGCGGACAAGTCGTCAAAGAAATTTCGCGCAAAGTATCACGCATCCATGTGCAAAGTCTGAGCGACTACCAGATCCGGGATCTGAACGATGAGATCAACAAGCTCATGCGCGAGAAATGGGCGTGGGAAATGCAAATCCGCAACCTGGGAGGACCGAACTACATGCGTGGATCGAACCGGCTTTACGACGATGAAGGGCGCGAGATCCCCGGCGGAGGCAGAGGCTACAAATATTACGGTCGTGCCCGCGAGCTACCTGGTGTCAAAGAAATGATCGAGGCTGCAATTACTCGCGCTAAAGGACCGGAGGAGGAAGAGGCTGTGTCTGGCCGCGGTGGAGATATTGCGACAAGGAAGGTGGATGCTAATTACTTTGGCTATGGTCTTGATGAAGAAGATGGCACGTTATTGGCATATGAGAAACAGAAGGAGAAGGAGTCTGTTGAACATCTTCGTCATCAAGGAGAGGATGATGCTGAAGATGGCTGGCAATCTCTACCCGGCGACGCGGGCGACGGGGTGGAATGGAGACTCCCGACGCTGGATGAGGTCCAGGAAGAGCTTGTGGATAGGCGGCGGCGCCGCCTTCTGGACAAGATCTCTTGATTTAGACACTGCGTCCAAGATTCCTTGCTTCCATTTCTGTCCTTTGCTTGGGTTGGGCGTTACAGGTGCTTCTGCAAAATCTTCACATTTCAAGCATCATCCTCCATTTGTTCGTAATGACATCACTTGATTATTATTTCCAAAATATCACCAATATTCCCCATTATTTGTACAGTATGTTACAGATCGCTAGGTGCTTCCGGTTTGTGCTTCCGGGTCGTCCTTTCCACTCTCAAGGCTTGCGTCATGCTCATGCGCGGTGTTTGCGTAGGATCTTCCCGTTTTTGTTGCTCTGCTTCTAGGTCGTCTATCAAAAATCGACCTAGCTCTCCTTGCCTCCATTTCTGTATGAAAAGAAGGGCGGCTCCATCCATCATTGGTACTCCGCCTTTTGCAAGCAAGCCAGTCTGGCGCGCAAAGCTTTCAATCAACGGAACCACGTCGTTCGTCGGTTCAGACCAGCGTTTGTAGACTGTTGGATCTTGCTGATTTATATGATACAACAAGTAGTCCGCGAGAGTGATCGTTGAAATGACATTATCCTTGACACAGCCACAGAGAGCCAGCTTGAGCATGTTCTCTGCGTCTGCAACATACGGCATGAACACTCCCGGCGTGTCCAGAACGTAGACATGTGACCCATTCTCGCGGTCAATGATTTTCACCTGCGTAGCTATTTTGCGGGTGATGCCAGGCTGCTGTCCGGTTTTCATAGCCTTGGCTTTGCCCGTTCCTGAGTTGCGCAGATTGTTGATCAGTGTTGACTTGCCAACATTGGGCATTCCGACAACTAACACTCGACAGCCTACTAACTTATCGGGAGCTTCGGCATCGTTTCGAAGGTGTTTGATGATTTGGCTGACATCTTGGCGGTCGGATGAGCTGGTGAAGAATACGGCGCTCTTTGGATCAAAACTTTGCAACTTGCGTTCTGTCTGCGACTATGTTAGCTGATATCGAATAACAGTCTGTTATCTGAGTCTATGGTAGAGAAAAATACTTACTGTTTTCTGGACAGATGATTTGGGAATGCTTCCTAGATCTCTCTTGGTGTAGACGACCAGTCGTCGCATCTTGCCCAAAGCTTCCTCAAACATTGGGTTGATCGAGGTCACAGGGGCTCGGTAGTCACGACATTCGACAACATAGTCGATAGTTGAGAGCATGCTCTTCATCTTGGTCAAACCAGCCCTGTGGTGTCCTAAGAAATAGGACCTTGGAATAGCCCCATAATGGGGGAATGCATTGCGCGGAACAAACTGGGCCATTGAAGCGCGTTGAAGGGAGAGTGTTGTTCAGTCCGGTGAAATGCGATTCATCTTAATCGAAGTGGTGGACGATCGGTCTTGAGGGACTGGATGATCGAAGAAATAAAATAGCTTGTCCGCGGAAGACAACAAAAAACCCGTCAAAATGTCCAAGGCGGAAGGGCGGGCGGTGAACATTACGTCGACGTGAATCATGTCGATATGATTGCAACAACATACATTGCCTACGACGGGCTAAAGCTTTGTAACCCTTTTTGGACAAATTAATCATGCCTTTATGAGGCAAATTGTCTGCTTGGCGCCTAAATCACCACGTCAAGAGGCTATGCCGCCATACTGTCCATCTTCTTAGGGCTTATGAGCCTCAGCTAAATTCATCTGGTCTGGTGAATTTTTTCTTTTATTTTTTGCGCGAGCTTAGGCTTCCACGCTATAAGCACAACAGAAATATACACGTAGCATGTGAGACAACACCTATTATCGACCGACTGCAAGTTCTTTCTACAATAATAGTAATTAATCTTTTGTATGCGCTTTGTTAAATCCATTAGCAACATTTTTCTTGTTATTAACTCGGCAGATGTTGACATGGCCTTATGCAACAGCATCTTTCAGAAAAGGGTCTTGAACACCATTGATTGGATCCTACAATTTTTAATATCAAATCCACCCTATTGCTGCCTGAAGCCGCCCCTTCCCGTTTATTTGTCCAAGTCCTTCCTCCTTACTAGATCTTCCTTTGGAAGGTCATTCTCTCTCCATAGTCATCCACCAGAGATCTTTTCTCCCGTGGCTTCGCCATGAATTTCCAATATTGCTTGCTCAGGTACTCAAAAAAACTATGGACAGTCACAAAGAATGATCAGAAGTGTATAAAGTTGTGTAAAATTGTTCCGAGCTAGGTCTCTGGGCATTGAATGGGTGCTTAAACCGAAATACTGGCGATCGGGGGAGAAATAAAACAAATAAAGAGAACAAAAAAGATCCCTGGCAAGTGACCACATAGGTCGTCGTAGGCATAGATGCTCACAAAAATATATATGTATATAGAATGATAAAACAATTGTGAGTCAATAACTGGCCCGAAGGAAATTAGGGGCCATCTGGACATCGAATGGCAATGGGAATCTCTCCATGAAGATCTCATAGCCTCCGATTTGATGCCACTTTCGGATTACCATATCGCATAATGTCTTGAATGGTTGAAGTTCAGTGCTGGCACTGAACCCCAGACACGTATGGATTAGCGACCATTTCAAGATCTGGGGTCTCGTTGCAACAAGCGTGATTGCCATCTTCTCCTTTCATTGGATCAGATTGGTCGTTATACAAACAGTTGTCTTCGCCATAGTAGATATCAGTGAGCCACTTTTCCCAGGTGGTACTAAGCTTGCACGTAGCCTGGACAGTAGAATCGGCAGTGTTATCTCCATTGAAGCGTCCATAGAATGTTGCATTCAGTGTCTGGCCATATCCTGGATCCGGGATATCTATAGATATCATTGTTAAACCTGCTTGGTCGAATCCAAAGATGAAATAAGCCAAGAACTTACTGAACCAGTCGCAAACAGGTTTGTTGTTGACATTGATGTATCCTTTGTTCACATGCTACACCGCTAGTCAGTAGTTGTTTCCGTGAACCAAATGTCAGACAAGTTAGTTGAACGTACGACGGTAGTTCCTTTCTTATTGAACCCAGCAGGTTCCGCGCAAGGCCAATATGGAGAGTTTGGCTCGTGGTTTGCCTTGATGTTTTCTTTTGCCTGCTCCACGCTCTCACAGACAGGGATGTTGAAGAAACCAGGATATCGGACCATTTTCTTGTATTGGAGGGCTTCGGGATCCTTCATCATCGCGTCCATATCCGGCGTCTTGTATCCATTCTGGTTATTGCCAAGCTGCTCATATCCAGTCAGTGCACTTGTGGCAATGTCATCCATAGTGATGTTTCCCCATTTGCCTCCGGACAGAGTGGAACTATCCGCACCGGGTAGTGGTGTAAATTTGACATTACTCAGACCATTCCACTCCTTAGCATGCAAAATAAAAACCAGCTTTCCATTGTAGCACACGCGCGTGTTGGCAGCATCTGTTTCTCCCATGAGGAATCCGATCCCGTCTTTGAACAAATCTAAGCTAGCAGAGTGGTTGTCACAGCTGACATCTGATTTCCTGCACATAGGTGATCCAGTTAGAGATATTCCAGGTCAACAAGGTTGGTCAACTTACACAATGAATGGATTAGCACTTCCGCCATCAATGACGGCAGTCTTCCAGGCATTAGGGATCATTTGACCGTAGATTGTCGTCACCAAGTTCGCTGCCATTTGATCTTGGTCTAGGTGGTTTGGAAGGAAATTTGCCTTGCCATCTCCAATGAGATTTTGAAGGTCAATCTGGGATGTGATACCACCCGAAAAGAGGCTTTTGAGATAATTGACCTCCATGTCCTTCCAAGCGGTGAATATGTCGCCAAGAGCTGAAGACAGTGTATTCTGAGCCCCGAGCTTGTCAGCAACTCTGTTTTCATTAGTAAGAACATCTGCTGGACTTGTTTTGGGTACACTTGTTGCTTACTTAGGCGCGTTGTTTCTGGCCCAGGCACCCCCGATGCTATAAAGCTGGTATGTCATGTCCACAATATAACCATCCCACTTGAATCCAAGCTCAGTGAGAACTGGGACGGCAGCTGCAGCCGAAGCGGCAGGCGCAGCTGCAACTTCGCCTGCACCTGTGCCTGCACCTTCGCCTGTGCCTGTACCTGTGCCTGCACCTTCGCCTGCACCTGTGCCTGCACCTTCGCCGGAACCTGAGCCTGAGCCTGAGCCTGAACCCGAGCCGGAACCTGAGCCCGAGCCCGAGCCCGCGCCTGAACCTGCGCCTGCGCCTGCACCTTCGCCTGCACCTGTGCCTGTGCCTGCACCTTCGCCGGAACCTGAGCCTGAGCCTGAGCCTGAACCTGAGCCCGCGCCTGCACCTTCGCCTGCACCTGTGCCTGAGCCTGAGCCTGAGCCCGAGCCAGAACCTTCACCGGAGCCTGAGCCTGAACCTGAGCCGGAACCTGAGCCCGAGCCCGAGCCCGCGCCTGAACCTGCGCCTGCGCCTGCACCTTCGCCTGCGCCAGCACCTGCGCCGGGATTTGAGCCGGCACCTTCACCGGAGACTGAACCGGGCTTCGAGGCGGGCTTTGAGCCGCCAGCCACCATACTCGAGGCTGCATTTGCGATATCCTTTTCAACTAAAACTTTGTTAGCCTGGAGTCATAGGACTGTCTGATGAAAATTAGTCTCTCTGATACTTACCAACGTTAAACATCACAGGAAGCGCAAAACCAAATAGGGTGGTGAAGATATCGAAGATTTGGAGGATGGCTTTGCTGTTATCCTGCTGAGGAGAAAAGACGCCGGTAAACTCGCCAATTTTGCTCAGGACTTCCAAGGTCGACGTTTGTATTGCGCCGTGCATCTCACTGTGTAGCTGTAACACAAAAGAGCCAGGTTAGAATTACTTGCATGGAACCTTGAAGTTGGGACACCACAAACAGCTTACCTGATGGATACCCGAGAAAGCATTCAAGAGGAGGTAGCTATATAGCCGTCAATATGACTGCAATGGTACTAGATGCGGTTGAAGGCTGAGATCATACCCTGCTGGATGAGTGACGTCCTTGCACTGGACAGTCGTAGAGCATTGCACACTACCGATATCTTGACAGTTCCATTGCTCTGGACCGCTGAAGTAGTAACTAGCAAACTGCGGGAAGGTCAAGCCTCGATACATATTGTTGTGAGCTTCACCGTTCCATGTGCTGAGCATCGCGTTCCATGCTCCTGGGACGTCTGCTGCATTCCATCGACTGGCGTAATCAACAGTGGGATCATCAATCGAATTCTGGTTACATTGCACTGATTCCCAAATGCTGCCACCTGCGGAGGCAGGAAGTGCCAGGGTACTAGGTGAGGTAGGTTGGGCAGCGAGCATGACATAGGGGCGTCTAGTAGCAGTAGGCTTCAGGCTGTAAGAGGCTGATCGGGACTTATGTCCGACTGCTAAGGCATTAGCCGAAACAAGGAGGGAAAAAAGAGTCCCGATTTGGATATGCATTGCGGCGTTTGACCGACTTATCGATGAGATAAGTGAGGAATTGAAACACCTAGCAAAATCGAAAAAATGACTGGAACTAGAGACAACTGAAGACGAAGATATCCTGGAAGCTGATTTCGATAGAAGCAAAGCGCCGTATTTATAGACATTGCGCGAGGTGGCCCCTGAGTCAACGGGGATACAGAGTGTTGCATCTACAACATATCTACAACATATGTTGTAACTCATGGGCCACCTTAGGGAGGGTGTATTCCAATGCTACCAACTGCCTCTTTGAGGAATCTCTCACGATGATCTTTGAGCCAAAGCATCTTGTGGATACCGGAGGCATCCTGAAGATTGACAATAATTACAACATATGGAAAAATGGAATTCTCACCATAGACAAAAGTCTTCCTGATCAGGGCCATATTCCTACGTGGATATACTCCCCAAGGGGATACTCGGGATTCCTTCCTTTTCAAAATACCAAGATTACTAGTACTACATGTATGTACTAGTACTAGGCTCCCTCGTGAATTTTGAATACAGTCAAATCCTTGATAGGGTTCGAAAAATTTAGGCTCCAGTACTGTAAGCAATGCCGAAGCTGCCTAATTAGGCATAGCGCCCTTCGTTTTTACAAACTTTTACTTTCGAAAAGTAGCTTTTTAGGCCTACCGTCCCACGTGATATAGAAATACTGCCGGGTTTTAACCTCACCCGTTGTTTACACTAGTGAATCACATCGAAATTGTTTCTATACCGTTTCTAAATCGTTTCATGGCTCCTATACACATTCTCTCTACCTCCTGTTCCTATTACAATACAATGGTCAAAAGCTTCATCTATCAACTATAGCTTATATAGTAAAAAACTTGAAAATAGTAAGTATATATATGCTATATATGACATCCAAACGCCGGGGCCCAATAGACACTGGCAAGAAATACAGATAGAAAAGGCGAAAAGTCAAGTCTTCGACCACGGGGTATGTTGTATATTCCCGGAAATAACATGCCAAGCCCATGAAGCCACGGGCGCAAATATGTGCCGGCACCCAGGTTGGCAAAAGTCTTAATTATATAAATGTGTGTTGTGCATATATACCAATTTCCGTTTCAGGACATTGGCATATTGATCTGGAAATGAACCTCAGCCCTGTAGCGGGGACCCCCGGGATAGGGCCCATTTTCCGCGCAATTTTCATTAAACGTACAGTTTAAAATGGATATACGCATTTTTATTAAATCCTCACTTTCGAAGACCATCACATGTTAATAAAGATTTCCACTTCGAAATTAATCAAAGAAATTTGTCACGCGACGCGACCTCGGTATACAATACCGGCGTTTAGCGCTAAAATTCTTCCCCTTATTATTGAGATATCTCACTACTCCGTACAGTACAATATGGTCGGCTAACCTACCCATAGTACTCGTGTAGGCTATTTGTGTTTTTTACTCTCCTCCACGGTGCTTACAACTTACAAAACCCACATATTGTGCGTTCATGATCTCATCTACCTCGTATCAGAAGACACAAGAACATACACATTACGCGTGAGACATCATCTGCTTCGACCGAGTCTAGGAAAAGCTCCCCGGTGCGCGTGTTCCACAATGGCACGGCTTCCACTCATATTCGATTGCCTGACCATCCTTCGAGAGATCCTTCGAGGGATCGGAAACATGTGAGACATCACATCCGGCCCCAGTTTCTATCAGGCGCGGAGCCCGCACGCATCATTATTATCAACGCACAGCCCACGCCCACAAGGCATCCACTTAGTACGGAGTGCTGGTCTCCCATGCTAGCGGCAAAGCCTGTTTGGCCTATCCCCCGGCTCTTCCTTTTCTCATTCAGTGGACACGCTAATGGTAGAGCGTCTGTTTCTGCTCAAAAACTAATTATGTTATTCCTACTCGGTCCCTTCCATATTTCAGCTCTCGGATGATTGGATGGGGGGAGGCCGGACAGGACTGTTTGAGTTTCGCCATGGATGGCTTTTCTTTTTCCGGTTCCTGTGCAAAATTGGCGAAATCTTTCCGAGGGAAGTATGCGAGTTCTTTCTACGATGATAGCTTAATCCTGACCGCAGATTAAAGAAGTCATGAAGTTCAGCTATATAACGAAACAAATAAACACATAGGTAATGACCGTCTTATTTGCCGCTTAATACGGCCTTGTATAACAAAAATACTAAAACAAAGGAAGGAGGGCTAGTCTTGGCAGTCCCATCAGAGACGGAATGCAAAGGCACTAGCAGGGTAGTCTAGTGGGTTACAGACAGGGAAACTGTAGCGTTACGCCAGCCTCTTGCCCACAGAAGTTCGCCGAGGGTCGGTTGATTGTACTAGCCCGTTTGCTCGCGCCAGCCCGCTGTTCTGACCTAAAACTTTAGTATCAGTGTTGGCCATTTGGAATTTGCTCGCGCCAGCCACCAATGCCCTGGCCCTGCCCCTGGCCTCCAGTGTACTGTTGGCCGTTGGGAATTTGCTCGCGCCAACCACCACTTCCCTGGCCATGCCCCTGGCTTCCAGTATGCTGTTGGCCGCTGGGGATTCGCTCATGCCAGCCGCCACTGCCATGGCCCTGATTTCCAGTGTACTGTTGGCCAATGGGGACTTGCTCGCGCCAACCGCCACCGCCCTGGCCCTGGCTTCCAGTGTACTGTTGACCAATGGGGACTTGCTCGCGCCAACCGCCGCTGCCCTGACCCGGATTCCTAGTGTACTGTTGGCCGCCCTTGATAGGAATCTGCTCCACAGGGAAAGTGGTTCGTTGTTCATCCTGACGTCCATTGCAAACAACACCATGGGAAGTGAGTTGGCATCCCTTCCCGTATGATTCAGTGGGACAGAACTGGAAGTCCATGCAAGCACCAGTAGAGATAGCACAGAACTTGCCATTAAACACCTGGCCGTCAGGGCATCTGGGCTTAGAGCTCGAGACACACTCTTGGCTGGACTTGCTGTGGACAGTTCCGGGAGGGCACTGGGGTGTCTTCTCGGCGCTACACCTCTTGCCGTCGAACTTGAATCCTTGCGGGCACTGGGGGTCGGCAACAGAAACGCAGCTATCTCCTTCGAGATAGGTCCCTTCGGGGCAACGAGGCTTCTCACTGACGCAGGCCTTGCCATTGAAAGACAGGTTTCCGCAGTCGGGTTTAGCGCCAGAGATACATTGACCATCTTTGAGGACGTAGCCAGATTCGCAATGCTCTTCAGCAACGCGAACGCACTTTCCTCCCTTCCAGAAGAAATTGATGGGGCATTGAGGAGTTTCAACGCTTTCACAACGCCCGTTGGCAAAGACTTGACCAGTGGCACAGCCAGGAGCACCGTAAACACAGAGTCCATCCTGGAACTTCGTGTTGGGAGGACACTGAGGGATACCGCCGGTAAGACACAACCCATCACTAAGAACAGATCCTTGGGGGCACTGCGGAACTAGTGACGACACACACCTCGAGCCGTCATATGTGGCACCATTCTTGCATTGAGGCTGCGTTCCAGTGACGCAGTCATCTCCCTGATGAATGCCCTCCTCACAATGGCCGCGACCGGTGACGATACAACGCTTGCCATCCCAATTGGCGCCTTCATCACAAGTGGGCTGCACATATGTGACGCACTTGCTACCCTCCATCTTGGTGTTGGGAGGGCAGGAAGGAAGTCCCTGGAGAACACAGTCGGCACCAACCAAGAGCATATCCTTCGGACACTCTGGCTTCCTGACCATGATGCACTTGCCTCCCTCAAGGTAGGAGTCGCCCAAGCACACAGGCGGTTGCTGCCAAACACAGCGAGTATTCTCGAGCTTGTAGTTTTCGGGACAGAGCGGCTGAGGATTGGAATATTTCTCACAGCGGTTGTTGGTTGGGGTGCTGCCATCAGGGCATTTTCTGTCGATTGATTTTGTGACGCAGACGTTCCCATCCCAGACCATGGCTGATGGGCAGCAACGAGCGGTTCCTTGCGCCTTGTCAATCGAAAGAGCTGTACCTGGCTGGCACTCTGGCTGGCCAACATATATACATTTACTGTCATCCAACTCGGTTCCAGGAGGACACTGTGGATTTTCGACGATATCACAGGACTGGGTCTTGGGATTGAACATACCACCGCCATTGCACACAGGGCCAGTCTCCAAGATGCATTGCTTGTCTTGGAGAATTGCATTCGGAGGGCAGCTGGGCACTTGTTCCGAAATGCACCTGGAGCTAGCGATGTCAAAGGAGACTCCTTTGGGACAGATGGGAGGCTTGTTGTCGATGCAAAGGCCATTTTCAAGCTTGGCTCCATCTGGGCACTTTGGTCCTTCCACAGACGCGCACGATTTTCCGTTGAAAACCTCGCCATTGGGGCAGACGGGGGGTCTTTGTGAGACACAGACGTTGCCTTGCAAAATATATCCAGCCTCGCAGCTTGCTGCCCCTTCGAGGGCGCAGTGGGTGCCCTTCAGAATGGTACCGGGAGGACAGGTAGGAGGATTGATGGTGGTGCAGAAGCCGTTCTTGTACTCATATCCAGTATCACAGGTGGGCTTCGTATGGTAGACACACTTGTCCCCATCGCGGGTGCTGCCATCGGGACAGATGGGAATGCCGAGCACACAGCCCTGACCGTCGAACTCGGTGCCGGCAGGGCAGCACTTGATGTGCCCAGAGGCCTGGTCACGGGTGGGCACTATATCATCGAGGGTGTACTTCCGAAGGGTGCTCTGGCTGAGAGGATTGTTTTGAGCCCGAGCGTAAGAAATAGCCAGGAGCAAAGCGAGAGCCCTTTGTATCTTTGCCATGATGGGACAATTGGCAAGAAACTTTGGTTGGGGTAATTTTGTTCGATTCCAGAGCTGGGTATGATGGAATGTACTTATAGCCACATTTTGGTTTGTATAATTCTCGGATTATCTCGTATACACTATGGAATGGCAGGAGAGGACCGCTCTGTTTCCAGGGCCGTGGCTTTTGATGTCACCTGCGTCAACTCTCCTACGGGTTATCCTTCAAATGCAGGAGTAGGGGGCAAATAATCAAAAAATAACAGTGTGAAGGTATAGAAATGACCAATAGCTGCATCGAGTGCAACATGGTTGTTTGTAAAAAGAGGGAAAAGGCAAGCTCTCAGCCAGCCTCAAGATGTTGATAATCCTGGCACAACATGAAGATCCCTTGCCGAGGTTGAATTGCCGCAAGATATTCTCAAGTAATGAAAAGGTAAAAATGATATATCTGCATCCGGACTAGGATAATGGATCTAGTGGATCACTACCCCGGGAAATCCGCAAAGTGGATCCTCGGTAGATCTCGGTCAAAATCTGTGTAACGTTGCTTTTTAATGCATAACGAATGGTGGAGCTGGAGTTGCAAAATTTGGACATATAGTAGGAGATAATTTTGAAAATATAAAGTCAATGGGAATAGTAATAGAAAACCACTACAATCGTGGCACAATATAATGTCGCGGATTTTTAAGGTTCATCTGGTATGGAGGGCGGGCCGATGCGAAGTGTTTCTTCACGGAGATCTTCTTCAGAACTTTTAGCTAGATCGACACTCATATACTCCGTACATGGACACTCCCTGCAGGTGTAGCGCACAGCTCCATCATAAATCTTGTTTTTGGGCATGTATATCCCATGCAGAAAGTCACTATCGATTGGACCAAGGGTAGAAAAATGCCTAATATAAGACGCACATACTGAGTTGTAAACGAATTATCCCCAGGATATTTTTAGTGGCCTAGAGTATTGACTTGTACATTTGTGTGGATCGACATCACGCCCATCACTGCTTGAATAGCATCGATATTATAATAAAGAATAAGACATGCAACTACCCTGCTTTCTCCTAGTCATAAATAGTGTCCATTTTTGTACCATCGGCGAGGCCGGTATGATTCAGCAACAGCAATGACAGTAGAGTGAGCAGGAGCATTGCTCTGAATATAATGGTTATATTCATGCGTTGAGTGGCCAATAGTTACATAGTCTTTCGTAAATTGCTCGTACGGTGTGATAGTACTGTGTGCCCATTCCGACGTGGAGCTGGGCATGAAACTTTATCTACTGGACCTTCAGTGACAGATCACCTTGAAGATTCCATGGGATCTAGATCCAAGGTCGGACCAGGGGTCAAAGCAATCGTTACAGGACATGTCTTGAATTCCAATTGGAAGAAGCTGTCCTCGATGACCTAGACATGCGTCTGAGGTGCCATCTAAGGAGTACTCCGTGGAGCTGAGGAACTTGTGATTCACAGTGGACCCCATCGTATCCATCATTGAATCTCTTCTTTGCAGTAATGGAAAGGACAAGCAGATGGCTGATTTGTTACATCAAGGCCAAGGGTTTCATGCTTGTGGACAATATCTGGCAGTGGCTGGCTCAACTTTGCAGCTGTAAATGCGTTATTGAAAAGATTGGCAAGAAAATCACCCCAGTTGGAATCTGATTATTCTCAGAGAGATAATTACCCATGAAGAATTGAGGCATTTAGACAGAGAAAGAATCTTATAAATACCTTGACCTTGACCCAGCATAGATAAATTCTCACACTCATCATCTCATCTCAAAACAACTCTTCCAAGTCTCTCAAGGTCTTCCACAAATCTCCAACCAGTATGCCTCCCCATTGAAAATTTCACACAACTTGTTATTTACTTACCCTGAATAGAACCATCAGAATGAAGTTCTCCATCGCTACCATCGCCGTCCTGGCCACTGCTGTCACCGCTCAACAGGGATACCAGCAGCCCCAGCAGTACCAGGGCCAACCTCAACAGTACCAGGGTGGCCAGGGTTACCAACAGCCTCAGCAATACCAAGGAGGCCAGGGCTACCAGCAACCCCAGCAGTATCAGCAATACATTCCCCAGCAGAACAAGTACTCCCCGGCTGAGGCCCAGGCCTTCCACACTTGCATCGATCAAATGCTTGATCAGTTCAACATCGAAAACTCGGGTAGCTCGGTTTCTTGCTCTACCTTCAAGTGCCTTGACCAGACCGCCAACCAATACAGCCGAGGTGGCGTTCTCGCTGGCCTTGGAAATGTTGTCAGCTTGGCCTGTGGCTTTGGTGGAATCATTCCCGTAAGAAACCCCTCCTGTGCGCATTGCATACTCAACAAAAGCTAACTTCTACTCAGAAATTCCTCTAAATGCTCCACTGCGTGGACACCATTTGAGTCTTCCCCCTATGGACTAGAGTCAAGTTTTCCATCTTCCCGCGTCTGGTCTTCCGGTGCAGATGGATTATCTGGCTAATGTACTATTGAATTTGTTGGCGGCCTCGGCTCAGGTTTTTGTCGGATGACTTTGGTCTGTTTTCCCTGTGCCCCCTTGTGAATACAGGGGCTGTCTTTTCTACGGGTTATGAAAATTACATAAAACCAAATACATATATATTACTCAACCATTATCTCGAGGTGCATGCGAACTAGTAATTTGCTTATTCGTATTTGTAAACATACGATTGAACAGATATTTCATAACACTGCTATAGCGTGCATCTGGTCTTCCCTTTGGGACTTCTACAAGCCCTAAGGCTTAAGGTATATTTATTTTTGGACTTTTTCTTTTCTCTTTACTTAAGCAAGCATGGTTTTCTCTGAAGTTCGTGTGCAGCCTTAACAGAAAAACTTAAGTGGGTTTGCCAACCTTACTTCTAAGAGTCTGACGGGTCAGCGGTGTTTTCCCAGACTAGGACGTTCGGTCTTTCATCGCACGCGTAGTTATTATTCTCATTTTACTAAAAATACAAGATATTCGCTCCATGTTGTACATTATCCCATACATTCCATACACGTTTCCAATCATAGGCGTCAGCAAATAGGAACCGTGGCTCTATAACAAAAGTCCTAGTATAATGGCCTCGAACCCTTAAGCTCCCACCTTATGGATCTTGAGCAGGTGGTTCCTCCTGTTGGCGTTCCGGCTTAAGGACTTGCCACATAATCGACAGGGGAACGAACGCCGGGCAGTATGCTTCTCAGCGCGATGGCGCTTCAATGATCCCTTGGTCGTGAATGTGCCACGGTATGTGCAGCCCGGCCAATTACATCGAATATCGGTGTCTGGATCACTAAAAGAAATCAATATTTTTAGTAAACTGAGACTCTCTGCCTTCGCAGGGGACTGGGGATTGATATCTCACACTTGTACACGTCCCTGGCGATCAACAGGAGGGGTGTCGTCGGTTTTGACTCCATTGTCTATGACTCCTGGCCGAGGAAGTTCCTGCCAATGTGGTTCCTCTGTAGGAAGGGCCACGGGAGGGGTGGTGCTCGTGATTTCGTTCGCGAGACCTAGAGGCGCTATAGGCGCGCCCTGGGGATTGTTATTGCTGTTGTTGACAGCAAAGTCGTTCCTATACAAATCATTCGACTGGGGATAAACCCACGGATAAGTCCACGTGGGGGTATCACCAAGACGAACAGGGGCTGCTTCCGGATAAATCGAACCGGGAGTCTGCCCTTCCGGCTGATCGAGCAATCCCTCAATATCCGGGTCCATATTATGTGACGACCACGGCATGTTCACCTATCAACAGAAGGGGAAATGCAAGTAAAGACGGGGGGAATAAATCAGTCCAGTGTCGGTTTCGGTAATACTATGCTGGGGAAGAGGGTATACCTGGGTATTTATTGAAATCGAAGTGGGCAATGTAAAATTTCACCCATATGAATAGGAAAAAAAGCGAAATCAACAAACGGTATATGGCACTTCGACACATCGGAAAAGGCGTCGACAGGTGGTCGGTTTATCAGGCTAGTGAGTCAGCGCAATGCCTTCAGCCAGAATAGGGAACAGTGAGTCAGGGATATAGAAAACCTAGAGATAGAGAATCAACCAAAGAAAAAGCAGTGTACTCCGAAGGTGTCGGCTAGGAGGTAGTCTCTCCACTCTCTGTGCAGTAGTGGCACAAATAGAGAGAACTCAAAGGCACCAATGGTATTATATTCCCTTTTAATTTTCTTTTGATATATATATATTCATTTCCAATTTTCCATTTCCGTTCAAGTTTTTTTTTTGGCATATTTGGACCTAACCAGCAGAGGCTAAAAATAGAGTAAGGGTAGAGACGATGGGAACAAAATCAAAGGCAGGATATAACAAAAGATCAACAGTTTAACTTTCGATACAAATTCAGATTTAGCGCGACCTCGAGGGTCCCGGGCGATCATGCGCGCGAAAAAAAAGTCAAGCGGTGTGCATATATCTAGATGTTTCAGATGGTCAAATATACCCTACCACGACCGGGAAGCATGTCGATTTGAAATACAGTATTCTTTCAAATGCATACAGTCTATTAAATACAGAAACAGGTGAGAGGTACATACTATCAATCAATTAATATAAATTATTGGTATTCACATTACTGAAAGAAAAAGCCGCGTGTGTACGTTACATAGGACCTTCCAAGGCTCTCGCCCTGTGGTAGGAGTCAGGTACCCGTTAGCACGTTGAGACTCGGACCAATAGTAGGAGCTCGACTCTATGTCAACTCTACGCGTAACGGGCGAAAAGGGTGAACCCAACAATTTCCATATTTCTAGGATCCAAGAGTACAATATACCCTAGATGCTTGCTTTTTCTTGTTCTCTCTTGGTTTATTATGTACTAAACACCCTGGCCTAGCCGGAGATGCGGAAGTTTTCTATCGAACTGCTAAAAATCAAATTAACTGTAATACATTCAAATTCCCGAGTACCGTACTATCGGATCCATTCAGAAATTTAACCCTGCGTTAGGATTGTGAGACCGGATGTTATTCTGAAGCGAATCAAAAGCCGGGAAGCCGGGAATATTTGAAACTGTCTGCAGGTGGACTCGGACCTCTTCTCTCCTTTGTTTCCCAACAATGCTCTGTTCTCGGCTAACTTTTTCTCTGTTTTCCTTTCTTTTTTTGATCCACCGTACCTCCCTCGGAGCCGATACATCGCGCACCAACCCCCGAGGGTGTTACCCACCCCTAGAGCGATCAAGCTACACAGGTATCTTTTGTATTGAGTTCTTATATAAAAGGTACTTGTAGCAGTGTAGATATAGCACCGGCTGGCCTTTCGCCTCGTTACCCTTAGAGAAGAAGATCCCTGTTTCCTATTCGTTGCCTCGCTGCTCCATCTGTCCTCTCTGTCCTCTCTGTCCTGTCAATAGTACTATGCCACGTGCATACCATGCATTTCGACTCCACACGTGCCACATGGTACAATTGTACTAAACATACGGGCGGTGGCGCGCGAGCTTAGCGACAGAAATTTATCTTCGACCCTCATGTTTTCAAACCACCTCCTCATTTCGAGGACCAGTTGCCTTCCAATTTCGATATCTCAAATAGAACAATACTTCGGTTTCGTACGATACACGCTCAAATATACCACATTCGTCATGGAGATCCCCAAGTTCCAGTAAATGGATTCGATAGACAGGTTAGTACGCGCTAATCAGTTGGTGAGAGTCTATCGTTTCACTGCGGCAAAAATCAAGTGCCAATACGCCGGTGTACATTCTCTCACATATCACGCATATTCCATGTATTCATCTATCCCGTCAATGCAAATATCCAAACTCCCATGCTTCTGCTACTAGAAGCAATAATTACCGGCTCTCCCGCCGAGCGGTTTCCGTAGACAAACCCAATTGTAGTGCCATCTCATATAAATCCGGGTTCTATGTCCATAAACCTGGATGCTCCAGATCCCAACTCCCAACACCTTATCCATAGTCTCAACCCCGTATTCCGTGAACCTTCAGCCGGTGGTCGTTCAGATGACATTTTCGGGAATAGGTCCTGTCACATCCAATAGATGGGCAAGGAAATGACCGCGGGGCAGTATGCTGCTCAGTACGATGGCGCGTCAGTGATCCCTTGACCGAGAATGTACCACGGTATGTGCAGTCCGGTTGGTCACATCGGAAAATGGGGGATGGGTTACTAAAACAGTTGAATATTCTCAGTTAGCCGGTGACTCTTTTTTTGTTGGAGACTGGGGATGGCTCACTGGATTTCACTTCCATGGGTATGAACAGGCGGCGCTGCGCTGTTGGTGAGGGCATTTCTTATAGCTCCTGGAGCAATGACTCTTGAGTGAGAGGGTTCCTGCGAAGGTGATACCTGTCCAGGCGAAAAGTCCATGGGAGGGGCGGTCCGAGTGGTGTATTCTGCCATGTCATCAAAGGCTGGAGCTAGAGCTCGAAAATACTGTGCGGTGCTCTGATTTTGTTGGGGATACATCGACGAAGAAGCCACGAGAGGGGTGGGGGGAGTAATGCAATCCACAGAGCCCCGAATAGTTGTAGCTAGGCCCCGATGGCCATTGTTGTTGACAGCAGAATAGGGTGAGTGTGGTGACTGTGTGGTGCTCTGATTCGGCCAACGATGGGTCGACGGAGATGTGGGCGTGAAACCTTCACCAAGCATCGTCAAGGGCTCCTCATATCGATGGTATTCCGGTTGATCCGCAGGAGGTGTGTATGTCCCTATGACAGCGGCAGACCGGCGAGCAAGCAAATGTTGGGGATAAACGGAATCAGCAGGGTACCAACCCAGCTCGAAGAGAAGGTCCATGTTCAAATCTTTCAGGTTGGTCTCGTCTGGCGACCGCGACATGATTTAACTATCGACGACGGTACAAAAAGGAGGAAAGATGAGCAAGAAGAAGAGTCTTGATCGAAGGGGTGTGAATTGAGTCTGACTATCCTTATGCTTGGGAAGAGGCGGGGAAACGGCTCTATTTATGGTCAATGTCAGAAGCTTAGCCCTGGTATGAAAAAAAAAGGGAAGTGATTGAGATATATCACCAGGGTGACTGTATCAAAATTAGGCTGTCATGCCCTTATACACCAACAGGTCAACGCTGGCATCTGAACAAAAGATACAGGAAAGACTATGTAAATATTGAGAGGGTTGAGCCACTTGGCGATTGTACAAGATTCCATGGAATCAAGATTAACACAGCCAGGTTTCAATGTCAAGGGAGTCAACTAGGGACCTAGTCAGTGGAGTAAAAGTTTCTAGAAGATCGTCCATCGAATCTAATGATCGACTGCTCCCCCGGTAAATGCTAAGTAACCCGTTACCCCAAGTGTGTAATTATCCAATGAGAGAGTGTTGCGATCAAATTGGGTCCATTGTGGAGACAGTAATTTTAAGTTTGAAAAAAACCGAAAATACAAATATTTAAATAAACTGAGGGTGAATGTGATAAAATCTCGTTCTAATCTTTCATTTTGTGTTTTTCTTGATTCATTTTATCTTTTTCAAAATTCGGGCTCCATCGAACCTGTCCAAGTTCTGGGCTAACAGGGCCAAAAGGGAAAGACAATGGAGAGTAAGCTCCAACGACTACATACCAGTGAAGGACATGCTCCAGGAACGAAACTAGGTACGAGAGCCAACACTAAAACAGGGGGTGGGGAAAAATTAGTACGAGCCGGGGAAGATTCGCATTGTGAAGGGGGCTTCTATTGACTTCATTGTGGCGAATATGTGGCTGTACTAGCATGCATGTCATATCCTCCGCTCCATACGGAGTTCTCCGGTACTCTGTGTTTGGTATTTGGTACTTTTTATATGCTGTGTCTATATTATAACCCAGCTCTTGGCGAATTAACCCGGGCTTCCAAGGTAGTTCTCAATAGCCCCATTTCTTCGCTTCCATGCCATGCATAGCTAAATTCCGTGATCAACCCCTGTCAAATATCGTTACGTCAAGTGCAGGTAATACAAGCTCGTATCCAAACCGTGATCACCCATGCTAATCTAACAAGCCCCAAAGTGCCAACACACGGGTCCACTAAATGCCTAGTTTGTACTTCGTAAATAGTATTAGTAAATATCATAATAAATCATTAATCCAGTACAGAGTACGGAGCACTCCGTAAACAACGAAGCAAATCACAATGAACTTATTAAATCTCTAAATTAATTGCAGCAAGCTACTTGTCGACATAGGGCTTTTGGGAGGGGGGAGAAGATATAAGTATGCCAGGTGACAATGTAGGAAATTCGGTATGTATAACCATTGGGTAAAGCGGTCAAGTCATCACGAGCTGTTGTTTTGGTAGTTGGCGCCTATACCGCTGGGTAAGCTGTTTCAAATAAGAATTCCCATTCCACTCTTTCCAATTCGAGATTTTGGTGTGAGTAGTATTGATTTCCACATCACGAATACAAGGTTCTGTATGGTAATGTAAATGACTTGGCACCAGGGCTGGGGGCCATGGAATCCTGCAAGAAGGTGTTCGAACGTTCCATAAAATCGAAGAAACAATTAAGGCAACCGGAGTTTAAACTGGTTCGCATGTTTACCAGGGGCTAAGCTTAACTCGGGAGGCGGAAATAACCGTCGGGTCTTTCTATGGTTCCACTTAAGAATTGTGCAATGGTGCATGCATATAATTCCTTGTATTAACTTCCGAACTATAAAAAGGTTAATCCTTTTGATGTCTAAAGTTTAGATACCGGATCTGTAATTTTTTTTCGTAACATCGGTGGTATGAGAAGTCGAGATGAGTGAAAAAGTGATATAATATGCATCCGAAAGAGCAAAAAGATGCGCCAAAAGGTCTTTCCGAACGCCATTTCCCTGCTCTTGTCATAATTTAAAGGCAACACTGACGTAGGCTCCATGATGGGCATGCCATACAAGATTCGAGGACATTATAACCTGCCCTGGACATCAACCACTCCATGATCTACATGTCTGACCTGGCGAGATCTATCAGGTGAGCACCTGTGTGGGTAATGCACGGAAGTTTTAACAAATTATTGCTATCCAGACGAAATAGTCTAGGTTGGGTATCCTGGCTTTTATAAATCCATCATATCACGCCCAGAAGCAAATCCCCGTTCCATAACTTCATTCCCCAAACGCCTCAATGCCTGCGGTCTGGAACCAAAAATAATAAAGTGCATGCAAGATTGGGATGGAAATTCCTTGGGGAGTCGCGGATACACAAAGCTTATGCTCGCCAGCCCTGCACGAAATCGTGCAAACGATCAATCACAACTCCGAAGATAGCATTGACGCTGTCTGCAATAAGTTGCTCAAAGTGACGGATGGCTTCCTCCTCGGTCATTTCAAGATGGAAGCGCTCCTTCACCTTCAAGACGGCCTTGTCAGGCTCCACTCGAATATCAGGGATATTGGCATCCACCATTAAACTGAAGAGATTAAGAATCAGATTGGCAGATTTGCGCAGCGTGGTGTAAGCAGTGTAGCAGTACTGCTTGAATTGCAGATAATGGGGCGAAGTTGTGCCGCCCATACCTTCAACCATTTCCTTGCAAAGCTTCATCATGGGTGCAAAAGGCTTTGGATCACGACCGAGGATGAAGCCAAAGTCGGCGTGGAAGAAGTGGCCATCTGGCGCTAGAAGCAGATTTTCAAGATGCCGGTCACCAACACCGAGGAGGTACGTGATGACGCAGTATCCTGCACATGATTTGATGTATGTATCCATTGTTTCTTTGCGGACGCCGAGAGGCTCAGTGTCATCTGGGTTATTGGCTTGTAGATAGGCGAGAATGGATTTGTACTTGGCGGACGCTGCGGAGAGAGAAATGGAGGGAATGAACTGCACAGCGCCGGCCGTTGCGCTGGTGGCAAGAATTCGATAAGGAGTCAGTTTTAGATCAAGGTTCTCCTTCTGCAAAAGGCGATCCATCAAGATGATGATCTGGATAACCAATTGGTCCTGGCGAAGGTCATCGCCGACTTTGAACAGCATCGGATAACGACGGCCTTCAGAGGTCTTGAATGTGATAAGCAAAGGAGAAAGAGTGGACTTGAACACGTTCGATTCCTCGGGGTATAATCCAACAACTGAAACATCGGGATTCAAAGGTAAGGGCAGGGGTGGATCTATGTTGATCAGGTCGTTATCAGGGTCGCGGAGATATTTTTTTAGCATCTCAATCTTGCCGACTCTGTTTTCGCGCGCGAAGCGTACATCCTTGGCTATTTTGGAGAGCACAGCCACCATTTCACCTTGATGCAATAGTGTCTTTCTATGCTCAGGGTGAAGCTTCTCTAGTTCAACCATGAAGTAGTATTCAACCCGCGCAAAGAGCCGACGCTGAATTGCGTCAGCATCATCGAATTCGACCATGAGATACCAGTGTAGGTAGTTGCCAAGTTTGAAGTTATTAGCCGCACGCGAAATCAAGAAATGTGCAAGCGAGGACTCCTGCGGAGCCGCATCAGGTTGGTTATCCGGAGTTGCATCATACTTCAGAGCCTGCACCAATTGAAGAAGATATAGAAGCAACTCCTCGTCGTCTGCTTTCCGCAATGTTTCCACGGCATACGAACGGACAGCAGGATTATCGAACGTAGGACCCAGAATCTCCAGGGCGTCATCAACATCAATTTCGGTCCATTTAGGGAACATTTCAACCGCTTGCCGCGCTTCTCCAACATCCCGCCAGTTGACTGATTTGACGAATTTTGTCAATGCCTTCTTCTCGCGTGTGAGATGATACCTGAAGCGCCACACAAGATCCTTCTCTTCAGCAGTGAGGTCTTGCGTCGGTTCGTAGGAGATAATCATATTGAGGTCATCTCTGATCTTTGGGTTGGGTTTCAGATCACGATCCATAATGCCGGTCCGATGGCTTCGGATCAAACGCCGGTGCTTGTCCTCACACGGGTTTCCGATTTGGCCAACTTCCGGATCATATATTTGAATGATATTATGGGGATCGGCGTGTGAAATACCAGGTCCAAAATGTACCTCCGGAACTGGCTTGAGTGTCGCATTGGGGTGGGGAGGTGCGTTTTGGGGCCAGGAGGAGATAGGCGGAGGAGGATACTCATGATCCGCCCACACAATGGGATGATCAAAGCGCGGGAATTCAACGTAAAGGTCAAAATACTCATCTTCGATGGTCTCTTCATCAGAGCTATCATCCTGATCTTTGACGTGTTTCGGATCTTTTTGCAGGGCTGCATCAAGTTCAAGCGCACGCTTTTGGGCCGCTTCATCTGCGTTTAACTTCAGTTTCTCCAACTCGCGAAAGAGCAATTGATCCATCCAGTCGACACGTGGGATTTCGCCCATTTCGTGCTTCTTGATCAAGACTTCGACACGTTCCAGTTCTGCCTCTTCGGGTGACTGCTGTGAAGGATCGCGAGTATTCGGTTTACGACGTTTAGGTGGTAAAACGGATGGAGTAGAGGTTGTAGCAGAGCCGTCTGCGTCCTCGTGTAAATAAACCTTGCACTTTTGTCTGCCCATCTTCAATTTTCCGTCCTCGTCAAACAAGGCGATCGTAGTTCCGCCGAATGGAATGTGCGTAATCTTATCGGCAGCTAGTGGAGACATATCAACGATGGTGATTGCCAACTGAGCATTACGCTCGGTATCCTTGATGGACATGGGCATCTCCAGCCATTCATTCCATACTCGAGTGGTTTTGAAGGCCTTATATTTGGTCTTCATCGGCACGCCCAATGGCTTCGACTGCGACCATATCTGAGCGGTCACATAAAGATCGGACGTCGGGTCTTGGACAGAGGCAATATGTCGGAGCTCGGCGTTTTCATCAAGAACTGTGTATGGGATCGGCTTCTGCTTCCCCTCCAACGAGCCACTGCGGATGCGTCAACGTGAGAAAAACCTCGATTCTCAGAAATTGAGAACGTACATCTTGATGCGTATAGGTATGTCCACTTGAGTGGTCACGGCAAAGGTGAATGCCTCCATCTCTGCTCCCCGTTTGGAGAGAGCAACAAGTCGCTGCGTCATGGCCGATAAGCAACCGACGCGGGGGGTCACGTGCAAGCTCTACGCGACGCGACAAAGCGTTCGCGATGATTGAGTGTAGCCACACATCTTTTTTTCTCAAAGCCCGGTGTATTTCGAGGTATCCTCTTTGTCTAAATTAGGATACTGTGTTTAGTTGTACCCGATTAGTTGCCCCTTTTTTGCTTTGTTGAATTTTCTTTGTTACAGCAATTCCATCTCATTTCGCACTAAGTGCTGATCGAGTATGGCACGTCTCATTCACACACACCTAGACGAAGCAAACACCCCAGGTCCCCGCCCAACTTCTTCAACACCATCACCAGAAGCACTTAATTCCGATAAAGAAAATCGGCATCAAGGTATCAATAAGAGAACTACCGCTGCGATGCCACCGTCGCGTGCACAGAATAAACGACCGCGACTGGCTGACCGCCCATCGAACGCCCAGTCTGCGCAATCTTCTCGGTCTGCTCAGCCTGCTCGATCCGCCCAGTCTGCCCGATCTGCGCAGTCGCAAGCATCATCTCAACGAACTAGCAGCGATACACGATACTATGACCCTGATCAGGATCCCGAAGAACGGAGGAGTGTACGGAGGGGACTTCGAGACCTGGGTAGGGAACTTAACGGTATGTTACTTTCTCTGGACTCGAGACTCAAGTAATGGTGCTCTAACACGTTTCACAAAGACACGCGAGGCGAGCTCATGCAGCCTGGAAATGATGGTATCCTCAACATTGTCGAACAAGCGAATCAATTCTACGCCAAAGTGAAGCAGACCGCCGACGCCACGCTCGATTCGCGCATCCTCGTCAACACCGCTGATCTAACGCAAAAGAAAGCCACACAGCTCGCTCTCGGTGACGCCTCCGCCGGTATCGATGTGGACGAGTTCGTCTCCAAGTGTGTATCCTTTATGCGTCGCGGTCCAAACAATGCGACGGCTACAACAAACAGCACACAGGGGCGCCGAGGGCGCCTTGGCCGAAGCCAAAGAGACGCCGATGCCAGTGACGAAGATGATGGCGATGCGATGAACTGGGACACGCTTGGCCGATCGGCCTGCTTTCCTAGCAATGCTCGTCCAGCAGTGTCCGGATGGTTGCTGGGGCCGCTTTCGTTACAGAAACGTACGCGGCAAATGACACAGCGAAGAGTAGCAGAACGTATTGATCCGACGCAAGCCGTGGCGCCCCGAGAAATGGCACAGCAGGATCTTGGCCAGCAGGAAAGCTCGAATCTGACTCAGATCTGTTCCGAGATCAACAAGCTGCTCGCCAACAGCCAGGATGACCGCGAGAGAGCAGCTACGAAAGAGCTTAAAAGTGAAAAAGATCTTACCCCAGAGAAAGCGCAAGAAATCATGGATAAGCACAGCGTGGCAGACGACGGGGGAATCCCTTTGTTTCGCTTCTGTATCAACCCGAAGTCCTTCGGGCAAAGCGTGGAAAATTTGTTCTACGTGAGCTTCCTCGTGCGAGACGGTACAGTGGGTGTATCAGTAGATAGTCGCCAACTGCCGACCCTGCGTGAGTATTCTTCAGCATGACTGGTTGATAAAGCACTAATATCTTGATAGATGCGGCCGCCCCGTTCGCCCCCAGTGAAGCTCAAAAGAAGGGTGTGCAAAAACATCAGGCGGTCTTTAGCCTGGACCACGAAACGTGGTACGAACTCATCGATGTTTTCAATATTAAGGACTCTATCATCCCCCACCGCGAAGAGAAACAGCAAGAGACTGGCACAAGTTGGTATGCCTAGGCTCCTGACGACGGGATTCCATGAGTGTGTTTTGCAAGATACCCCTTGATCTTTTGGCTTGCATTGGTCAATAATTTAGCTTTGTGTGAATATGTATTCTATGACATATAGTTCAAGAGTACACCTGAAAGGCACAATGGAGAAATTCCAGAACAATAAGCTAGTACTAGTAGTCTCTTGTAATGTATATAAGTGTATTCCAATTTAGCCAATTCCATACAAAGTACTCTGCCGAGGTCTCTGACAAATCTGGGCTCCGAAGTGGGGAGAGATAAGCCTACGTCATTGTCTGGCCACTTCCTTCTCTGAACTTCTCAACCCTGCTCTTCAATCATTTACTATTTTATTGAACTTTCCTCTCTATTGGTGTGAGCTTTACAATATTCAAGACACATAAATTGAGACAACCAACGCCAGCTCTCGACCTCAAAAAGTACAAAGAAAAGGAAACACACCAAAATGCCACAGCTGTTTCCAACCAACCCCTCTGCGACCATGGTAATTCGCCATGTGACGCCAGAAATAGTTACCATGAGCCTGCCATTCTCACGATTTGGACACCTGCAGTTTGGCGGGCGAGGGACGCTGGGTGAGTGCCGACCCTTACAGAGCTCACTCACCAGGCGCATACCACCTTGGGGGACAGGGGATGACGTGCAGCCATGTCGAGCCCACGGGGAAAGGGGGGCCATGTCTAAGATCTAGCGCTAACGCTCCTTGCATGAGGCAGTCAAGCTTGCCACCGGCTCCCTCGCGGTATTCTCACCCGTCGGCCTAACCCCCGAAGTCCGCGAGACAGTCGAGTCCCTCGGCGGAAACGTCAGATACATCACGGCGCCAGACATCGAACACCACCTCAACCTCACCCCATGGAAGAACGCATACCCGCAAGCAGAGATCCTGGCCCCGGAGGGTCTCTATGAGAAGCGGCAATCGAACCCGGAGTTCCAGGACACCCCATTCAAGCACATATTCAAGAAGGACGATCAACTGCCGCGGTCGATCTCGAAGGAGTTCGATGCTGAGTTTGACAGCGAATATGTATATGGTCATGGATCGCGCGAGTTGGTGTTTTTGCATAAGCCCACGCGCACCGTCATTGAGGCAGATCTGCTCTTCAACCTCCCCGCTACGGAGCAGTATTCCAAGACCCCCGAGGCGGGAACTAATTTCCTTACCAAGCTTATTATGCCGCTGTTGTCCACCAAGCCGCCGGCTACATGGCAAAGACGGTTTGCGTGGTATATTCTCTCCTCACAAGATCGGGCTGCGTTCAATGAGTCTATGAGAAGGATTGATCAGTGGGACTTTGATCGTTTGATTCCATGCCATGGTGATACTATCGAGACTGGTTCCAAGGGGATATTCCGCGATGTGATGGCATGGCACTTGAAGCAGAAGAATACATAGTTCTTCTTGTCTCGAAAATATTGTAAACATGTGTGCTTTTATTTTGACTTAGGAGTTGCGGATGGGAGGTCATTGTGCATCGGCATGTATTTTTTTTTTCTTTTTCTGGCACTTTATAGGCAGCATTATTTCAAATTGATCTTCTCTCTTGGCTTTACCAAAGTTATCCTCGTTATGGCGGTCATTGCTATTCATAGTATCAATGGCCCACTGTATTAGCTCAGATTGTAAAACTTTGCATCGCCCGCATGTTTCTGAGCTCTTCCTGCATGTAGATTCCGATGTTTGGCTATGTCTGCCTACTTCTGTCATATCTCCACTTGTCAGAGATGAAATACTAATAATTTTTCGCAGTATTTTTTATAATTAACAAGCAGAATAACTCGAGATCCCCATCAAAAATCATATAAAAATCAATAAAACCAAGCTTGTCAAGTCCCACTCTGTGGCCCCACGTCATAAGGCTGAGAGACGAGCAAGGGTCAGATGACTCGAATTAACCATGATGTCAGTGTCATCAGAGGTGTCTACAGGTACGTCTCTTCGCTTCAAACCTGATTTCCCTTGTCTACGGTAGCTCGGCAATTAATAGCATATGTCTAGATGCACGCACCTGTCAGACAACAACAATGATCGCCCTGAGTGGAGACCAAACCCAATTCTGGAGAAAACCAGAGCTATCGCCAATAGTCAATGGGATCGGCAGTCCACTCATCACTCAAAAGCCAAGCCACTGAAGTATATCACAATCCAGCACAGAAGACCCCGTATTCCGCGCCAGCACATCGTCACGGGACATTTTCTAACATGGGAAAGCTGGGTATGGGAATATAGGGATGATAATATGAAGGCAGCAGTGCTATCCAAGTACTTTCAGGGCTATGCAGTACCTGTATCCCCTTATTCCTGACAGCCCATAGGCCCACTCCTTGCTCCGATCGGGTGTTGAGGAGCATTCAGCCACAGTCCACATCAGCGGTCAGTCCGCCACGAAAAGTCGATCACTTACCCATCCAAGCCCGGAAAACGGGTTGGGCACGTTTTATTCACTGTACACTGCGACCAATAATGACCTCGGCTTGTCGTAAAGAACTCACTGTACATGGAACTGATCTGACGACATCGGTAGGCTTGAATTGACTCTATTGGTTGCGCCTAACGCAAGCTCTGCTTTATTTTGGATTCTTTTTACTTGAATTTGGCTTTTTATTATTATTATTGGGTTTTCACATTTGGCCCTTGCTTGAAAGACACACTGTCGCTCCCTCTCGGGGTTTGCCTGTCTGTGCGACCTAACATGTTATATAACTTCTTGTTTCCCCCAGCCCATACCTCCCATCCCCCTCTACAACTTTTCACACGAGCTTAACAAATTATCTCCTTAAACAATCACACCATTTCGGTTTATTGAAGGAGCAGCTCATTGATTTGACAACACCTCAACAATGCCCGTCATTTCACGTCTCGCGTCTATCATCCTTCGCGTTGCGGAGATCGCCTTTGCAGCTGTGAATAACCCCGATCTATACCAACATAAAAACCGCATCTGACTCTCTTTTAGGTCGTCGCAGGTGTTATCGGACACTACCTGGCCGAGGTCAACCATAGCGGCGCAGATGTTGACTGGTGGCCCCAGTCGCGATGGATCTATACTGAAGTAATCGCTGGCTTATCGATATTGCTCGGCCTCATATGGCTGATCCCGTTCTCGTCGGGATTCTTCTCCTGGCCAAGTACGTGCTGGATATACTGCTGGTAAATGTCGACCAATGCTTACTGGAATCTAGTGGATATTATCATTTCGCTTGCCTGGTTCGCTGCCTTCGGTGTACTTGTCGACACCCTCCGCCATATGCCTTGCGGCAGTATCTGGTCCTGGCACTTTAGAGGGGATCAGATGTGTGGCCGGTGGAAGGCAGCTGAGGCTTTCAGCTTCCTTTCTGCTATTATCTGGCTTGTTTCTGCTATCGTGGTATGTGATGCGAGTATCCAGTCCACATGAATAAATACTAATAAGCCTTAAGGGAATCTGGTTCACCTTCCGCGTTCGCGACAGCACCACCGACAGAGTGTAAGTGATCAATGCACAATTTCGAATAACACAATCTTAATTCATTGATACTGACATACTGAACAGTCACCGCCGCCGCTGGGGTCGTCGTTCCGCCGTCTAGATAGTAACATTGACTCATCAAGTCTCTATCTAAGCAGACATGAACACCAGTACTCGGCCGTACACGACCCAGTATGTCTCGCACTCAGCACAATACCAGTGATATCAATTTCTTTGTGTTATTCTTGCTTCTTTGTTTTCTTGTTTTCTTGTTTTCTTGTTTTCTTCTCGTGCTCGCCTCATGATTTGGAGGACAACGACTTACGACTTACGTTGATACCCTTGGTGGAATAATATTTTGGTGCTTTGTTTGCAATTTGGCTTTTGATCTTGGTGTAAACCGACCCGTTCTGCAACTTATTCTTAATACATGCAGTTCCTTTGGGCATTATTCTATATGGCCACTGGGGCTTGCATCTTAATTGACCACAGCTACGCATGTTGGTTGAATAGTCCTGAAATACTTTGTTACACCCACACCCTCCTAGTCTCGGATACTCGGCCTGAGTAACAAAGAATCGTCAACAAGGCCATTATATCACAGATCCATTTGTTTGATATGTTTCCTTTTTCGCCTTTGTTGCTTTCTTGTTGTCTTCTACTCGCTCTTTCTTTTTATTCCCAATAATACCCTCCTTGTTGTGGCAAGTGTGACCTAGGAATAATATAAATATACCGTATCGGACCTTCATACAATATTCCAGCGAGCCAGAGCAGTACTTGACTATCCACTCTTACTGACTTTCCAATTAGGGATTTATCTGTCTTGTTCATCGTCACTAAAATTCGTCACAATCTATTCCGCCACACGTTTGGGTTTTTGGTATCAGTGAGCAGCCATGTCGGTTGTGCTAGACACCACTTCGTCCCGGCTCTTTCAGATTACACGCGATGTATTCCAGTCCCGCTGCCAGCAGCTCATTGATGACATCCTGTACAATGGCTTGTCGCTAGAGGATGAGCTTGCTGGTAGGGTAGGTCAACTTCATCGGTCATTGGAACAGCTTGAACGAGCCGGACATATGATGGCCATTGATTGTCAGACCAATGAGCTTGTGCGTGTTGTACCTATTGGATTTTTCACTGTCCTTATCGACCGCCCCGGACAGAGCCCAATGTCCGAGTTTGATTGGGCCTGCATTTATACTGCTGACACTTTGAACATGCTGACCGGAGACTTTATGCGCTACAGATCTCCCGATGATGTTGCTCGCAACATCGAGACTCAGTTATTCCTCTGGGATTTAGCTGTGCCCTTCCCTGTAACGATTTCCCAGGCTGAGGATACCGCCCCCGCACTATATGTGAATGCTCTTCAGATCCCTCTAGCGGATCGTTTTGCTCGTATGAACTCTCGGATTCCGGCGAGGCCTCGCCCTCCTCCTCCAGTCGACACTTATTTGGCTTACAACCGGCCCATTCCTGGTCCTTACACTCCTGCGTTGCCTCCACGACCTGTTCCTGAGTTCGATCCTGAGTCTGAGCCTGAGTCACCTCCAGCTTCTAAGATTGGGGGTCTTTATATGAGACCTAGCATACAGCCACGGTAACCTCTTATTATCTACCCTTACATTGGCTTTCACCATTCACGTTTTTCGTCGCAAATTGATAGTAAATCGACTTTCGAGCATGTCAAGCCTAAACGCCTGGTTGGCCTCCGTTTTCACCTCGGTCTTCTTCGTTCCAATTGGTTCGATTATACTCCCTCACTCATATCACTAGTTTTTAGGTAATATCTTGAGGTCTGCTAGGCTGATTACTACCTAAGGCTATGACTACTTCAGATTGTTCAATTTCTTTTGAAATTTTGATTGAGAAAAGTCCAATAAACGACTACTGTTTGCGTTAAATCTTAGTTTTTGAATATATCATAGTAAAATAATACAAAAAAGGCTAGACCTCCGGAAAGCGAACAATGTTTAAAGCCCAACCCGCCCCAACCCACTAGTGGGCTGGGTTTGGGGCCCGGTCCTTAGGCCCACCGATCGGCCGTGGGCCCGGGGTAAGGTCTTATTGGGCTTTGGTGGGGGCCTGATAGGCCCTGAACAATATAAACATTCCGAAAAACGTGACTTTTTTAACTACCCTATGTTTAAACTCCGTTTGTAGCTCTTATTTCGAAGTAATATAGCGATTATAAGACGCCAGTTTATAAGCGCCGAGACCCCCTTAATGGGCTGTGGGTTGGGTTGGGCTTCGAAGGTTAAGCCCATAGCCCACTAAGGGCCGATTTATGGGCTTTGCGGAGGTCTATAACAGACGGTGAAATTCGCAACATTTTTAGTGATTCTAGGAATGTCAACAGACTTCTAAAGCCCCAACGTAATATGTGACACAAGACTACCAGGAGTCGTTGAGCTTGCAGTAGCATCGCGGTGGCCGACTTTTGGTTTGGAGCCTAAATAACCGGGCTGTTGACCACTAGCAAATATCATCTTCATATATGTAGCCGTGTGGTTTAAACTGCCGGCATACGTGAGCCAGAATTAAATTCTTGATTTGAGTCTTATTCTTCCTATTTCTATTACAACCACTCCAATGTGTGTACGCCAATTTTCTGTCGTTCACTGAACAATGAACAATGAACACATGGTCAAGTATTTTGATAATTTCATCTAGCAGGCCAAGCTAGACAGCCTGTATCGTTTATCAACAAGTCAATCCCCAGGAAGTCTGCGTGAGATGATTTGCAAGTGATGTATTGGTCAAAGGCGAGTTGATAGCCGAAATTAATTGCCAAAGTTCATCACAGCTCGCACCTTCGACAGCAGTGGCCATACGAGCAGCCAAATAAGAACTTTCTTTCAGCTTGCGCAGAATCTTCCAGCATTTGTGCAGCGAGCGAGAGCCCTGGCGTGTGTTTATTCGGGTGCTAGCTTGGGAAGGCTGCCTGTGGTAGCCTAAGGCAAGTACCAACAACGCCGAGGTTGGACATGGTAGCTGCTCAGATAGTTCCAGACAGTCAATCTCATCAAAGGCATCTGTGATATCCAGCAGGCACTTCTCAGCTAGTGCAGACCGAGAACCCTGTCCCGGGACAGCGAGACTGCCACCCAACACTTCTGTCTCGTGGCAGCATGCTGCGTACAATGAACCAAGATAAAGGAGACGAAGCCATAATTGATGCAAATAAATGCTCCGTTCGCAATCTGTCGGAGCCAGGTCCATTGGACATTGATGACTAGCGGATACGGGAAGCTGCAGTTGCCATCGGCGATGCTCCTCTATCTCCCCTTGTGCTGATCTTGGCTTCGAATGGGCTTGAGCATTCCCTATGTCTTCTCCACACACTATTTTCTGTACTCGGTTCAGGATGCTTGAAAATCGAGACAATTGACAAAGCTTAGTCTTTTCAATGAAAACTACAGCTTGTGTCTTTTGGTATTCGACGTCGCGAAGAACCTCACAATCATCTACAACTGCTCGCGATTCGGGTGGGAAGATATGCAGTTGGAAGTCACTCAATGCGACCATCGATATATCAAACAGATTTCTGTCCTCGCGATCTTCTTTCATGCGTACCACAGAGAGTAGATTATCCATTGTTAGTCGAGTGTGGTTATGCACGCTCCACCAGATGCGTCTGCGCGTCTTTTGCTCAGATGTGAGGACAGAAGAATCTGGATTACGGTGGAGGCCGATAGAGATTGCTAACGACAGACAGATACCTATCCAGTGGCTGGCGCCCTTTTCCGATTGAGGTAGGTCATTCCAATGGACGAGTAGAAGCAGGGCTTGCACCGTTGAAATTGGGTCATCCTCGCAATTGAGTTCCAAAAGCACCTAGCGGAGCTGTTAGTGACAGTGAACAGTAGAACAGATAGTGTAGAAATTTGATTGATGCGAACCTTTACTCGCCGAAATAGAACATCGCGCGCTACCTGTCGCGACAGGTATCCCTCGTTTTGGATGTGTGATATATCCACGAACGCAGACGCGGCAAACATGACTGCGTGGAATAAAAGCAGGCTGATGCGAGTTTTACCGTCATTTGCAGCGATTGAACGCAGAAATCCATCAAGATCCAACACTGGCACTTGAGGGTGTACCCATAATATGTAACTTTTCAAAAGCTGCTTTCGAAATGGAGCCGTGGGAAGACACATAGCCCCTTTGCTCTCTAGATAGTCAAGGTCACTCACTTCTAGACTAGTTGGAAGCTCCGATACGTATCGAGGGGTATTATCCAAGGGAGCTCGATCGGGCGCCTTAGGGCCGAGCAGTTGATGCATGATTGCGACGTAATTCTCTAACGGATCGGTCGCTGGGACTTTTGCAGTGATGCGAGTCCGAGGTAATTCCTCCCGATCAGTTTTGCGTATTTGAGATTCAAACAATCCATCTGGATCAAGGACGAGTTCTTTCCATAAGATACGGTTCAACCTAGGGACGTGCCGCGGACCTCATCCCCACTTACCATCACAGTAGATCCTAGACGGGAGTCTCTTCTTCGTTGTGAATCTGTTTCCCGATATATCAGCCAACAAATAGAAGCCCCATATAATTTCATCCTAGGGGAACTGAGGAAACAACCCACTCTTGGCTAGCGCTAGCGATGCCGTCGCAACGGGCGTTCGAGCGGCGACAGTTGGAGCATGGGATGCCCCGGACACCTATGTAGCACCGTTCCCGTTGAGCGACACAGTGCGAGCAAGCGCCCGATTCAATTGTCCTGGCTCTTTTAGGAGTGTGGCCCATGACTCAGTTGATCGAAGCCTAGAACAGAAATTTGAAGAAGAATTGATGTCACTAGAGTAGAGGGACTTCGGCACGCGGAATAGAAGATATGCGCGGAGGTGTATGAAGTGGAAGTGGACAGACCAGAGAAATCTTCGTTGGTTTCTTCATCCTTGTCGCATTCTGTCATATGACCAGTTAATTCGCAGCCATGGAATGAGCCCGCGAGGTTCTCTTCAGATCTTGCGGGGAAATTCCGCGGGTTTACAATCCCGGTCCACCTGCGCCTGAGCAAGAATGAGGCTTGGTCAGTAGAATGAACTATCCATGAGCCAGGGCTAGACTGCCCAGAGAGATTTGGCAGCGAAGAGAATGGCAGAATTCAGAATGGTTGAGAAGTTCGGGGTTCTTTCCGATTTTCCACTTGGTGGGATCTATTGTTTGTCCTTCAGATTTGATGGGTACATTTTCGCACTTGACTCCACACTCTGACCCTATGCGTTGCTGTCTGATGTACTCCCGACCGCTACGATGCCAAAATCCAGGGCACATCTGTCCAAAAAGCGAATTCAGCGACAGAGATCCGTGAGAGCGTGCTCCAGCTGTCATTGTCGAAAGGTGAGGTGCGATGTCACCATCATAGGCGCCCCTTGCACTTCATGTCGCTTCTACGAAGTCCCTTGTTCAATACCCATCGACAGAAGAGCAAAGGGAGCCAAGGCTGCGATAAAAAAGAGATTAGAAAACCAGGTTATGGGAGACGTGGTGGTGATGGACAAAGACGGTCTGGGCGCCCCCCAGACGGTGGGTATAGGTATGTGCTGGGAGATAATCGAAAGAGGAAAATATAACAACAAGCCATTCTAACTCGGAGACAGACCACACACCGGAATTTTGGACGGAGCCACAGCATACCTCCCCAGACACCATCGAAAACGCACCATTTCTCAGCAATGTACGGGTGGATTCGAGCAAATGGCTGCCAGAATATGCTAGTCCCATGTCGCCATCGATCACCTCGGCAGACTGCCACGCTCTTAATGAACAAGGTGCATTTAATGTCCCAGGCCCCAGGATCAGAGCAGGGATTTTGAACGGATATTTCCAGTTTGTGCATCCGGAACTACCGATCTTGAGCCCGGAAGATTTCTTGATGGTTCTTGATAAAGGCTATAGCGGTAGTCGGGGTATCAGCTTTCTATTGTTTCAAGCGGTGATATTCGCCGCCACTGCATTCCAGACAGCCGATTCTCTGGCGCTCGAGGGATTCAATGATAGGAGAGAAGCACGACAAGAGCGATTTGAGCGCATCAAGCTTCTTTATTCATACGGCTGCGAAGAAGACCGCATCACTATTTTGCAGTCTGTGCTGTTGATGACATATTGGGACGACACTTCCAATCAAAGCCAGGATGCCTGGCATTTTCTTGGCGTCGCGAAGGCCATTTTGGACTCAGTTAAAACGAGCCCAACCGCTTCGGAAAGAAGATTCATTCGACAGAAACCGGGGCTTTGGAATCGAATCTCTTGGTCGTGTTACATCAGAGACCGGCTAGTTTGCCTCCAAACGAGACGCCCATTTCAATTTGAGGAGGCTGAGTTTAATTTCCACATGCTCCAACCTTCAGACTTTGAAGTCGGTCCCTTGCCGACCAGGTGTTGTCTCGGGAGTGATGGAAGCCACCCAGCGATTAGGGATCCCTCTATGCAAAGTGTTTTGTCTCAAATCAGCATCTCTTTACTAAAATGCTGCAAGTGTATCACACGTATTTTGGACTGCCAATATACCCTTTCTTGGGAGACAAACCAATCCACAAACACACCCAGGAAGATTCTTTCCCCGAGGCGTCCCCATGCCATGAATGTAGAAGTCTTACTCCGTGATATTGAGCTTGGGGAATGGTTCACTGCTCTACCTGACGCTCTTCGATGGTGCTCATCCGACCCTCGCTTTCAGAGCAGCAAGCACGGAGATGTGCTTTTGCATTTCCGTGCAATGCTGAGTGGTATATACAGTATTGCTTGCAGCGCGCTGCATCGTCCACAGCTTGCAGTAGTGGCCTCCAGACTTCCTGAGCTCATCGAACTATCTAGACGAAGACTTCGTCACTCGGCAAATACGATCACCCAAATATATAAATATTTTAGCTCTCAGGGTCTGAGTCACTTGTTTTCTGATTCGCAAGTCGCAATGCTGTCAACCGCTCCCGTCACACATCTGGACAATGTCAATTCCACAGAGCCTTCGAACCGCCAGTCAGGCATGGAATCCTTTCAATCATGTACGCAGGGTTTCCAACAGCTCAGAGAAACATATCCTTCTGCGGCTTCAGCTCTTGATTCTGTGGATGATGCTATTCGAAAGACAGCCATTTCACTTGAAATAAGAGATACCCAACTCAGCCGCCTACTGAACAGTGATAGAGCCAGCTATGGCGGAACAATAGTGACTCAACCGGAGTACAACGACCGCCCAGAAACTGTCACCGCATCATCGACTATTGCACAACAACTTGGCAATCTTGATCCCCCGCAAATTAGCAAGCTCCTCTGTTCTCATTTTATGATGACACCCTCTGAAAGGAGTCTACTACAGGATCTTGCATCCACAGAAGCAAATAGTTTGGACTTACATTCCGACGGGGATAGCGCCTCTGATGAAGACTCATATGGTTCCAGTGGACGAGACCCTGCTCCATATAAGTCGCAGCTCTCATCCACACAAATAACACCACAGACAGAAACAACTGTCCCTAATACCCAAATCCACCCTTCAATAGAGCTTTACGAGCATGAGAACGCCCAAGATGACTGGGACCTTCTGCAATCGTTACTACTGGCGCCAGATGACAGATGCAAGATGCATTCTATGCCTAATGATCAGGATGAGGATATTACTTGACAGTACATAGATTGCATAAAATCTCATGTACTATGCCTGTACAAAATGACGCCTGAAACTACCATTTTGAAACTAAGAAATACTAGTAGTATGATATTGGCCGCTTATTTCAGTCATCTTCTTTTGTTCTTTTCTATAACTAGACACTAGACTCTCTCGATCTGCGCCAAATGACCCTGACCGTCTGACTTTTCCGCTGCTTGGTTTGAGGAGGACCCAGGAGTATCTATCAGCTCATTCGAATGGCCTCTGTGCTTCACGAATATGTAATCGATTTCTTCCAGTGTCTTTCCGCTTGTCTGCTCTCACAAGTTTGGTCAACAGCCGTCATCAACATACACATGAGCAAGCAAGGGGATCACAAACCTCAGGCATGAAGAAATAAACAAATGGAATACTGAGCGCAGTCATAAGACAGAACAGAAGGTAGATCTTCCAGCCTGTATTGGCAATAGCGGGAGGTGTCATTTGTGCGATTACCTGATCACACGTCCAAAGTTAGCCTGATGAAAGCTTGGGGAAAAATGAAAGATGAATGGGTTCTAACAAATGTCCATAGCCACTCGGAAAAGCAGCCAACAGCTGCGCCAACATGGCGAATATTGAGTGGCGTGATCTCTGGTGCATATAACCAGGGCACTGAGTTCCAGCTCATTCCAAAAGATATTTCGTAGATGATAAGCATTCCCAAGGCCAATCGCGACGATGCAGGTGTCTTCAGTGCGATTCCTACTGTGAACAATGTCAAAGCCAGACAAAGGATAGTCGATCCTAACATCAACACTTTTCGTCGACCCAGTCGGTCAATGAGGAATATCGGTGGGAATGTGCCAACCCAGAACGCGATCTGGATAAAACCGGCCACAAGGCTACTCATTTCGGGCGAGAGTCCAACGTTCGTTTCGAGTACGATTGTAACTAGGCAGAACTTTAGCTTCTGGTAGATAATTGGGTAATTGCGGCTTACCGTAAAATGCAATCACGTTGATTCCAGTGAATTGTTGGAATAATTGGATGACGAAACACAATGTCAAGCGGCGCGCATACTTCATTTCCGTTTTCTCGAACAACAAACTTGAGATAGACAATTCCTTCTTGTTGTTTTGCTCCACCGACAGAGCTTGCTCCATCTCAGCCACGACAGTGCACACGTCAGGATGATCCTGCGACAAAGCAAGCAATTTTGAAAGCACAAAGATAGCTTCGCGTTGCTGCCCATGTGAGTAGAGCCATCTGCAATTGTTACTAAATTGCGTTTGATTCATTACTTCAATATGGTATAACGTACCTTGGTGATTCGGGTAATAGTGGCATAGTAAAGATGGTAACTAAAGCGAAGAAATTTTGAAAAGCCAGAGGAAAGCGCCAGACAACCTGGAAAAGATGTGAGCAAGATCATTGATATGGGACGCCAAGAAAGGGTACCTCGCCAATCTGAGTACGAATCATGCTGTAGTCTAGCCAGTAGGCAAGGACAGTACCAAACTATTGGAAATCGTCAACAAAGGCTTGGTGCGGTGAGAACGTCGGGTTGCGTACAATTACAATTGACATCTGGATGGCGAGTGATCTCCCACGTACGGCCATTCGGGATGTTTCAGAGACGTAAACGGGAACTGTTGAGGTATTGATACCTTTTGTTTCAGATTGCGAATTAGTGTGTGAGTTCTCGATCTTTGTAAAGGCAGGATATGCATACCATTGCCAACCCCAGAAATGATTCGACCAGCAATCAGCTGGCCTGCGCTGTATGTGCTGGCCTGGACTGCACCGCCTATGGTCATAATCACACATCCAAGAGTAATGGCATTTTTTCTGCCCAATCGATTGCCAAATAATGCCGCAATCACACATCCTAAGAGACAGCCGACGTTGAAAAGAGCCACTATGGTCCCTAGATACCCAGAGCTAGGATTACCAATGGCTTCCAAGAAACCTGGGTATGATACAAAACCACCCAGGACGCCTTGATCGTATCCAAACAAAAGGTATGCACTTCCAGCGCTCACCGCAATAGCAATCTGTAGCGATTGACCTTTCAGATCTAACATAGTTGCAGAAAATCAGAACGTGATCATTCGCCTCAAGAATAGGTCGTGCTAGTGAAGTTTTATATCATCACTAAATTCTTGTCTAGATCGGGATATCACTCCCGATATTGTACTCATAAAATGCGGGGAGTGTGGAGGCGGGTGATCTTGAAGTCTCCATTCTAGCCTGTACTCTGAAAACTGGGGTATACTACAATTGCCGAGGCTGTCCAATTTTCTTTTGGACGGGCAAGGTTAGTTTGCATGACAATGCTTGCCTGACTCATGCAAGGTAATGGAAAGTTTCATGCTTACAAGCCACAGAATGACTAGAGGAATAATGCCAAGGTAAAGCTTTTAGCCGGATCATTTTATTCCGTGACATTGCTTTTCCGATTACTGATGAGGGCTACCAAAACATTTAGTCACTCGATAATACGAAATGATTCGAGTTTCGATAGAAACATAATTAAGGGTCTTATGGTTCCTATGGTAGGTGGTCAACAGCTTCTCCTTATCGTCATGACATTTATTTTTAGATGTTGGGTTACGGCAAAACGTCTCCTAATCAATAGGGATTTCTACCCGCGGAAATATATTGACCAAATGCTGAGGTTGTGACAGAACAGCGTACTTGATGTTTCTGTAAAATCCATGACTTATTGGTCTGTTTCTTTTCACACGCGAGCAGTCTCTTGGTGGAAATAATGAACCTCCTCTTTCTCATTCGAACATTGGTCGAGAGAATGAAGATTGGTCCGAGGAGCTTCGCCCTCCTTTTGAAACAACAAATCAATTTCTTCGAGTGTCTTCCCCGTCGTCTCAGGGCACATGAAGTAGACAAAGGGCACGGCCACTGCGCATGAAAGGAGGCACCAAAGCCACAACTTCCACCCAACTTTCTCGAGCCCAATACCTCCCGCAAAAACAGTAATAAAGCAGAAAAGCCATTCGCCAAATGCACTAGCAGCACCTCCGATGTGACGGAATTGTAACGGAGCGATCTTTGAGTATGTAAGCATGCTACCTCCACCGTTCAGGGATTGGGCTTGGAAAAGCTTACCTCGGGACCATATAACCAACAAACGCCGATCCATCCATATCCAAATATAAGATTGTATACAATAATTGCTGCGACTGCAACCCATTGCTTTGTCAGTGTAGGATTCGGGGATCCGATCATTGCGACAAAAACACCGAGACACATTGTTAGACCTCCAGCTGAGAACATCAGTATTTTCCTCCTTCCGAATACTTCAATAGTTGGAGGAAGGAAGAGGGAACCGATCGCGAAGATAGTGTTCATCACAGCCGCGAGAAGTTGGGACAGCGTAGAGGAGAGGCCAATCTGTGAAAATATAGTGACACTGTAGTAAACGGCCACGTTGATCCCTGAATACAATAAGAAAAATCAACAGCAAGTTCAAAAAGGTGAATTAAACTTACCCATCATCTGTTGTAAAGACAGGATCAAGAAAGCAATGCGCAAACGTCGTCCCACCCGCAAGTTGGTTCGATCCCAAAAGAGATCTAGCACATTCAAGCTTTTGGTTTCCTCAGACTCAAGTTCAAGGGATGCCAGGATGGACTCTCGCATGGTTTGGACCTCGGAATCCAAGACAGGCCGGTTGTAAAGACGAGATAGGACTTCATCCCCTTCCTCTAGACGACCGCGAACGTAATACCATCGAGGCGTGTCCGGCAGCAAAAACATCCCCACGCCCGAAGCAGCGGCGAGGCCGGCTTGAAACGCAACGGGAACGCGCTAGAGATATTGAGCGACTGCAGGAGAAAAAAACAATAAAATATATCTCTTACCCATGAAAGTTGATTGTCTAGGCGCGTGAAGCCAAAATCCACCCAGTATGCGAATGCACAACCACTCACAAGAAATATGCACTGGAATGCTACCTCTGGCCCTCGCTCCTTTTCCGTGAGACTCATCTCAGCCTAGGACCATATAAAGTCAGTGACCTTGCGTGACAGATATCCCTAATCGCAACCATACCATGTACGTTGGTACTGCACAGGATATAAACTGGCATGATGAATCTGTTAGATAAGCAATTCGTTAGTTGGGAGGATATACAAACACCGATGCCAAATCCCTGTTGTATGCTCTGTTAGATATGTTACCAACAACAGACAGCAAACTTACACAGATCACCCGTCCAACGATAATCTGAGGAACGGACCAAGATGAGGCTTGGAGAATTCCTCCAATGATGACCAACATGTCGCCAAGGACTATACAGCCTCGTCGGCCTAGGGGCATGCCAAGCCATGAGACTGCAAGTGCACATACCGTGGCAGCGAGGGTATAGCTTGATGCTACCATCGGAATAATATAAGGCCCGGTTGGGTTCTCACCTAGTCAGCCTGCTATCATAGGTCAAGTCTCCCTGGTACATACTCCGAGAGCCTCGCGAAAAGGACGTGTCTCCTGAACTCCGCCCAAAACACCAGCATCATATCTGTTTCTTTCTCAGCCAGATGAAAACCATGAGATTTCCGAGTCTGTTGCTTACCCATACAGTCCGAAAGCCTTGAAATAGTCAGTTAGGATATTTTGTGGAGTTGCATGTATATAGACCCACGTACCAAGCAACAGCAGGAACGCATGACACGGTATAATGCCTTCCCTCTGAGTCCTTGCATGATTGGCATTCTCTTGAGGCTTGAGATATCAGCAAATAGTTTGAATTCAGTAATTTAACCAGGGAAGAAATCCATGCCTTTTGAGGTTTCTTATATACAACTTGTAGGAGGACCAGATACGTAGCATGGACTTCAGGTGGGTCCCCAATATTAGTCCGGGGTAAAGATGGGGGATAACAAAAGGTTAATTGATTGACTCTACTCGTCGGTGGATCAATCAACCTCGCTCTTCTGATGACATACCACAGTGCTGGTGCGCCGGGTTTATAATCCCGCGGAGTGCAATATGTCCATGGATGTCAGTTTATGGACACTTGCCATCGGGCCCCACTCTCTTCCTCGGCCCTTTTATCGGGCCCCTGGATTTTCTAGGTAGCTGTTGAGCTTCCCCACGGCATTCTCGCCAACCTAGTCATCATAATAGGTTTTTGCGTTGTCGGTCCACACCGAGTGGGCCGATGCGAAGATATATAAAACAAATACCCAAGCGTTAGAATATCTTTAATCTCTCATTTAGATGTTCATACAGAGCCTCTACCATCATTCTCATAATGAATAGTCCAGATGTCATCGTTGTCGGTGCTGGGCCATCGGGAATTGCGCTGGCACACACCCTCAAACACAGATTAGGGTTCAACGACTTTACCGTAAGTCACCAAAAGAACAAAAAAAGGGAATCCGCCACAAGGGAAAATGCAAGTCTGACAATAGTATAGTTTTACGACAAATTGGGTGGCCCGGGAGGAACATGGAGACAAAACACATACCCAGGAGTGTACGTATAATCCTAATCGGCTTCTCATGCCTTGTCTAACCATACATATGGGCATAGGGGCTGTGATGTACCTACGCTACTTTACTCTTTTTCGTTCAACCAAAATCCTCACTGGTCAAAGGAACTATGTGAAGGGCCCGAAATCCTGGATTGTGGGTTGGACTGTACTGAACCAAAACATCATGAGAATCCACACTGACCCATGTCGCGTGAGTTAGATATGGAAGCAACTGTAGACAAGTTTGATCTCCGGAAGCACATGCAGTTTGGGGTTGAATGTATTTCCGCGTCCTGGAACAGTCAAGGGTTTTGGGAAGTCCAACTTTTTGATATCGAGACCCAGGTCAAATATACCCGAACTGCAACCGTGTTCATATCTGCAGTCGGTGGCATCTCCAAACCAAGAGACATTAAGTTTCCTGGGATGGAGAAATTCAATGGTGAGGTTTTTCACACTGCACGATGGAATCACGAGTTCGATTACCAAGGAAAGCGACTCGCGGTGATCGGCAACGGATGCAGTGCAGCCCAAGTGGTTCCTGCCATCGCAAAAGATGCCGCATCTGTGAAACAATACGCTCGGAGTGCACAGTGGTATCACGAACGGCCAAATCGGAATTTCACTTCTTTCGAGAAGTGGTGCCTGCGCAACATTCCACTGTGGGAGCGCTACCTCCGCTTGCGCCTGTTTCTTAGCAGTGACAGTCTCGTGGCTACCTATCTACCTGGGCCGACCGCCGAAAGGATGCGTGCAAAGGCCGAGAGCGGCGCACGCCAATACATTTATGAGACTGCGCCTAAGAAGTACCACAAGTTCCTTGTGCCCGACTTTCCTCTAGGTAAGCTCTGTCATTTGTATTGAAAATTCAAGCCTGCATTCTGATAGCGTCCTATAAGGCTGCAAGAGACGTATCTTTGATCCCAACTACTTGGAAAGCCTGCATCGCAGCAATGTCGAGTTGGTCCCTGTGGGGATTGACCACATTGACGAGACTGGTATCACCGGCACCGATGGTGTGCGGACCGAATTCGATGCGATTGTGCTTGCGACAGGCTTTGATGTCCAACAATTTGTTGTGCCTATGGAAGTGTACGGCAAGGATGGCAAAAGCCTCTCGCAGCAATGGTTAGAGTCCCGTGGTGCACAGGCATATATGGGAGTCTATGTGCACAACTTCCCAAACTTTGGGCTGCTGTATGTATTAGCCAGCCGAGTCACGAGTCCCCAAATGCTTAAACTGACACTACGCTCCACAGCTTTGGTCCCAATACCTTTCCGGCGCATAACTCTGTACTCTTCGCTTCCGAGGTACAGGTAGACTATCTTGCTCGGACATTGCTTGCTCCTATCATTGACCACCGGATTTATTCCTTGGAAGTCAAGCCCACTGCAGAATACCAATGGGTGAACGCATTGCAGACTGAGCTCAAAGGAAGTGTTTTCGAAGCTGGATGTTCCAACTGGTATATCAACACGCATGGACGTAACTCTGCATCATGGCCGGGCTATGCATCAACATACTGGAAGGAAACACTGAAGTCCCAGGTTGGTGTTTTCAAGATGGTGCCTCGGTCCAAGCTCTGGATGCTCAACACCATGTGGCGATGGATCCGAAGCACAAAGAAGGAGACGTATGGCATGCTTCTTGTCTCTATTGCTGGATTGTTGTGGCATCAGAAGGTCAGATTGGCCCATCAATTGCCGCACATTTACCAGAGACTTGCATCTTCACTTTTGTAAAGACTAGCTCTGTACTTCATAATTTTCCCGGGCCGTGGTTGCCTATAACTTTCTGTTGGCTGAACTGTTACATAATTGTCTCTAGGCTTAGAATAACTTGGAATATCTATGACAATATGTGGGAGGCTCTTCTGTTACCCTGAGCTTTGATCATTTATACTAGTACCAGTACCGATGATTTGACAATATAATTCGTTACACACTAAGTCCCCCGAGTTCAAAGTACCCGCAGTGGGTTCCTATAATCTGGTGAGCGACTCTCGGGTTTTGGCTTTTGTATCAATGCTATTTTACTGCCCTGAAGAGGCCTAGCTGAGTTATTCCAACGCACTGAGTGGAATTCTAAGGGTTGTTTCTTCACTGGTTAAATATCAAGTGGTGGGTGTTTGTCGAGTCAATCCTCCAACGGGACTTGCCTTTGATTAAAATCCAATAACGCCATCTATACACCTCCTCCAGAGTGCCTCTCTCTCTCTCATTTGACAGACTTATGCAATCTCCCTAGTTTTGGATTTATTACAATTCTTCACCCAACCGATAGGTGCGGACAGAAGGGTCAGACGATAATAAGGAATCCGAGGAAATGTAAACCCGTGGGAAAACCCCGAGCATGGACCCACACGTTCTAATTAACGATCATGGGTATATTGATGTAGATTTAGGTACGATTTTACACGCGGTGCAATATATAGCACTACTTTAGAACCGACGATCTACCCGAATGAAATCTAACCTGCACCTACGGGCGTATCAGCCAAACTCCCTTCCAATTTTCTACCAAACCGTGATAAATTAATTTGCCAAGAACTGTTCACCTCAGCTAAAATGAGGAACATCCGCCTTGCGTTCCGAGTCGCTGAAATGATTCCTCGCCGAGGGGTATCGCTGACTGGTGGGAAGTTCAGCCCCCGTGGTCGCATATTGTCAAAATATGCACCGAACGGAAGACGTGGGCTTAACACCAGCTCTCGCCAGTCGTCCAATGTCTCAGACACCACAAAGAAACTGATAGAGTCCAAGATATCACTCGATGGTAGGGTGACAATCATAACCGGTGTGTATATCAGACTAGCACCTCCCATATGAACAGCACTGACCTTTTCCTGGCAAGGAGGATCGCGAGGCATTGGCTTAGCCTTGGCCAAAACAGCGGCTGCACTCGGTAGTGATGTCGCTATACTAGATGTCCAAGAACCAGAAACGAGTGTTTCACAGCTGGAAAGGGAGTATGGTTCGCGTTTTATTTTTCACCGGTAAGACTTCTATCAGAATGCATACTTTTTGACATAAGCTAATTCGGTGTTTGTAGAATGGATGTCACCTCAAAGGTTGGCATGAACCTTGCTTTTGATAAAGTTGTTGAAGAACTAGGCAAGGTGGATAACTGGTGAGTTTCGCGATATGACCTTGTTCAAGACCCATTGAAAAAATATGAAATGAGCTCACCGAGTGCTTTACCATAGTGTTACATGCGCTGGGATTGCTCTTGACAAACCCTTTCTCGAACACACATGGGAAGAGTCTCGTCGGATTCTTGATATAAATGTACGGTTAATGCACACAGGTACTTGCTCGTGTTTTGCTGACAATGGATGCAGGTCCTTGGGTCCTTTTTCTCAGCACAGCTAGCTGCCAAGCAAATGGTCAAGCAAGGCAATGGCGGATCGATCGTTATGATAGCGTCCATCGCTGCCCATTGTGCCATCCCAGCTCAGCGAGTTTCAATTTATGGTGCCTCCAAAGGCGCTATCAAGCTTTTAGGGAAGACACTAGCAGTTGAGATGGCCCCATTCAACATTCGCGTCAATACTATCTCCCCCGGATTTATTGCGACTAAAATGTCCGCACAGTTTACCGATCTCCAGGAGGTATTCAAAACAACACCACCAATGGGACGGATTGGACAGCCTGAGGATCTGTTACTTGCCGTAGGTTATCTGCTAGGGGACGGGGCTTCGTATACAACAGGTACAGATATTGCTGTGACTGGAGGATTGCACAATGGGCGCATTGAGGTTTAAAGACTGCGAAGCAATAGTCCAGCCCGAATGGATATATACCAAAATTGGTAGTATAGTAATACAGAGCGAAGCTAAAGGTACCCGAGAAGTCGAGAAGCAAGAAATATGAATGACACATATTGAAGATGATGATTTCCCGTCACCTCCTGTTGTAATATACCAATGCTAGTAAGGAGGCATACTAGAAATTGTAGTCCAAGATCTCCAGATCTATGGAATACAGAAAGGATTATAAACACAATGTGGATGGAAACATGGGGGACCCAGGGGGAAATTGGATCTACCCATGAATCTTGCGTATGTACTATGTCGCAGAATGAGCAACATACCAAGCATGGTAGTAATAATATTTGATATGAACAGCGTTAAAACTCATCGATCAAGGAGTGATCAAGTTCTACGGTCGTACCGCTACAAGTGCGATCCCCGAGCCCCTGGTTTGGACCTTCGTTATGCTGTCGATGGACAGCGCGAGGTGACAATTCACAAACCACTTTCGACGGCAAGCACAGGGTCTAAATTCCAGCTTCAAAACAAAGTTATCGAGATTTACGCCAAAGGTTCGGCAGGCAGTGCTTTTGATACAGAGCAAAAGATTGTCGGTAGTGTGGCCGGCGAAGTGTAGATCACCACGCTAAGTGGTGAGTTTCGTGCCGAAATAAGCAAAATGTGGTGGCCCACGAGGTAGGCAACTCGCTGTGGAAGTCAGAGAGCTGTGATATAGTTCAACTTCTGACTCGCATATTACCCGGCTCCTAGGCCCCATAATGCCTCTACATCCTATACCAAATCGAAAGCCGGATGCAACATAGGAAGTCCAGACCACAGATAACACCGTTTTCCTCTATTGGTAACTGTCGTCCTTCGCCATTGCTTCTTGTCAATGAATCCATTTAATGTTTATATACTCTCAATAGTGACTACAATCTGCCACACGCGATTCCAGACTCATGACTCAAGATGGGACTCGGCGGCGTCATTATCTATGGTCTTTTCACGTATAGCTGCACATGTTACGGGTTTGCGAGTAACTTATGTGGCGGGGATGCAGCTCGACTCAAAAGCTTCGGGGCCTGATTCACCTTCCCTGTGAAGCCCGGCGACAAGTTGACCACGACCATGCGGTGGATTGGTATGGCCGGTGACCTGGAGGAAGCCAAATTTGTCACAAAGAATCAGGAGGCGAAGGTTGTTTTAAGTAATGGGAACGCAGTGCTTTTTCCCAGAATTTGCTTGTCTAGTCTATGATCGAGCTTGAAAATGGATGCTGTTCGAACATCAGTCTTCCAGGGCGTCTGTGGCTTTTCGGTTTCTTTCTCGATGCATGTATCCCAATGCACAGCTGTGCTGCGGGTATCCCAGCTACTATCTACCGAGGTCTATACGCAATATTACCAGCAAGGGATCTAATATTATTCCGTTCTATCGAGGCAACGTTCAATTGATTGAGGGCCACCTGGAGTATGTCTTTATCTCGAGGATTACGCATGGATTCAGTAGATCTCTGATATGTAGTTTGGGACAGACAGGTAGCTGGCAATATATTACAACGTCATAAATAAAGCAGAACTCCGGTACCCTGGGCCCGAGATTTTCCCGATGAACCGCGATCCGACCTAAGCCTCGGCATCCTGGGATAGCAATCCCGGTTGTCCAATGGACAAATCAGAGTAAGGGGAATATAAAATAGAAGTACACACCATCGGATGGTGGGATTTTGTGCTTTATTGAGCTTGACCACATATATATTCTAAAAGCGAAAAGCTAGTCATCACAGCATTCCACACTACACGATGAACGAATCTCATAATCAACTCCCTGTTCAAATAGCAAACCCTACGCTGTTTGACAGTCGGGGATTCATTGCAGGCAAGTGGAGATGTGCAGCTTCAAATAAGACGTTTGCTGTCATCGAGCCTTCCTCTGGTCAGATTCTTGCCCATTGTGCAGACTTTTCTCAGCAAGAGTTTGTCGAAGCCATTGAAGAAGCCGATCGTGGATTTCGAGAATATTTCCTTCACACCAATGCGAAGCAAAGAAGCTCACTTCTGCGCAAATGGAACGACCTTATCTTGCAGAATGTTGATGATCGTGAGTGAAACCTAGTTTTGTTCTAAATTCTTTTACCTATTGACAATAGATAGTTGCGACGATACTCTCTCTAGAGAATGGTAAAACATTGGCAGAGGCAAAGGGCGAGGTCACATATGCAGCATCTTTTGTTTCCTGGTTTGCCGAAGAAGCAGTTCGATCATATGGGGACGTCATCCCATCTTCTTACCAGAACACGACAGCTTTGACTTTCAAGGAGCCAGTTGGTGTATGCGGTATTATCACACCGTGGAACTTCCCTGCGGCTATGATTACTCGCAAGATCGCACCGGCATTTGCGGCAGGCTGCTCCGTTGTCATCAAGCCTCCGAGTGAAACACCATTTACTGCAATCGCATTGGTCCGGCTTGCTCTCGAAGCGGGTTTTCCGCCTGATATCGTGAACGTTGTACCGACCAAAGATCGCAATGCTTCTTTGGAGCTGGCCACACACCCCAAGGTCAAAAAGATAAGTTTTACTGGCTCGACGAACGTTGGCAAAATGCTCACCAAGCTTGCTGCTGGTACAATAAAGCGTGTTAGCATGGAGCTTGGTGGGAATGCACCTTTCATTGTGTTCAATGATGCAGACGTCGAAAAGGCTATTGAAGGAGCCTTGATTTGTAAATTCCGCTCTTCTGGTCAGACATGTGTTTGTGCCAATCGGCTTTATGTGCATGAGAATGTTTTGGAGGAGTTTACTCAGGGACTGATCCGTCGAGTCCAATCATTCAAGTTGGGGCGTGGAATCGACAAAGGGGTCACGCATGGCCCTCTTGTCAACTCTGCCGCTGTGGACAAAGTCAAAAACCATGTGCAGGATGCTATCCAGAAGGGAGGTCAGCTGCGATATGGTGGTGATGTACCAGCTGATACTCCCCCCGGTACTTTTACCAACCAACCATCATCACCAACGCCAATAAGGGCATGCTCCTTGCGACTGATGAAACATTCGGACCTCTCGCAGCCATTTTCTCATTCTCATCAGAAGATGAGGTCATCGAAATGGCTAACGACACCGAGTTTGGCCTGGCCGGTTACTTTTTCAGTGAGAACATTAATCGCGTTCTTCGAGTTGCGCAGCGGCTGGAATGCGGTATGATTGGCGTGAATACCGGGTTGATCAGCGCAGTCGAAACCCCCTTTGGAGGAGTGAAGGAGAGTGGCATTGGACGAGAAGGAAGCAAATATGGGCTCGGCGAATATCAAAACATTAAGGCCGTGACTATTGGAGGTTCATCTGCTTAGTTTATATCGAGTGGTTTGGATTACAGTATTATTGGAAACTGTCAGACTGGGATATGACCCCTCTAGGCCTTGAATAAGAACCGAGATTTTTGTTATGGTCTAGTTGTATTGTGCTCTACTATTTCTCACAGAAATGTTTAGACTGCTAACTTGATCTAAATTTCAGCGTAACTACCTAATCTCTCAAGATGTCTCCTCTCTAGGTAGCTCTAGAGCTTCTTGCACATATATTTTCAATTTGTCATTGCGCCTAACCTATATTAATTCCTAGACTCACCAGTTTCTTTGTCTTTCGAATCTGAACAACTAAAATATGGTGTGGCCTTGTTACAATAAGTCTGTTATCTAACCATTATGAGTCTCAAAGTCTCTAGATAGTATTAAGTAAATGTGTACACCTGGACATATTAAATCATGCAAGAACAAGTGGGGCCTGGGGTAAGTGGGTTCGGGGACTCCCTGGAGGGTTCCGGGGTAGTGTGAGGTCAGCAAATGGGTAAGCCCTGGGAATTTCCAAGCTTACCCCCGCCATCTTCCTTGCAAATCTGTATTAGCCTCTTTTTTCTTTGTACGGCCTTGTCTGGTCAACTGGGTTCCCACAAGCTTGCGGAAATTGATCTGGATAAAGTGCACACGTTTGTCCCACACCATGGTCGCGACGTCGTCTCTCGATGAATTTGGCTCCGAGACCCGATCACGAGCAATAAAACATGTCACCCGGGCTTGCAGTAGTTGTCAGAAGCGCAAAACCAAATGTGACGGATTGAAGCCGCAGTGTTCTGTGTGTACTCTTTACAAACGGGATTGCACCTATTCACAACAGATCGACAAGCGGAGAATGGCATCGAAAGGAAAAATTTCGACATTGGTGACCTATGTACAAGATCTTGAGTCTCTGCTCCTACATCATCATATTGAATTTCCACCCAGCCGGCCGGGGATCTTCTTGCCTCCGTTGCCTACGCCTTCTCCTTCTGCCGCCGACCCTGAACTCGAAGCGAGCGAGACAGTCCAAGGGGTTACTGGCGACACAGGCCCTACAATCGAGCCGTCCATATCCACTGTGTCAAACGACAGTCCAGATGACATCCAAGAGCGTTTATCTATCTCCGGGGAATCGTCATACCACACCAATCACATATCCGACCGCATGGGATCATTGCAGATTGCAGAAGATGGGCAGCTGCGACTTTTTGGGCCAACTTCAAATCTTCATATATCACACGTTGGTCCTTTTCCACTTTTCAACTCGAACATTCGCTTAGTTCACTGGAATGAGCCTCTCATTCTTACGGCAGCTGGAGTCAATAATCATGTTGACGAAGAGCTAGAGGATCATCTGACCAAGTTATACTTCGCTTGGGAAAATCCGAATATTCCGTTGGTTGACGAGAAGGCATATTATCATGGCAAGGACTGCTATCGAAGGCTCAATCAACCGAATCATCGATATTCTGAGGTTTTGAACAATGCTATGTAAGGAGGGACAATTAGCACACGACCACCCCTACCATGAACTGTCGCTAATACAAAGGATACTTAGATGTGCAGTTGGGGCCACACTGACTTCTCGCTATTGCCCTGATCTACCAGAATCTCTTGTTGACTTCTTTGCGACAAGGTCTAAGGCTCTCTTAGAGGTCGAAATGGACTCGCCGACTCTAAGTACCGTCCAGTCTCTTGGTATCCTAAGTGGCGTAGAGGCACTTCTTACCAGAGATGCTCGTGGCTGGCTGTATAGCGGTACGTTTGATAGTGATACCATGAAAACTTTTCCTCCTGCTGATTGCCCTATCTTCTAGGAATGGCGATGCGACTTGCCACAGACCTTGGCCTCCATATTGATAGTGCCCCTTTTGCTGAATGTGGCTTGATAGATCTTGAAGAATCTCGGCTTCGCAGCTCTACATTCTGGGGCACTTATGCCCATGAAAGGCTAGTTTTTCTTTGTTATCTACCGAGAAATGGTGTCATTTACTTACCTAGCATATTGCAGGATGTGGAGTCTATATGTCGGACGACCCGAATCAATTGACCACTTGGACATTACTGTGCAACTTCCTTTCTCAACGGCTTTTCAGTCTGGTGTGAATGATGTTTGGCGCCCATATGTTGACGAAAACCCACAAACCAACAATTGGGAATCGCCAGCATTACTTCATGAAGTGGCTCATGGGACAGTCACACTTTGCACTAAAATGGCCTCAATACGCAAGGTTCTGTAAGTCAAACACACTCTAATTTGATTCTCCAACCCTAATAACTTGTTGTGTAGTTACAGTATCCCCCGAGGGACCAAGCCCGATATCAAGAAGCTTTATGCTTTCGCAGCCAAGGCAAGAGATGAGCTTTCTCTCTGGGTGTCTGGATTATCAGAAAGCATCTCTGTGGACATGACCGATCTGGGTCGCGTTCACCTTCCCCATGTCCTACAGCTACAGTACGTAATCAAATACCAGCTCATTGACAAAATATACTAATGCTAAAATAGTATGCAATTTCATGCCGTTCGAATTATTGTAGATCAGCCCTTCGCCTTCCAGCTACCTGGCCTAGGAGGCTTGACCGAAGAAAATATAAACCACAGCCGAGAATGCTGCCATGATGCCGCTCTTGCTATTACCAAACTTCTCCAGGCCATTCGTCGCCATTTCTCGCTCCGCCGTGTCAATATCCAAACCGTTCACCTTATATTCACGGCAATGCTAGTGCAAACTCAAAGCGCCTTCCTATCCCCCGACTTTCAGATCCGTGACACAGCGCGAAGACAACTCGAAATCTGTTCACAGGCCCTCGGCGAGATTGGTCAAGCTTATAAGAATGCACTCCGAGCCTTGGAAGTCATCACTTCTATTAAATCTGAACTCCTCCGCCGTGAAAGAAGGGAATCCACTACCGGTCTTAGTATTATCGGCCAGTCAAGTTCCATGAGCTCGATGATCCCATTAGGCCAGATCCCACCCGGATTTCTCGGGGTAGAAACGGGGGCATCACAATCATGGATGGATAATTTTGCGAACGATTCATTGTTTAATCGCTGTGGGAGTGCCCCAGGCATTGACTTGGAACAGTGTGCTTCTATGGCTGACCAAATTCCTTTTCCCGACCATTCTTCATGGGCGCCATGTGTCGGTTCCTCTGCTGCCTTGTGTTCTGAAAGAAATGATGCGGCAGCGTCGTCAATGCAATAATATACTTACATCCTTTGTACTTCGGCTATCAATCGATCCATGTCAAAGCTTCTCTCTCATAATTAGCACTCTCTTCCCTCCTCTAACTACAACCCCCTCTCATTCTCAAATGTGCTACATGTTGTTATCTACATGTACTTACGTGGTCAACTAGTTAGCAACAACAACCCCTTGTATCATACGGATATTGAGGTGCCGTGTGCACTTTATCGATCAAGTTGTGAATGGTACGGGGATTTCGAGTATTTATTGCAAAGAGTTAATATTTCTCATTCCTTTCGTATCAAAGGCCGAATCACGACAACTTCATCAATGCATCCTAACAGAGAGCCTATCAATTCCAGTGCTTTGCAGCTCAAATCCTTCCGCGGGCTAAGAACCTGTCGGGGATATCGACATATTTGCACCGAAGGTATTCCGCTACATTCTTGCCAAGGACGTCGTAAGTGGAACTCGATGCCACACCGCGATCCAGGTGATCCTTCAGGAGGAAATGAACAGCTGCAAAGAGAATGAGTCAGTTAGCACCTCTTCAACTATCATCAATTTGCCAACTTTGGTAACGCGAGCCTCACCCCAAATATTTGGCAATTCAAAGCGAAAGATCTTGTTTCCCACATTATCTTTGCCGAGCAATTCTCGAATCTTGTGTACTTTCAGAACAGTCCGCAGCCAATCCCATTCGTCAGAATGGCGAACAAAAAATCCTACATTGGCATCGGACCCTTTATCCCCGGATCGAGCGTGAACCACGTAACCCAATGGTGCGCGGGTGGTGGGACCAAATACCTCTAGATCGAATGGACCCTTAGTCTCGTATGATGACTGCTCATAAGAAAATGGAACAGTATCTGACGGAGGGGGGATTGTAATTTGTTTCTTGTTAAAGGGAACATGGCAAATGTGAGTCATCCGATCTTGTGGAAAGATCGAAACGAAATACTCGTAGTAAGGCTTTGGAACCCCCTGGCGAGCATCCACGGCAAATGTGGCTCCTGGGTAACTCTGCATGATTGTGTCTGTACAAGGTCGGAAGAAGTTTTCTGGTGCAAGAGCACTCTCGGAACGTGACTGGGCAAAGATTCGCACATCCACTGTAGCTGCGTCTTGACTAGAAGGATCAGAGGCGCAGGATCCGGTCGTTCGGAAGATCAAAGTATGATAGAGCGATTCGTCCAGGAGATGACGGACCTGCTTCTCAAGCAATGCGGCCTTCTCTTCAATGTCTAAACCGCAAAGAAAATAGTGGACCTCGGCTTGGAAACCACCGAGTGCCGTGATACCAATTTTTGTTGTAGGGGGTGGTTTGATACTCTTGATATTGGAGACATGGCTACTAACTGTCAGTCCATTCGAAGCAAAAAGTTGGGATGCAGTGTGTTAATGAAAACATACACACGATTCAGTCCTTCTTCTTTGATGACTATATCATCCAATATAGCCACGACATCAGGATTGTAGTAGAGGGGGCCTTGGATCTCGTATAGAAGTTGAGCCTTGCAAGTATTTTCAGTGACCATGCCTTCTTTACCCTTCTGGATCGTTACGATGAAATCACCTCCCACATCTATCTCAACGACCGGGAAGCCAATATCAACCCCAGGACCAGGCAAGGATTTGAAGCCGGAAAAGTTACCACCGGTGACATATGTTGAGCATTCGAGGAAATGTCCAGCTACGAAGGCATGGGCGAGCTGATCGAAATCTTGTCTGTTCCACTGGTAATGGTATGCCGCGCAGGCAATTGTAGGAGAAGCATCTGTCACTCTTCCACAAAGCACAATATCGGCTCCTTGGTTGAAAGCTTCAACAATCCCCCATGCCCCAAGGTAACATTGGGCGTAGATTGGATTGAACTCCCAGTCGGACAATTTTTGCCCTAGGGCACATCAGCAACTTAGGAACCACTTGCGCAATTACTATTGTTGACTTGGGGCGTCTTACCGGTTGTAAGGTTGGTAAACTCTTCTCCTGTTTTGATAGCCTGCTGAAGGAGATCGGAAACCTCGTCACCCTCAACCCACGCAACCTTGAGGCCGAGACCTTTGTCATGTATAGTCTCAACAAGAATATCATGGAGCTTCTTCGTGTCGCTGGCTCCCGCATTCACGGCAATTTTGACCTTCCGCGTATAGATACTATCTAATGCGGGTTCGATCGATTCCATGAACGAAGTTTCGAATTCCGACGACTGCTGATTCTGCTTCACTTTTGCTCCGCCTCGAGTTGTCATATTATACTCGGACATCCAATCTCCAACAATGAAGTGAAGATCTTCCTTTCGAGCCAGCTCCGCCAGTCCATGGCGTCGGTCCGTCACCGATCCGGAGGCTGATGCAATACGAAGAGTGTTGGAGTTTGTGACCGTCATGATAATTTCAAATACAGACAATGATAGGCTTGATTCAAATATTTATAGAACGCTGTTTCGTCCTACGGGGCCATGTTCTTTAAATACAATATCCTTGTGCTGCTCGATCTAATAAGCTTTTGTCCAAATTGGACAATCCCGAGGGCACAAGAAAGTGGACAACAATGGACAATCCACCCCAACTATTTTTTGTACTGCCCAGAGCAATCAGAGCTAAATTATTCTTGGTAAGTCCCACACAAACACATTTATTTCCGGGGCTGCATCTGCCACATAGTACGTAGTAAGCGAAGGTGCCTGCGGATGACACATATGATCCGAGTCATACCAGCTTACAGGTTTTGAAAGGTTGGGGATTGCCATTATTCAGTGTCCGTGGCCTCCACTATTATTGTACAGCCCGTCACAAAGCTGATTATAACCCCCAAGGGCCTGCCAAGCCGCTTTGAAAGGACTCTAGACCAAATGTTTCTTAGCGACATAGCTGAGCACGGAGAGGTTTTCCTTAATAGGTAGGTCATAGGTTTACCTAATTTGAACGATTCTTTGATATTACAAATAGGTAGGGGAAAAAAAGAGAGAATGAATGGAGTTTCAAGACCAACTGAGTGGTTTGCACTAAATACTATGGACACAATGACTATGCCTTTGCCACGAACTGGGCACTGAAAGGGTAGTCGACGTAGCCGACAGGTGATTTTGGCGTATAAAAGGTACCTCTGTCATACTTATTGAACGGAATTTTATTGGCAATCCGGAATGGTAGATCCGGGTTTGCCAGGAAATGGCGTCCGAAAGCGAAAGCAATGTCTCGCGTGGGATGGAGTCGAAGTTTTTCAGTCGCCGACTCCGCCGTGAAGCCGCCCGCCAGGATGATGGCGCCAGAATTACCAAATGCGTCAAACATGAACTGATCGTCCTGTTCCACTGAATCCTCTACCGTTTGGCTGCCGGAGATCCGTGGCTCGACGAAGTGCAGGTACGCCAAATTCAGTTTACCAAGCCCATGGATGAGATTCGTGAATTGCTCTTGGAAATTCTCCATGCGCATGCCTTGAAATGTGCTCCATGGACTAACACGGTATCCGGTCCTTTCAGCACCAATCGCTTCAGAAACAGCCTTTGCCACTTCCAGGCCAAACCGAGATCGATTCTCCACACTACCGCCCCAGCGATCGGACCTGTTGTTCGCGGTATCCTGCAAGAACTGGTCGACGAGGTAGCCGTTTGCCCCGTGGATCTCGACGCCATCAAACCCGGCAGCGATCGCGTTCTTCGCAGCGCGAGCATAGTCATGGATCCAATCAATGATCTCATCTTCAGCGAGAGGCTTGGGGACAGGGCTTGATTCTGTCATAGGAATGTTTCCACTGGAGATAACATGGTCGTTGGTCTTGCTGAGGATGTCTGGGTTTGCAGCACGACCAAGTGCCCATAATTGACAGTAGATATAACTGCCGTGCTCATGGACTGCGTCGGTTATGGTCTTCCATTGTTTGATTTGTGTGTCGCTCCAAATCCCTGGAACATTGTTGGTACCACCTGCTCGTGCAGAGATGAACGTTCCTTCGGAGATCAACAGAGTGCCTGGGACGGATGCTCGTTGTGCATAATACTCGCGCATAAGGTCAAGGGGCACGTGCTGGTCATTGGCACGATTCCTTGTCAATGGAGCCAAAATGACCCGATGCTTGAGCTCGAGATTGCCGATGCGAAGTGGTGACGCGAGAGAAGCCATGAGGTGAGATTTGGGAGGTATAAATTTTTATGTGTCTATATTTCAGTTCTGTCTTTAAGATATATAATTTTTCAATTCCAAAATCTTCCACATATTAGAAATCAAGGTAATGTCTCCACACAGTATACGAATTCCCATCGAAGTACTCCGGTCAAGCCCTGTCCTTTTTAGATTTCCTGGGATCCACTTTTCACCAAAGGCATTGAGAGTTCTGGACTTTTATTGGTTGAAGATAGACCCATCTGGGCATCTGATTGGACAAGTGGAACATAGGCTTCTCATCGGTCATGGACGTCGAGTCAGACTCTTAGCCCAATGGCTAGTCCAGCCTAGTTGATACACAGTGTTCTTTGAAGTTCATTTTCTCGAAGGGTAGGTATCATTTTGAGAAACTATTCATATTTTTCAACTTCAGCTGTATCTAGATAGTCCGTACTTCTCCCAAATTGCTCTTGCTTCTTTAGATCATCTAGCATTCGCTGGCATTCATCACGAACAATCCCCACAGCATCCGATCCGAGCACAATACGTAAAGGGAGTTCTTCTTGCCCGGCGAAATGTCCTCTGCGATACACGAGGTCCATGATTCGCTCTACCGCCTGTGTCGGGTCTCCAGGCTGTTTGCCATTGGTTTGCTCCAATCTGCTTTGGAAAGCATCGATAGCGGTATCATAGTCACGGATTGAATTGACACCTCGTCCTGACTGTCTTCGATGGGCGCAAAGGATATCAGTCCTAAATTGACCGAGTACCGCCAGGTGCAAATTTACTCCGAAAGTCGCCACCTCTTTCTGTAGACTCTCAACAAATCCTAAATGACCAATTAATAACGGATGTCCCTCTCACTATGTCATCCCATAGGGAGTGAAGGCTTGATAAAGCACGTACCTTCAAGTGCAAATTTCGAAGCACTGTATGGTCCACCAACGGCAACGCCTTTCCATGCAGCTATGCTACTCATGAATATGATGGTTCCCGATTGACGCGATCGCATGTGTGGTAATACGGCGCGTGTCAGATTGAGAGGACCAAAAACATTGGTGTTGAATTGATCAAGTATTTGGGATTGGCTGTTGATAGAACATAATGGCGAAGTCAACTAGCAGTCCCGGTAATCACCATGGCACTCAGAATGGATTTCCGCACCTTAATTCTTCCAACACGCCGGAAAGAACGTATCCTGCATTATTGACAAGGACGTCGATATGACCAAACATCACGATGGCCTTGGAGACAGTCTCATTCAAAGAACCTTGAGAATCCGTGATATCTAGCTCCAACAGTTTGACATTGTCACAGTGAGCGAAATCTGACAAAGTACTGATATCCCGTGCTGTGGCAATTACGCGATCACCCCATGCTAATATAGCGGAAACGAAAATTTTGCCGAAGCCTGAGCTGCAACCAGTGATAAACCAAACGCGTGGGGATTGTTGCGACTTGGATTCAGCCATTGTTGAGAGAAAAATTTGCACTCAGCATGCGGAGGAAATCTGAAAATATATCTGTAAAATGAAATCACGCTTGCCACGTCAATGGAAACCCCGACCACTTGTATTTAAATCCTAACTTCAGATACACATTAATATTATTTAAGTTCTCAATGCTTTTCCCAACAAGAAATTATTCCTCCCGATTTTCCCAAGCCACTTCGTCGGATTTTTTTATCCACTATTGGTTGGAACCTACATAGACTGTTAAGATCATATAGTACCGAGCAGGAATATACTTAGTTAGATCAATTCCGCTCTTTTGTCCTATTTACCTCGGCAGTTAGAGCTGCGCAGGGACAGGAAATTTAACATGTTTGCAATATCTACCCCGTACAAATAAATCTTCATGATGGGTCCGGGATTTGTCCATGAAAATGCCAATGGACCGAGGCAATTTATATGTAATCCCATTCCCTTATATCTCTGTAAATATTAGGGCAGCGAAATTAAAAATTCGTGAGCTTTATCTTTGATTGAACCTAACCAGTATCATGGCTGCCACAATGCATCAGCTCATCCCAGCAGTCATTCCGGCGTATGCGTGCCCCGAGGGCACCAAGATGCATATACTGAATCTGGGTACTCTAACTGTCGATGAAGGCTGGTATGTGTAAATTTTGTTAAAGACAGCAGGGCTTGAAAACGTTAACATATTTATCTTCAATATAGGCTTCTGAACGGCGCCAACGGAGGCTCGGCAAGCAATCCAAATCCCGCTAACAAACGAAGAGATCTTATGTTGATTGCTGGACTGATTTATCATCCTGAGATGGGTCTTATTCTTTTTGAATGTGGGAGCACGGAAGACATTGACACGGTAGGTGCTTTCCCGCTGACTGTTCAGTTAGTCCTTTCTTCTTCCTTCAGGCTTGAAACTGATTGGCAAAAATATCAGCAATGGAGCAGTGAAGCCACAGATTTATTTCCTCGAACATGCTACAGCAAAAACAATCATCTTCCTGAGGCAATCAAAGCTGCTGGATACGATATCATGGATGTTCAGGCAGTGATTATGGGTCATCTGCATCTAGACCACGCGGGTGGCTTGGAACATTTCCGAAACACGAGTGTCCCTATATACGTCCACGAAGAAGAATTCAAACATGCTTGCTGGGCAGCTGGAACCAACTCCGATGGCGGTCTTTACCTGTGAGTGTTCATTACAGGTCAGACCCTTTGCCAGATAGGTCTTACATCTGACATCTCAAATTCCGGCATTCATTAGGGCTGAATACTTGAAACTCGATGGCACTTTAAATTGGCAAACATTTAACGACTCGCAATTAGATCTTTGCACGGGATTAACTCTATATCATTGTCCTGGTCATACCCCAGGGCTATGCATTATGCAGATCAACCTCGCCCACGATGGCACATTCATCTGGACGACAGACCAATATCACGTCCGGGAGAATTTTGAAGATAATTGGGCACATGGTTGGCTTTTGCGCGACTACCGAAGCTGGGTTGACAGTGGGAAATTCATTCGGCGCTTGCAGAGAGTGTTCTCCGCAACACTCATCTTTGGCCATGACTATGCTGTTGCAGAAGAACTGATTGGTCGCAAAGCTTATCATGAATAGTAAATATGAAGAATGTTCAATGCATATGATCCGATCAATTTTACTCCGTCCTACTTCCTATGTTAACAGTCTAGTAAACACTTACTTAGACATTACGGTCTCATCAAAAACCAAGAATCTTGCGTCACATATATAGACAGAACAGACGATTAAAATCCTCAAATTGTGGCTATTTCCATCGACCTTTCCAGGGCCATACCATTACTGAGTCGCTTTCGTCGACAACCCACTTTTTCCACCAAGGGCTTGAGCTGCATCGCCCACAACTAAATTTTCATAGCCAATCATATAGGTCATCGGCAAGGCCATGAAGCGTTCACAATCATCGCTCAGCGCGGCCAAATATTCGGGACTTTGACAAAATTCCAACCATCCATCCCAGTTTCGTACCCACAGCTGAGCGCATGCATCATACTCAAGGACACTTTCACCTATGTCGGTCATGCGTGCCTTCATTTCGGGGGTTTGATGATACTATTTGAAAATGGTTAACTTGTGCACTAGAATTCTACATGGCTACCATCTGCTTGGGAAATTCCAGTATCTATGACAAAGATAGGCTCGTACCTGGACATATCGGAGGATATTGTGCTGGAAGGCCTGGGTAGCGACGGCCAAGTCCGCATGAACGGTCTGCCAGTGGGTGAAGAAATCCTTGTGCGAAATTCCATCCTTCTTACGGAAGAAGACTGAAACTTTGATCGCTGGTTGGAAGTTTGGCTGAGCCTCATAATTCAGCTCCGGGTGAGTGAAATGGTGATCTTTGGGTAGGGGATTCATGGCCTGTTATGTGACTTGGTATGCCGTTGAAATTTTGTGAGGGATGAAACGAAGCAAATATGTCACCTACTTATACAAAGCCAGAGATTATCAGGCAAAGTATGTGTGTCCAGAGGTCTTAACCTCGGCTTATCAAGCAATTCTGGGGTATACGTCGTAGGTCGAGTCGAGTTCCAAGTTAGAGCGGCAGCCACAGATGACTCGACAGATATGACTCAGGTTGAGTAGTTAAGACTAACATTCTTGGATGCGTAGCTGGCCTTTCGTGCATGAGCAGCTCGGGGAGATGTGCATGTCGTCAACTCAACGTCATCGGATTTTCTCAATTTTTACTATAATCTTGATTTTAAAGCGTAGAATTAGAAATATGGGTAATTAACTGATCTGGGTTGTAAACAACACAAAGGATGAGTTAATAGGACTTTGTAGAGACAGGCGAGGTGGGGGGGGAATATAGTTTGAATTGAGCTAATCAATAAGAGAGGCAGACAGAGACAGGCAAACAGAGCAAGGAGAAAGGAGGTTATCAAGTAGGTGACGAGCAGAGGTTCTATCCTGTCTGAGGCAGTAAGGCTGCCTAAACAGACGTGTTTGCTCGGTCTATTTCCTTACTCTATGGATCAGCTAGAGAGATTCCAATTTTCTTCCTCCGTTTGCTTCTTCATCAGCCACATGTCACCACGAGATCTTTATCCACTCAATATGTGAGGTTAATCAAAACCGTCTTTGGCTCAGTATAGGCGTGTAAAGCGTGTACCCCAAGCTCGCGACCAATTCCACTCTCCTTTGTACCGCCAAATGGACAGGAGAAGTGAATGGTACTGATACAGTTTACACCCACCACCCCCGAGTCGAAGAGCTCACTCAGTCGAAGACCGCGGTTAATATCCTGCGTGAAAACTCCGGCCATCAGACCATACTGGGAGGCATTTGAAAGAGCAATCACTTCCTCTTCGGATTTGAACCGGTTGATGACGACAACTGGTCCGAAGATCTCATCCCTGGCGATGGATGAATCCTTCTCAGTGTCGAGGAAAATAGCGGGATCGATGTAGAATCCCTTGGTGCAATATGTCAAAATCAAGGATTCTTCAGGTGTGAATTTTAACAAACCTTTGTGCCCAGCGCCTCCCCTCCCTGCAAGAGTTTTCCGTCCTTATTTTCTCTGGCAGTGTTGATAATTCTAAGAATCCTCTCGTGCTGCGCCTGATCCACGACTGGCCCGATCTCAGAATTCGAACTCTCGGGGTCTCCCATTACCTCTCGCTTAGCAGCAATTGCTTTACGATAAGCCGTCAGGAACTTATTATATATACCATCTTGGACGTATACTCGAGACGCAGCGAAGCAAATTTGGCCAGAATTGTTGATTAGTCCGTTGACACACCTTCGAAGAATGTTCATTAGGTAACTCATTTTGATAATAACGGGCTGGAATCACTTACCACTGAACTGCGTTTTCGAGGTTTGCATCATCGAAGACCACCGCCGGACTCTTGCCCCCAAGCTCAAGGGTCACTCTCTTCAAGTTACTCTTTGCAGCAAGGACTTGAACACTTTTTCCTGTTGGCACACTTCCAGTGAAACTAACTTTTGCAATTTTCATATGACTGGCGAGTATCGCGCCTGTGCTGCCGTCTCCTGTCAAAACCTGGAAAACCCCAGGAGGAAAGCCAGCCTCTCTTGCAAGCTGCCCGAGCGCGGCAGCAGCCAGCGGAGTCTTCTCGCTTGGTTTGAGAATGAAAACATTCCCTGTTGCCAATGCAGGGGCAGCTTTGAGGCCTATGGATGCCAGCGGACCATTCCAGGGGATGATACTGCTCAGTGTTAAAACATGTTTCTTGGTATAGATTCAGCAGAGGAAAGGGGAAACCCGCCGCGGGTGAACAGAGATTCTAAAAGTTCTTACCCTGCAACAACTCCGAGTGGTTCGTTTCGAACGACTTTGAAGAAGCCATCAGTCGCTGGAAAGCTCTGACCAGCAAACTTGCCGACCCATCCCGCATAATCTGATTTACTTGTCAATATACCTTCTTCGATCACAAATAAAATCAGGGACACACATCTGAAACATCCTATCGCAGTGTCGATCTCTGATTTTCCAAATGGTTTATATGGTGCACCTAAGTTGACTCGCGTGAGCGACGCCAGATATTCTTGATTGCTCTCAATCAGGTCCGCAAATTTCAGCAACACCTTTTGGCGAGTGAAGTCATCCATGCGACGCCATTCGGAGCCAGGGGTGAATGCCTGCTGAGCGGCCTCAACGGCTCGATCGATATCAGCCTCCCCAGCGATCGGTATCTGGTCGCTCACAAGGCTTCCATCTGCGGGATTATAGACAGATATTCTGTCAGATAATTAGAAGTGATAAAAGATAAATTAGACACGAAATAGAGACGTACTTCTTATCTGTATTCAAGCAATCCACATACTAGTCACGCTCGACGTCAACATATAGTCCAAATCACCGAAGCACTCTTGTATGCAACTTGCCTGGTTGTTGATGAACAATTGAGTAAGGTGCGAATCGAGCTGCATGTTGTATATTCGTAGTATTTTAGAATTCTAAAATAATCCGTTCATGTATATTGTTCCTAGATGTCACATATTATATATATTGAAGAGAAGACCACGTCCCCCAATACAATATCTATTGTTTTCACTGCCATGCTCCCCAAGTGGTTTAATTTTCATGACTACATATGTGTGGCCTTCAGATGTGATTGGTTCAGGTGGGACGGGGACTGAGTCATGCACGGAATGTCATGCGTAAGTGCAGGTCTAACAAAGTACCCACTGAAGACCTCAACCTACGATAGTGCCAAATTATCTCTCCGACAAGACACGGTGATAAATTGGCCCGATTAATTACAAACCCGGAGATTTTCTACTCGAGCGCGCTGTTTGGCTGGAATCCCGGTAGCCGATCCCCCAAGATTTCCAGTCTGACGTATCGACCTTAGGGTCCACCTTTAATTGATACACTTCATACAATACACCCCAGGCCTCCAATCTAGTTGGAGCACAATGTCAGACTCTGAGATACCAGCCCCCGCACGCGTGACGGGCAAACGTACTGTTAACGGCCTCACCGCGTCACAAATACAACACAAACGTGATCTTGATCGAAAGGCACAACGCGCCCTGCGCCAGCGCACAAAACTCCGAATTCAAGAACTTGAAAATGATATTGCGCGCTTCAGAGCTTCATTTTCTCAGCGGGAGCAGACCATGATAGACGAGATTCACCTGCTGCGAGACCAGAATCGGAAACTCAAATGCTCCCTCGAAAATATCCAGAAGTATGCTCTTGGCGAGCTTTCGGGTCTGGGTGAAACGATCCCCCCACACGACACGCCTGATCGGGAAATCGCCGACAAGGAAATTGAGCAATTCCCGAGTCATTCTTTACAGCCGGGCGAAGACACCATAGAGACACAATCTACTCTTACTCATCAACCCTTCCAGTCTGATCATGACGTATATCTTTCAGTTAGTCAAGCGATGGATCCGAATGATTCGAATCCCACGCACAACCACGAATCAGATCGGCCAACGCTACCTCCCTTAGCAGGTGCGTTTGCGGGTCTCGTTGCAGAAAACGGTATGTGACAAGCCGTCTTGCTGATCGAACGGAGGCTTAAATTGCAAGATCATCATTTTTTGACTTATGAGACAGATGCACATCCCCACCAACAGTCATATTCCAATCAACTTACACCGCTTGGTAACCTACGGACCACTCACGATCCAGTGTCTCCCTCCGTTAGTCCGGGGTCAGTGGCTTGGGTACTACCGAAACACACCTGTGCAACATGTCCGTTAGATCAAATTCTACTGGATTTCATTGCTTCGCGACGATCTATGCTTGCCCGAGGTATACCCCCGGATATCGTCCTGGGTCCTGAACAACTCTGTCCTCAAGATCTTCTGCACCCGACAGTCGACTTAACTTCGCATGCAATAAGCCGGGTGATGGCAGATGTTCTTACGACTTTTCCACACGTAAATCTTCCAGAAAAGCTGGCCTTCATGTATCTTATGCATCTTACCACGCGGGTAAGGAAATCTTGAACTTTGCCCCACTCACACACATAGCTAAATCCACCTATACAGTGGCAGGTATCGCCGAACATCGGTAGCTATGCTCGAATGCCCGTGTGGCTCCGGCCGACTGTAACGCAGATAACCGTTCCGCATGCTGCATGGATTGATAATATCCCTTGGTGGGCTCGAATATGCTTTTGTTCGCTCGTGTCAATTTCACTAATGTATTGACAGGCCTCGAGTACGAGATATCCTCATTCAAAAGCCCGATCGATACCCATTCGCCGTTTTCTCTGAGTTATACTCTGAACATGTCAGCATCAATTGGCCATATGACCCTGAAGACATTGTTGTTGATACGGACGATGGTCCCTCGTTAAACACTATATTTGAAAAACACATCCAGCGTTTGAGTAACTGGATTGCTCCTCGTCAGTTTCGGGAGTATTTTTCGGAATGGACATCCGATGTCTATGTTGATGAGTAGATTAGGAAATGCAAGCGAATGTCATTGGTACCCAGCTTTCACCAAGGTTCCCCCACCACCTCTTGAAGTGAAGACCAATGTACGATGATCATTTTTCAATCAGATAGGATGATTTATTTCGATCAACGTGTCCACGGGTGTTTCGTGGCACCTTTGTCATGCGAATCGAGTCAGATTTACTTGGCAAAGGAGGCAAAACAATCTCTACGTGGGGGCATCAATTACTGCCCATGCATGACTCGAATGATGCAGAACATATTATTGCGCTAAGTATGCATTGTTTGATCTAGTTAATTTTGCCTGCTCATTAACATGCGGGAAATAGTATCACACCCCGTGGGGTACTGATACGTCAGATATATAAATACTTGGAGGTTGCAATATATTCTATTTGTCCTACAGTCCTATTGATTAACTCTGTTTGTGCCAATTTTATCCATCTAAGTCGTTTCAAGCTAAAAGGCTTCCAAAATGTCTGTTACAATGAGAGCCGCGCAATACAACACTGTACGTTATTGGATCATTATCCAGGGATGGCTGTGGTATTCCCTTGTGCCCTATGAAGTACTGATGAAGGAAACTCAAAAGCTGACGACGACCCTGTACAACAGACACTCAACAAAGTTGAGATCAATGAGATCCCAATTCCCGAGCCTGGCGAGAATGATATCCTGATCAAGAATGTTTGCGCGTCGCTATGTCATTCTGATTTGGTATGATTGGATGGTTTTGTATGCAACCCGTACGCTAACGGTATTCTCTAGATGCTTTTTTGGGGACATACAGCGGAGAAGCCCCCAATGGAGAAAGTTACCATCGGACATGAGAATACCGGTACTGTCGCTGCGATGGGGAGAAATGTTACAGGGTTCAAGATCGGAGACCCGGTGGGATGTCTTGGGTGCAGCTACGCTTGTTGTATGTCTTGATTCGGCCATATCCGAACTATAACCCCTACACAATGGGGATAGGGTTAAGCTTACGTTACTTTAATAGATGAGTGTGAAGGATGTCGTGTTCATAATCTTCATTGTGTGGAAGGAACTGGCAGGTTGCACGGCTTTACAACACATGGACACTTTGCACAATACTCTCTATCCGACTACAGGAATTCCATGGTTCTTCCAGCAGGAATGGACCTTACTACTACCGCTCCTTTGTTCTGTGCGGGAATAACAGGTTCGCAAATGAAACCCATCCCTTCCTGTCATCTCCATAACAACTGACTGAGTAACCCTATTTGGCAGCATACCACTCGGTAAAAAAGTGCGGACTCCAAGAAGGAGACTGGATCGCGATCATTGGATGCGGAGGACTGGGCCACCTAGGTAAAGTCAAACGCATGGCCCCTTTGGGAGCTGATGCTAATTGATGCTGTAAAGCAATCCAATATGCCAAGGCATTAAAATTGCGAGTCATCGGAATTGATATTTCTGATTCACAATTGGAATCTGCAAAGTCTCTCGGTGCAGACTTGACCTTCAACTCGTCCTCGACCCCGGGCTACGAAAAGGAGCTCTTGACTCACACCAGTGGAGGTGCACACGCTGCTGTTGTTCTGAGTGCCTCGAACGCTGCCTACCAGAGTGCTCCCAGCGTGCTGAGGTTAGAAGCTTTCGACATATCCGTGGATGACCGCTCGCTAATATATTACTAATCTCTTCTCAGGATAAATGGCATTCTAATGGTTATCGGCATCCCTAGGGAGAACCTTTCAATCAATGCTCTCGACGTCCTCCTTGGAAAGTATCGCATCATGGGTGCAAGCAGTGGTACACCACAGCAGATGCGGGAGCCCATTGAATTCAGCTATGAGCATGGAATCAAAGCGCACATGACTACCTTCAACGACATTGGGGACATCCAAAAGATTATCGACTTGCTAGAAAACGGCAAGACCGCTGGTCGATTTGGTATAATTTTCTAGTCTTCACAATATATTGCCAGGATGAAGCTATTCTGAAAAAGAAAGGAACTTTGCTGCAGACGGCTTTGAGTGGCGAATATACTCCGTAGAGATTTGCCCCATAACCATAATTGAATTATCAACTTCTCGGTCTCCAGGGCTAGGATGTACAATTATACTAGCTTTATACAATTTTTTTCAATTGGACACTCGAGTCACTTCGAATAGAGAGTACTAGCAGACTCCTGAAATTGGCCTCAAATAACTAGTGATTCTAGCTGGACTGGTTGGGCTCTGAGCGGATGATGAAGTAATGTCACATCTTTGACGGTTATATGAAGAATAAGGGGGGATTTAATATCCATGGATGTTCGTTCATATTGGGGAAGAGACCGGATTTGATATCTCCGGAGCAACAATCCGGATGACTAAAAGCCAAGAAATTCCAGGAACGTCGAGTGTCGATATTGAAAATGAGGAATTCCACTTCCTTCCCCCTGAGAGCTCCAAAGCTCAGGTAAACACTTTGTAAATATAAAATGCAGTCGCGACCGGGCTCTGCCGCAAGTGCGCGATCGCCCTCGCCAGATAAGTCGACCGAGTATCCCCTACAGGAGATCGGGTCGCATTACAAGGATGCCCGCGACAGTGATGAACTAAGCTTCGACTTAGAATTAGGCGACGTGCCTCTTCTACCCTCAGGATTCCACGGCATGGAGGCTCAATCGGAGAAAGTCGAGCGCGATCCGCCGTTTTCTTGTACGCCCTCGGGATTCTGCGCATGGCTCCGTGGCCCGACGCCGGCGCATGTCTATCACATTAATCCTTGGTTCGCTCGTTTACAGACTGCGCCGGCGCGTCTGATTGATCAGAAATTTCCGCACAGGAATTCAAAGATCGCGCTCCTTTTTGCTGCTTTGATTTTTTGGATGGTCGTGTTCTTCGCGTCCCTGAAAGCTTCTTTTGCGGATCAAGATGTTCCGGGGTATGGGCAGCCCGTCAAGCTGTCGTGTCACCACCGTTTATGGTGTGTTTCTATTTGTATCCTTAATGAGATCTCGTGAACCTGACCATATATAGGAGCAACGCCACAAACTGTGGACTGAATGGTGATTCTTGTCGCCCATTCGAGGACCAATCCTTCGCGTTCAGATGCCCCTCTGGCTGTGCGGCGGCAATTCTCCTGGAACCGTATGTTGTTGGTGATCAAGAGCTCAATTACCGACCGTTAGTCGTGGGAGGTAAGCCATTTAAAATAGATGGTCATAACAGCGGCACGTACCGTGGCGATTCGTCAATTTGCGCGTCGGCACTGCATGCAGGTTTGATTGATGACGCCAGGGGCGGATGTGGCATCCTACACCGCACCGGCGAACAGAAAAGCTTCCAGTCGACCGTGCAACACGGAATTGAAAGCATCGAGTTTCTCTCGAGCTTCCCGATGTCATTCCGACTTAGCAATGAAGCGTCCACACCAGACTCGAACGAGACAAAGCCGATCAAATGTTCTGATGCGCGCTGGTCGCTCTTCGCCTTCACATTGATCTGGACTACCATCTTGTCATTGGTCGTGACATCGGCACCGGCCTTCTATTCCATGATCTATTTCATTGTCTGGTTCCAAGTCGCCATGGCGTCTGACCCACCCTCGATGGGGAGCTATTATGACCTTGTGTCAATTGCGCTCGGTCGATTCCTCCCTGGTGCATTTGTAGGATTCGTGCTGTATTACTTCTGCGTCCGGCACACACTCAAAAATTTGGATGCACACTGGGACAAGACTGTCCTGTGGTTGGGCGGCTGCTGGGTTGGCGCCTTGAACACAGACACATTTGATCGTATTCCGATCTCTCGCCTCACGCCCCATGATATCCAGCAGCAACCGGGTGCTCTCACGGCTCTCATCATTGTACTTGGGTCTTTAATCACAATCGCCTTTGGTCAAGCACACTGTTTCCGTCGCGAGGGCCGCTTCTTCCCTACGATAAGCATCTACGGCGTCCTTGTTGCAGTTGTCCTCATCCTTGTCGCCGTTCCGAACATGAACCTACGCATCCACCACTATATTCTTTCTCTTCTCTTCCTGCCTGGAACGACTATGCAAACGCGACCCAGTCTCCTATACTCCGGTATCCTTATTGGTCTTTTTATAAACGGCATCGCCCGCTGGGGCTTCGATTCGATCCTCCAAACTCCAGGCGCTCTCCTTGATGGTGCCAAGCTTGGTACTGTTCCACCAAAGATATATCCTCCTTCCATGACGGATGCGAACAACCTCGTTTTCTCGTTCCCGGACCTCGAGCCTCACGCCGACGGCCTCAGTGTCTTGGTCAACGATGTCGAGCGCTTCCAGGTCTTCCGACCTAAGGATGGCAAGCATCTGCCGGATTTCACTTGGTCTCGTACTTATCCCAACGAGTTGGAGTATTTCCGTTTCGGGCTCGTCCACACTAATTCTTTGGGCGGTCTTTGGTATGAAGACTTTTCTCCACCTGCCGTTTGGGGCGCTGATGGTAATTTTGTTTTCCCTGATCCTGAGATCCCCTCCGAGGATCCTGAATCCGGATCCGAATCTAGATAGAGAACTGTGTATATGCCATCTGTACATACCGTCATTCTTCTGTTGAAATAGATATTTTTGATAGATTTGTGACGCATGGGCTCTGGGATCATTGTCAATAGTTATCTTCCCCCTGGGTTAGTCACTCATACAGTAAGTTTTAAAGTTCCAGCTCACATCCGTGTTAAGATCACCGCATCATTTCATAGTTATCATTCTGTGAGTCGTTGGAATAAACATAGGCTGAATTGCAGTTCGTACCACTGATTCCAACCGTTGATACTACCATGGTTCCTCCAGTTTTACTCTTCGACCCTGAAACTAGCTGACCCATGCATCACAAGCGGGATCGCCTGCATCTCACTGTCCCCTACCCGCTCAGGGTGCCTTTTGGTCCCCATCAGCCTCTGCACAAGCCCTCCTCCAGCCCCCTGCCCCTTCAAAACCTCTTCTTTTACTCCATATCTATACCATGATATCTGATTCATCTTATCCCCTAGCCCCACCCGATACGTAGAACTCACATCTAGTGACGTGACGTGCGAAAATGCCGCTGCAATAACAGCTTCATCCTCAGCGGTTGAATTACCTTCCTGCTGTGGAGTCCTAACTTCTCCAGACTTTGATCCACTCTCTTGTGAAAGTTTGGGACAGGGCCTCATGGTATGCGTCACTCGGTACGGCACACCAGGCTCCAGAGTGACGAAGTATCGCTCGAACTGGGGATCGATAACGATGTTAGACTTGCCGCCGAAACCGTGATGTGCGGCCAAGCTTGTGCGCTTTGCGTGGGCGCCTGTGTCGCTGTTGATAAAGTCTATGCCGCTTTCGTAGAGGGCATTTCCGTTGGGGTCTAGGAGGGTGTCGAAGGTGAGGATGGTGAGGGGCTTGGTGGGCGTATTTGCGGATTCGGGAAGAGTTGCCTCGAGGGTTAGTGTGAATGGGTTGTTGGAACCGTGTTTATGGAGCGTGGTTGATGAGGTCGTCACGTTGATATTGATCTTAGTTGGTGGAGATGGAGATTCTCCAAAGACTTGTTGAAGGAGGTTTGCCATGGCGATGATCGTCGGGGATGGTATCATATGGGAGTTATATCTAGATGCAAGACCAGACTTGGTCTTCCTGGTATTTATTTATACCAGTTCAGCACCCCGTCATTGGTTTGTTAATATTACAGGCTGGTGGCGAGCTATGTAGTAGGCAGACACTTTCTTGGGAAGCAACTAGAGCTATACTCTTCTCGTTTGGCCCCTTATTTGAGCGGGGAAAACATTTATTTGACTCGTTTTCTAGAAACATTAAATCATGGTTTTGGTAGTTCTTTGGTAATTATTCACATCATCGGAATTTCTATCAAAACACGGGCATTTGGCCTAGTTGTCGTTGGCGACTCTACCACTTTTGATCCCAGTTCCTCACACATGCCAGTGTGTAGCTAGCATACAATCTATGACTACCATATAAGAACATTGAATAAATCTGCCCATAAATCTGGACACAAAGCAAGTGCGAAAAACTGTCATTCCTTGAGATAGTCATGGCAAGATACCTGGACAATACTTTGCTTTCCGCCGTCCTCTATAACCAAAGCTGTGAGCTTCTTCCCCTTCACACAACCAGAGTCAAGACCCTTTGTGAATGTGCGGATAGAAAGAGAGGTAGCAGCATCATGGCCATAGACAACAGTCATGGTGTTTGCAAGAGGATCTTCAGTTGGAGTCTTGAGGCTTGAGTATAATTTTGATTGGTGTTTATCAAACATCTAGATTGAAAATGTATCAGCATGACGACAATATTAGAGTGGAATAGAAGGACGGTACATACTTTAGCCCAATTCATGCCCTTCTTTTTCGGGCTGGGTACATGCGTATCTAAATCAATAGTCCGCATAGTCATCACGCTAGAAGGGTCTTGCTTCTCAAGCTCGACGCCCGGTACTAGTCCTGCATGAACGACAACCACCTGGCCCATCCCTGGAACTTGGCCGACATTCAGGATCACTGGGCAGTTCTCTAGCCACTGAGCTTGTTCGTCGCTCAAAGACCGCGCGAGGGCCCGCTGGTCAAGTTCTCTGGAATCAAAGCGAGATTCTTCATCGTCATCGGGGGTTGCGAGAGTTTTGGTCTTCACCATATGCTGTCGAAGAAGCAGAATTCGGTCCTCGTGGTTCCCACGGACACTGGATGCCGAAAGCTGTCGAGCTAACTCCACGACTCCTGTACTGTCTGGTCCCTTGTTGATCATGTCACCGACAAAGATAAGATGATCGCCGCCTTTTCGGCTGAAGGAGACTTTCTCAAGAAGTTGTACCACTGTTGCAAGGTCGTCAGTGTTAAGAATTCCCGTAGTTTGATGGGATATGTCTTACACTCCTCTTTACAGCCATGCACATCGCCCACAATAATTAGCCGCTTCCGACTAGATTCCCCTGAATCCACTCCCACTAGATCCCCAGGTACCAATTCTGGGTCCAATGTATGCATCCGAATCAAGCCATCGAATTGAGGGGGCGAATTTGCCCCGAACGACCCAACTTTCTGTGTCTTAGTTGTCGGATCGAGTGAATGCAATAGCGAGTCTTCCTCTTGTAGTCGCGAAGAAAGCATTCGCCAACCGATCAATACAGATATAAACAACGCGACGTAGATTATCACACACCGCCGGAACCGTGGCGCGGAAGCTACCGAGAGAGCCATTTGGGACCATCCCGGGGATTTCATGTCATCCACCGAGCTGGAGCCGCGCTGGAGACCTCCAGGGTCTCTGGATTGCCATCCATTTCTGGCAGAATCAATCAGTGGGCGAGAATTTTGTGCAAATTGATTTGAGTAGGAGGGATGGTGGGTTGTCGTCGGGTGGAAGTCGCTTTCTGCGCTGTTGGACTCGAAATCGCGCGGATGGGAGTCACGAGATGTCATTTTCCTGCGCCCGAGTTGGGCTTTATATCCTTGAATCGGGGTGTATTGTACGCTTCATATGTGCTTTATCCGGTGAAATTGAGCGGGACTGAATGTGAAGAGGCAGAAAAAGATTATCCCTCGCTCTGACGTATATCTACCCGCTTTCTCCTATTAGCTCCCGAGGTGGAAATGCTTGTCTTTATGTTCTTTACGCTCTTGATACTTCAAACTCGATTGTTGTCCTTTTGGATTATTTCTACATTTTAAACTATCCCCGGTACTGATCATACTCTGCTGCTTCCCGTCTCCGCAGGTTTACACGCTGGATAACAGTCTCATCGTATACCTCTTCCACCTTCTTGCCGCCCTTAAGTACCTCTTCCTCATGGTGGAGTGCTTCTTCCTTGGTCATGCAAACAATCTCATTGAGTTTCATCGGGATGGTCTTTTGTCCTTCTTTCTCAAGGCTCAGATCCATATTCCATCCGTGGGCAGGAGTTTGCCAGGGAATGAGAGCCAGTCTGGTAGACAAGCCGCTGACTGCACTCTTCCCCCGGTATACTTCTTCCACAACGAATGCAATGTCATCCTTGCTGAGCGGTAAGCGGAATCCCACGGTATCTTGACCAGTGACTCGTCTGATCGTTCGTTCGTACAAGTTTAACAAAGTACTCAAGATGGTGTCGTAAAGTTTGTCGCGGCCCTTGGCACCCATGTTATAATCAAGCGGGTAGCCAGTAATAGTGCAGATAACGTGGTTGGCTACCGTGTAACCAAAGACTGCAGGCATGGTTCCCAGAACTGGGAGGATGCGGGCTCGGAAGTCAGGAAGAACTCCAAGCTCACCAACTTGACCTTTGATGAATTCATTTTCGGGAAGAGGAAGTAGGGTAGCCTTGCCCGGGCCCGGTTTCTCTGTCGAGAACACGGCTGCAATTCCAGACGACACACCGAGGCGCTTCAGCAGTCGGCGTGTACTGCGGGACAAAGGATCATCGGTGGTGAGCGAAATGTCACCGACCACAACGCGAGTCGGATCCGACTTGCATCCTGCACCCATCGACGAAATCACAGGCAAGGAATTCGAGTGGCAGTAGTGTAACAACTCTACCTTGGATGTGATGTTATCAATACAATCCAACACGAAATCTGGTCGACGGCCCTCTCCATCGTGTGTCAGAGACCACGGGCCGAGGAGATCCTCAGACGCGGCCTTTCCATAGAGCTCATTGCGACAATCGAACATGACCCATGGTGTGACTTGCTCCAATCGTCTCCGGATACAATGGACCTTCGGTGTGCCAACATCAGCCAATGTCGCAAGGGCGTGTCGGTTCAGTGATGATAATGTGACTTGATCGAAATCGATGAGCCGGATTTTGGAGACGCCCGATCGGGCCAGTGAGGCAGCGGCATGCGAACCGACACCACCACAGCCGACAACGACAACAAATGACGATCGAAGCTTGGCAAGGCCTTCATCGCCGAGGAACACACGGTTGCGGGCAAGCTGTTCAAGAATCAAGTCTACCAAAGTGAGACGGGCCGAGTCAGATAGGTTCGTGGAAGTAAGTTGTAGAAAGGTCACATACCATCATCATAGTCTCCCCGTTGCGCTCTGCGAGCCAAAGCCGCACCACGCTCATCCTCCTTGCTTAGCTGTACTCCATTCGAGGCAGCACCGAAATCGGTGAGCTATAGGTTCTCTGAATCAGTTCTTTTTGTCCTATAACTTGCTAGGCACTGAATGCGCAGCTTCACTGGCGCAGCTCACCATTTCCGCAGGATGCAAATCATCTAAGCTCGGGATTGAAGCCTTCAGATCATTAATAGCTTCCTTGCGCTTGTATGACTGGTACCCTAAGATAGCACCTGCGACAGCTGCGCCCGACACAACAGCTGCTGTCGCAAGCTGTCCATGGGAGGAACCAGCCTGACGGTGAAGCCAAGAAGACATGGTTCCAATCACACCCTTGATGTCCGTATCCTGGGTGTTTCTCGGTTTGGTTTTATTTTCGTGGGAGGTGTCTCGATCAAGTTTGTTATATCTGGTATCCAGTTCGTCAGAATCAAATCCGTAGTCGAGGTCGGCATCATTGGGCTCTTGCCACCATTTGGATGCTGGGGGAGCCATGATGGGTGTTGGGTGTACTGACCATCACAAGTAATCGACCTGTGCAGGCATGAACTTTTAATAACGGAATGTATATGCAAGCCAATGCGTTCATCGGCGGAACAACGCTGGTTATCACGTGCCGCGGTCCTAGGGTTTGTGCGGGGACTAAGTAAGGCGGTGGGATAGGCGGTAAACGTGCTCATCACGCGCCGCGACACTTGCCCACCTGGCACCACGCGTGCTATCCTGCTATCCCCCAAAAACCTCCAATTGCGAGTCTTCAGCCAATTACCTACTAACAATGTCACTTATGCTCTTGCATCATCTCATCCGATAGATAGTTGTTGTTGACAGACCGGTGCAGCTTTCAGTATCGATGCCATACTGCACCCTCTGAGAAAGTCGCGTCTAGGCACAGCTTGGCACAGCTTGATGTTGAATCCGATAATACTTTGCTAATCAACGCCAACAACCACCTCTTATCGCTTGAGAAGATGCAACAGCGACGTGCTCGTTGGGTTCACTTTTTTATTACCCATCACGAGAGGTATGTCTTTCAAACCCATTCCCCAGTATCTGGCTACAATGCAGATTCAATGGAATATCTTATGCCAAGTCTTGATGACGATAACCCTCACAAGAGCTTATCATGACATGTCGGTCGAACGAAACCGTCGGGCCATGGACTTCATCCCCCTGATGCCTCGGAGTGGAAGAAGACATCGGCCCACAAATGTGTGATTGAACAATGAACAGAAATCTGAAGAGACTCGGAACTTAGATATTTCTTGTTGTGTGTTGTCTTGTATCGCGTCAATCAATGAATGTGTTCAACTAACGTCGCCCAGCATTGCTGTACATATTCTAGGTCTCCAAAATATCACATCTCTTTCGGTTTTCTTCGCCAATCGCCCTATGCCCTGCCGAGTCCTATATTCATCATGAGATGTTCCAGATCCCCATCCTCGTGTAATAGCCCAGTGACGAAAAAATGCTGTTACATACTCCGAGGCCCTGTATATGTGCTTCGTCTGTACGCCTTCTAAGGAAACGACAAGCACGCCGGTGACGAGTGACAAAACATGGTAGTTTTCAATCTGAGGGCATATGTTATTACCAATCTGTGGTTGGGGATTTGGAGGCTTCTTCCCTGAATCAATGCACGATGCTTGTTTTATTTGGTCTGGTGTCTGGTTCCTAATGCATAGCTCTTAGCCTTTGATGTGATATCAAATACAAATTGTTCCATTTCTTCAACTACCGTTGGTTAGATATCATATAAACTCCTTAAGAGACAAGCAAGATTTGGTTATCACGCTATGTCAAAGGTGATAGAAGGTTATAGCTGACCCAAAATCATTCCATAACCGTCCTCCCCAAGCCTCACAAATTCAGCGAGTTTGTCCAGATTATATTCGGCTCAACTATACCTGTCGAACCGTCGCTCGGCGCCTCATTCTTGAGGTTCAACATCTCCCAGTCAATATTAGGCCCCTTGAACTCGTCCCCTATCAAACCCCAGAAAACAAGAATGATAAGACACAATCCCACCAAAACGGGTGCACTATAGTTCATCGAGCCCAAGGTGACGGGGAGATTAGGCGGAAAGCAAACCATAACACCCACGACTATAATCCACAGCGACGCCAAAACATTCCAGATATATCCCCATCGACCAAGGTCGAGTGGCCGCTTTGGCAGACACCGCGCACGACCTCGGGTAACGAGAATGGCCTGAGGAATGGCGTAACTCAAGTTCAATAGCGTAACGGCAAAGGTAATGATGGAGTTAAAAGCCGTGGTGCTGGCAAGGTATATGAGACCATAGATAGCAGCAAAATCACCGAGGCTATAGTTGTGCGAAGCGGGAATTGGAGCCGCTTGTCTATGTTGTCGAAGAAATCGGAAAATGGTGTACCTCGGTCTCTGGCAAAGGCCCATGCAAGACGCCCACAGCTAACCCACTGTGGAGGAAGACATGCTGCGTATATGATTGTCAAAAGTAAGCTTAATACCACATTCACTCTTGTTGATCCTGTTGCCTGGTACAATAGTTCCACGGCTGGCATTCCAGCGTTCATTACTCGGTCCATATCTTTCATGGCAACTATCAAGACTGCTAATAGCGGTACTGCTGTACAGAGGCCAATCGCTATTGTCAGGTTCCTATTCTTGGTCAGCGGGCCTAGTAACATAATTAGGCATTAGAGGCAGAGAATGAAACTAGTCTTAGCTGACATGATCTGCGGGAGTCGACGACCCGGTGATCGCATTTCTTCGACGATATGGATCGCTCCATCGCTGGCACTAAAGCAATACATCGAATTGATAGTTCCGAGAAGTCAGGCGGTGCCATTGCTCCATCCACTTGTGCCCTGACCAGGTCTAATGATATGCAACCTGTTATTTGGTTGACTCATGGCAAGGGTGGTTACAAACCAGATGGCAAATCCCGACAATGCTAGGTATAGAGACCATAATGTTATGAGTGGTATCTTTTGGGGGCACAAGAGAAGGGGTATCACTATGCAAGATAATCCGAGTCAGCAATGAAAGATATAACAACTTGACAATCGTGGTGTCTGACCTGTCACAATAATAGTAGCAAGATACACGCAGTATTCTTGCCATTGTTTGATCTCGAAGTCTGGGTGTAGAAATTGTCCGAGTCCTAGGGCTGCCTTGGCCACAAGAGACAAGCCGGAGCATGTCACCATCCACCATCCGAGTATAGACATCCAACCTGTCACAAAGGCAGCAAACCTCTTGTGCTTCTGGGGGGCGATTATGTAGACAAAGTGATATTGGCCCTATAAGATGGCGCCTGTAATTCAGCTTATGCTCCCTGGTGAATATGTACGCTGTAGATGACTTACTCCGGATGAAGGAAACGCTGAAGCCAGCTCAGAGAGTCCCAGAGTTATGATCCACTGCACAAAGCAAGCAATGATAACAGAAAATAGAGCTACTTGGGATCCTCCATATCTGAGATTCTGTCCGAAGTTGCTTAGTGCACCGACCCACGCGTTCGTGATACTAGATATTTCAGCATAATAACTGCGAAACATAATAGGAGGCAACATACTTGAATGCAAAGCCGAGAGATGCAACGATAGAGAATGATCGTTTGAATACTGCGTCATGCCCCTGTGCCCCCAGAATATCATCATCGGCTACTGCGAAGCTGTTTGTTGCTTCAGGATGAGGGCCAGCATTGCTCTCATCCACGAATTCGTGGTTGATGAACTCACTGTAGCTTTCTACGTGCTCCATTTGTACATGTGAGGTGCTTTCGTGTGACGGTTCTCTTTGGAGGGGGAGCATCGGCGCAATTTCGAATTACCCGCGTCAATAGCGGGCGATTTCACAATCTTATAACTTGGTTTAGTTACTCCGGAAGATCAATCCTATAATTGAATTCCCGTCCTTCTATGGCCACATTATCTGCTGCCGTGTACTACCCTGCTTCTATACCTTATCTCGAATCCCGGTACGAAGACCAAGGTTCATTTGGCGCTCAACAGTAAATTCTATTAGATAGATATACTAAAGAACACCCGAGTCAGCTGCAACATTCAATAGTTCCTACACCCACAGCACTATTATTGCTGCTCCTCAGGGTTCATGCTCGTTTCAATCCGACGAATGACTCGTGCGGGATTGCCTGCGACAAAGTGGAATGGAGGAACGTCCTGCAAAAGTCAGTCTGGCTTCTCTCAACGGGGAAATAGAGATATCAAATCTCGAGCTGCTGACCTTTGTTACCACCGAGCCAGCTCCAACCGTGCTCCCCTTTCCGATTCGCACGCCCGCCAGCACGATCACACTACCACCAATCCATACATCGTCTTCGATATGCACTTCCTTTCCACACTCCGGTCCCTTCAAACCTTGTCGAACAGCCGGGTCCAATGGGTGGGTCGCACCATAGAGACAGACATTCGGACCAAACAGTACCCGCTCTCCGATAGTGATCAGGCAAGTATCAAGCACGAGAAGATTGAAGTTGAGAAAGGTGCCTTTGCCAACCTTGAAATTCAGACCGTGGTCCACAGAAATTGGTCCGTCGACGAAGGGATCGGTCTCTTCAAAAAGTGCCTCATCTTCTTTTGGGTCTGGGTTCAATGGTGGCATTGGACGACTGTCGCAGAGAATACTGGAAACACATAATGGTCAACATGAAGGTCACCCGGGCCATGATAAATGACCATTCCGATCACGCCGTTCAAACTTACTTTCTCCACAGCTCTACTTTTCGACGCCTTGTTGCAGTCCCGGCGGCATTGAAATCATCGCAGGCCTGTTTACACCTTGTTCGGTTCGCCTGCAGATCCTCGTCCCATGCCCAGTAAAGCTCTCCGCGGAGCATTTTTTGCCATTCCTTTGACTGTGCCATGCTTCCTGTAGGTATGAGTGCGATGTGAAGAGATATCCCCCAGAATTGTGGGAAACGGGCTTACTTCAATACCTTCTGTACGTGGAGAGTACATATGACACCGATTGTGGGGAATAGGAACCGGACCCACACTTTAGCGGCGCTGTTTATATCTGAATTGGGTAGTTCACCCAGCAAGTACGGTGCTTTTCCGAGGTGATAAGGCATTCTGCATACATAGACCTTAGTATTACTTGTGGATATTTCTATGCAGTGATAAGTTTTCCTAGATATAGAAATACAAAGATTATACACATAAACGGATACAAAAAATGGAAATAAAAAAATAAAAAAGATATCGTAGCGACGGCTGCATGATTCGAACATGCGCCTCCGAAGAGAATTGATTTCTAGTCAATCGCCTTAGACCACTCGGCCAAACCGCCTTAGATGAAAGATGGGGCCAAAACGTGCTTCTAGAGGGAATACTTCTGATCTTGCTCTGACGAGATTGATTATTGATCTGACCTCGGGTTGTCGCCCAAGCACCACAAATGGAATAAATGCATATTCAAAGGAATCGGTAAAAATTATTCTTAAGCTATCTTCCCAATGGAACATATTTCACATAAAGAGACCATGTAGTAGAAAAACTTCAGGCATTGGAGATAGTTTATGCCTCAGGCAGTAAGCAGCATAGCACCGGAACGGAAGAATCTTTAATCCCCTTGACTTAAAATCGACCTTCTTGTCCATTTTATATCCCCGATAAAGCATCTATCAAGCTTAGATTTGCATTTTTTTTCGACCATTGATAAAATGGTATGGCTGCGTGCTGTGCCGAAGATGGCTATAATGCTGAGCTAGCGGGGACAGACAATAGCCAACGACAATACTTGTCTCATGAGGCTACAACACGCGTCTACAACACCTGCTAATCCTAAGATTTAACCGCATAGCCTCTAGTATGTTTCAGACAATAGGCCGCCTACCTTCTCAGGGAAGACTTTTGATAACCTATCATCCTATCACTGCAGTGAAATGGTAGATGTCAGATGCGATTGCTTGTTCTCCCCGTTAGAGCCCTCCATGATGTGACACGCTGGGGCGTGTCCACGTGTATAATCCAGCGCAGTGGCATTTCCTGCAAACGAATAAACGCATCTTCCCGTTGTGGACTCTGCCTGCCCCATCCCCCAAATATACCTAGTACCTGCCCTCTCCCACTTCCTCTCTTCTCTTCTCCCTCACCTTCGGCCACCTTCAAGCTCTGGGGATAAGTGGACATTCATTAAGGTGATGTCTAAAAGGGGTGACTTTCATCGACCATAACCATCCGACTATCAATGACATTCTGGGGTTTCTTGGTCTGTCTTGTGAATCAGTTTGTTTTCGGTATTCGTCTTGTGGGCTTGTGGGATCTGTGGGCGTTATCTTTCTTACTCGGTCTTTCTACAAAAAGTTCTAGGCTCTTCTAGTTTGTTAACAAAACCTTGTGGGCATTTTTATCAAATATCCTGGCTTTTGCTCTTGGGCTTGATTTTGCCTTTGCTCTCTTCCGTTCTTTTAAGCACGAGCTAGCATTCTGGGATCGTGGGCTTTGTGGGTTGTGTCATTTTGTTATTTTCTCCTTCTCGCCCTGTGATGAGTTCGTCTTAGACGAATATAAGCCAATTCTGCAGGCATCCGCTTGACGACGGCTCCATTCATGGCACCGAGTGTCTGTGGACCGTGTACACGGCTGGAAGCCGGTGATGAACACCGAGAGCAACCTGAGGGCGAGATTCCTTTTATCTTTGTGGCTTTACCCTATATATATAGTAAGGATCTTGATAGAATCAAACGAAATAATGCATTGGTATTTCTGTTCCTCTTTCATACCATAGCTACTTGTAGATTGGTTGGGGTATCCATTGATCCCTTTGTACTGCATATAAGAACAGAGAAGAGGTATGCCATTTCGCAAATGTAAAACGCCTGCTAAATGCCAAAAGTCGCACGCTTAACGACGAATGTACAAATTTATATTATTTTCCATTGCCTCGGGCGCCACAAGCCATGCGATTAGCGCAAGAACTTGCCCAATGCGCCACCAATATTCTTAAGATCCAATAAGAAAGTGTCATGACCAAAGAGCGACAAGTCGTCACCGAGCTCGACATGTTCAACATTCTTGTTGCCCCCAGCACGGAGTGTCTCGGCGATCTCCCGCTGCTGCCACGCGGGGAAGAGGATGTCACTTGCAACACCCATGACAAGCACAGGGTGGTTCTTGAGAGGCGCAAGGCCGGCGACAAGATCCCGGGGAGGGCCATCCACTGGTTCGGCAGAGACTGACTCGTCCAGTGGGGTCTTGGAAGATGATCCAGGCTGCTCCTCGTAGGGCTTGTCTGGGAGGGTCAGACTGCAAGCGGGGTCCGAGGCATTTAGTGCGTCACCACCGTGCGCAATGCGATCCTCGGACTCTGCGCGGCGTTTCAGAGTCGCAGTTTGATGAGCATGGCCGAGATCGAACAAGTCCATGGCCTTGGAGACATAAAGAAGACTGTTGGGGTCGTACTCGAGGCAGAACTTCTCACCGGCATGGTCGAGGTACGTCTCAATAAGGAAATCGGGACACAGAGCGGGCTGTTTGCTGGGGTCTGCACGCTGGCGGCCAAATCGCATCTCCCACTCTGGCCCGCTGCGGTACGTCACGGTTGCAATCTCGCGCGCTAGCTTCATACCAGAGTGGGGCGGGATTCCGTCGTAGTAGAACCCACGGGCCCAGTTAGGGTCCATCATCAGCACCTGACGCTGCGTGTGCCGCATCGCTATACTGTAAGGGTGGCTGCGGGCGCAACCACTGATGCTGACAATTTTGTTGACCCGCTCTGGGAAGAGGACACCTGCGGCGAGACTCTGCATGCCACCCATGCTGGAGCCGACAGAGGCAGCGAGCTTCTTGATTCCTAGGCCGTCAAGAAGCCGGAACTGAGCGCGCACCATGTCTTCCAAAGTCAGGATCGGGAAACGGGTTGCGTACCGCTTTCCGTCGGACGGATCGAGGGAAGACGGGCCCGTGGTACCGTAACATCCTCCGAGAACATTAGTGCAAATGATATGGTATTTATCAGTATCCAGTGGCAATCCGGGGCCAATAAACTTCTCCCACCAGCCGGGCTTTGGGTTGGAGGCTGTGCTATGGGCGTGGCTTGAAGCGGACAAGCCGGTATGCAGGAGGATGGCATTGCTCTTGTCGCTGTTCAATTGCCCCCATGTTTCGTAGGCAACGTCAAATTCTGTGAGCACACCACCCCAGTCGAGCAGAAGTGGCTGTTCACAGTGGTATGATTCGTGTCGCCCGGTGGTGTATGAAGGTTCGGGCCCGGATTGCAGCGACCGAGCGGAGAGCTGCGCTGACTTTGCTTCTTGGGCGTCGAGACAGGGGAATGACATCGCTGGGTTGGAGGAGTCTTTCTCATTTGATTCCGCGATAACTGCTGCTGATTTTCGCGGTGACACGGTATGCAATGGGCGTGCGCTCTTCCATTGCGCCGATAAAGTCCGATGCGGTCCCGCGGACTTCACGAGGGAATTTCCTTGTCGCCATGGCTGGGTTCGAATTGTGCGTGAAGCCGCGCGAGCAGCGCCTCGAAACGATTGCATTATAAAGCCTAAGATCTGTGACATTCAGGAAAGAAAGCTTCCCAGGTCAAAAGCTATCGGGGGGGGAGAATATGTGGATACCTCAGGCACTAATCAGTGGCGTCATCACCGACATCGGTGATTGGCGGAGAGTCAGGCGTTGAAGTATACCTCGGGAATGCACAACATACGGCAGTTTTATCAGACAAGCTAAGAAGTCACTGTCATATATAGCTAAGGTCCTTAGCGGATTCTATCATAAACCGTTATGCGAGTATCAAATGGTGACTCTAAAAATAGGGAAATCCAAAACGCCCAGCGCTAGATGCAACACAAGTGAAAGGTATGAAGAATAGGCCATAGCAAATTGTGGTGAAATGGCATCGCAATCAGCCTGCTTCCAATCCGGCTCACGAGTTTCCCGCGGATTTCGGAGAATTCGACTGTTGGTCAACCACAAGCGTCGACATAACAATCGTATTGTTATTAGACCGAATATCGAGAGCAGCAGACCACATACACCGGAATTGACCACAATTGGCATGGAAAACAATCTTGCTCCCATCAGTCGAAACCGTCGCACCCCCAGGCGCCTCGAAACCCCAGTCCCCAGTCTGTAGTAAAGGCCGATCGGCCCTGACGTACGGACCCTTGAGGGATTTCGAGTGTGCGTATTTCACATTATAGCCCAGTGAGACATAGCAATGCGAAGAGAAGAACAAATAGTATGTACCGTCCTCGGTGAGCATGATATCAGGAGCTTCAACGAGGGGACCATCAGTATCGTCAATATCGAGGATTTGCACTGCTTCTCCGATAGGCGTGACGCCATCACTCTCCAACTCCTGCAGAAGAATCGGAACAGATACAATTGGCTTCTTGCTATTGCCGCAGTTGCCGCCGCGTCCAATACTGTTTCCGTCGCCCTTGTAGACCACGTACAGCGTGCCGTCGGTGTCTCTGAATGGTGATGGATCGATGGCACCGCCATACTTGTGGGGACATGCTAGTGGCTTGTCTTCTGGGATGTAAGGGCCTAGTGGGCTCGTACCGTTTGATATTGCAACTCCCACGCAATGATGGGTGCCGTAATTCTTGACTTCTCCCGAGTAATACATGACGAATTTGCCGTCGTCCTAGAACGTCAATGTGAATATGAGAGACTGGATGAGATGGTGCTCATCAATATACTTACCCGCTGGATCACATCCGGGGCCCAATGATTGACCTTCTTCTCCCAAGCGCCGAGAGTCGGCATCGCGTCGTAACCCTCGTGAAGAGTCCAGTTGACAAAATCGTTCGATGTAGCAACAGGCACATGAATACTGTTTGGGTTCTTTTTCATCGGATTGGTTCCGTAGGCATACCATGTATCATTGTGTTGAATGAGGCCTGGGTCCGGGAAATTGTGGAGGGCAAATATAGGTCGGTTCTCCTCGAGGTGGTAGCTGTGGTCTTCATTTGGCTGAGGTATTTTCCAATAGTCATCGGTGTCTCTTGCAAAGCCGTAGATTTTGGTGAAATAAATGGGGAGAACAATGACGAGAGCCGTCAGGGCCAGTCCGAAGAACCCCAGCACACATAGTGCCCCAATTTGACGTCGTCCCCATGGTCGGGTAAAGAAGCGTCTCTTTTTTCCCTTTTCTGCAGTAGCCCCCGCTGCCGCATCTGAGGGAGATTGAATCCTGTCGCGGTCTGAGATTTCACTAACTGCGATGGACTGGACGACAGAGGGAGCCACATATTTCTCAGGTACAACTGAAATGACAGTCGCCATATTTTTTTCCCGGAGCGCTGGCAAAATGCAAATGGGTTGGCGCTGGGGTTTCTTAGGCAGAAACTATACCTTGGCTTGAATCAAAAAAATGCTTATTCATATGGTTGAGGCTCTGGGTAAGCGCAGGAAGGTTGGGCTATCCCATAGTGAAAGACATTCCACTGCAATGAGGTTTTGAATTGAGTAGGGAGGTTAGTAAGAGACAAGAGAGAAAGATAGATAATGGGGAGTCTAGCTTATACGGCATGTGTCCGGGGATAAATGGCCAAACGACGCAAAACGGGGATAATAAGCCGAGACACAATTGGCTATAATTCAAGCGAAATCAGACCAAGTAACTCATGCTAAGGCGAGAATTGTACCATAAACCTTTACTATCTCGGAATAACTTGTTCCAAGTGATCTAGACCCTGCTACCCTGCTACCCTCTACTTTTTGGCATGAAAATATTCCATTACGCTTTTGCGGGTCCAAAGTTCCCGTAAAATTAAGTCACTTTAGTCCACCAGTTTTCCAAGTTCTCTTTAATCTAGGTATATTCTTTTTCATGTCTCTCCTAGAGATTATCACATTGCTTTATTCATCTATCACGGTCATGATCTAAGTGTATTTTTTGCCCTGTCTCGATGGAAGGCCACCGGGATCCCTCGTATCTTATAGGATGTTTGAAAGAGCCAAATTGATTGTTCACTCCTCGGGGTGATACCATATGATGAGGGTAAAGATCCAAGAGAAGAAATATTTATACAAGTTAAGGAGAAGGGATCGGCCAACTGCCTTCTCACTGGCATCTTCAATGATATCCTCCGCATTTGTATTTCCTAAGACATCTGCTAGTTTGGTGCATTTTGATATTTTGATATTTTGTTCCTCTTTCCTCTTTCCTCTTCTAGCCAGTAATGCGAAATGCGAAGACAAGACACACAGCAATAGGTGAAATTGCGAAACTATATATGTATGCACCTACCGGGTACATAGTCTCCTACTTAAAGAACGAGTTTTCTCGTAATTGTCTCAATAACTGCTAGCAGTACATGGCTCTTTATACCTAAACCTTTGGTACTTGTTTATAAATCCAGGTGGGCACGTTGCCAAGAAAAGTAAGCACCCCCCCCAAGATCCCTAGAGCTTGGCAGATCTGAGGTACTTTGCGGATAATTGGCTCTACGATACATGTTTCAAAAATTCTCAAGGGAAGTTTATATCGCTATCGGAGCTTGACCGGTGCCGCGGATCAGTGTTGAACCACTTCCAAGTACATGTTAGACACGAGGAAAAATAATTTGGACTACTCATTATCGATTCTATGCATTCTGGTATTTAGATCAAGAGTTGCCGAGAGTATCAGACCTACTCTGTAGGAATCATTTATCTTGGGATGATCATCACCCATTCTGGAAGCAAGGAGCAGTTCATGTGGGGATGCTCTGCCAAAATTCAATGATATATTTAGCAAGATCATTGGTTGTTAACAATGTAGATATATTCAAAAAGAAAAACCACCGACAGATGGAAGAAGGAAGAGTGAACAATATCAGTCATAGTTCAAGTTACACCACAAGGCCACGTGAGCGGCTCCACCCCTACAAGGTTGCTTCCGGCATACGCAACCCTTTTGTTCTATTCGACGTCTAACAAAATTGGCCAGCAAGGCGACAAATTACTCGCTGCCAGACAGCGTGGCCTACTTTTTGAATCCAATCTCTCCTATATTGCTGTTCTGTGGTACTAGTGACCGGGCATTCTTGCGCGGGTTTTTTTCTCCTATCCTGATTCCGGGTTGACCGTATCTCCGACCATCGAGGTCACATCCAAGACTTTCGCGTAACGATATGTCACCCTCTCAATTTCTTTAGTCTAGGATTTGGAATCGCTCGATTGTCACACCCGCCGAACGAATCGCATACCAAGACCATTCAAATTCCCCGATCTCGCAGATCACGGAACACAAAAGCACGGAGGTCTTGATTCCTATCTCTCAGTCAACTTACGACTGTCGCAAGATCAGCTAGTTATTTTCCGACTACACCGGCTCCATCGCCTGTCATGATCACCCCGCGCAAGGTGCTGCTCGCCCTGTTCTGCGTGATCACATTTGTGCTCATCCTCCGCTCGTTTCGAGATCCTGAAGTTCCTGGGGCGCCTGGGTACCGACCGGTGAAGAAGATATCAGAAGAAGAGGAGGAAGCAATAGCAAATTCGGCACACAAAATACCACCGCAAGGTCGAGCCCAATTACCTCTCGGCGCATCACCGACAGCACCGCTCCGTGAACGTCTCCGGTATCAATTCCCATATGAAATCGAGAACAGATTCCCCGCATATATCTGGCAAACATGGAAATACAACCCTGGGTCGTTCTGGTTCGACGAAGATCTCCGGGGCCCGGAGGCCAGCTGGACAGAGATGCACCCGGGGTTCACGCATGAAGTCATACCCGACGAGACGCAGCAACATTTGATCAAGTATCTATATGGATCAATTCCGGAAGTATTCGAGGCATATGATTCGCTGCCGCTCGCCGTCATGAAGGCGGATTTCTTCCGATACTTGGTTCTTCTAGCGCGCGGAGGAGTGTACAGCGATATCGACACTTCGGCACTCAAACCCGCGCACACGTGGCTCCCCGAGGAACTTGATCGATCGACTATTGGCTTCATTGTTGGCATCGAGGCTGACCCTGACCGCGATGACTGGCATGACTGGTATACGCGCCGAATTCAGTTCTGCCAGTGGACCTTTGTGTCGAAACCCGGACACCCAATTCTTCGTGATATGGTGGCTTATATCACCGAGCAGGCTCTGCGAATGAAAAAGGCAGGCATTCTCAAGGTTGGCAAGATGGATAAGACTATTATGGAGTTCACGGGGCCTGGAGCCTGGACAGATTCTATCTTCCGCTACTTCAACAACCCGGCATATTTCAATATCCAGCCTGGTGATAAGAACATTACCTATGAAGACTTCAGCCACCAGACCACACACCGCAAGGTTGGAGATGTGGTTGTTTTGCCCATTACCAGCTTCAGCCCCGGTGTGGGGCAGATGGGTGCAGGGGATACTGATGATCCCATGGCTTTTGTGAAACACAATTTCGGAGGTACGTCTATATCTTTGACTCGTTCATTTAGTCTCATGTGGACATAGCACTAACCTTTCGATCCCAGGCACATGGAAGACAGACCCGTCCTTATGAAAAAAAATGCCGCAAGCTTGTACTTGATTCGATTGCAACATTGTACACTGTATAGTCTCAGAGACCTATTGCAGGCCTTTGCTTACAGTTCTATCTTGATCTCTGCTCTGCTCCGATTTCATCACCCACACCTCCCCTCTGGATCTCCCGATTGTCTCTGTTCCCGTGACAAACCTCCAAATCTCCGGCATCGAACTGTCATCATCGGTGCCTTTGGGTACAACTGCGCAAGCTTTAAACCCGTTCTATGTTTCATGATACTTGTTCATATGATTCCCCCACTTTGTTTTTCATTGTTATATACACTACTCTTTTAGTGCTCGGTAAATGATTTTCTACTAGCTATACTAGCTGCTTATAGATTTCGATCTCATTGCTGTGAGAGCCAAAAGGCGACTTTCGAAAATTGCCCATTGCGTATAAATAGAGATCTTGATATATTATTTGGTTGCCTGGATATCTATTAGACGAACCTAGAGAAGATACTTATATACGACTACGTTGCCACACTGGATATCCGATCCGAACACTACAGAGGAAACGCGTGTTTGGTATTGGATATATGTACATCTCTCGTTGCTCAAAAGTCCCAATCTCAAATTTCGCTCATACCAAACCCAACGCCAAATCAAAGTGTAGCTCCAGACTTGACTGTAAACTCCGAAGTCACATAGACGTTCAAGTTCTCCGCTTCGGATAACATATGCTCCTCGCTATCCCCATCATTCGTTTTCGCCCCGGACCGAGCCACAGTGACCTGCTGCCCCTCGGACTCATATATAGGTTCGAAATTGCTCTTTCTGTGCCCAAGCCCCGTACCCGTGCCCTGGCGAACAGAGTCAAGCGCATAAGTACGGGAAGTCTCGCGGTTTCGGTATGAGTTGACGGTGGAAGCGAAGGACTTGAACAGAGGTCCATACGTGGGGATGCAGGCGACGATAACCTATACATTTTTTATGTATTAGTTTTTCGTAGACTTGAAGAGATAGCGAATGTCAACTTACACCCAGGCTGACCTCGACACAAGACCATATCACGATGTTCTTGCTGTCGGTGTAGGTTTTCAGGTCCCTGACGGTGAAGACGCGGATGATCTGGACCACGGTCACGAAGAAGCCGAGGGCAAATAGGCAGGCTAGGAGGGCCTTTTGTTTGGAGCGGAGCTGGAGTTTCCAAAGGACTGGTAGAGGGAGTGCTATGATTATTAGGTCTAATACGATGCTTGTGCCTCCAAGCGCAAAGTAGAATGGTACGGTTTGGATGCAATGCCCTTCGAGAGAATCATCCCATTGTTTTGCGACCTGTGTAATGTCAGATAACCTATTTTCATAACTTCATGTGTACAAATAAGGATGAGCTGACCGGTATGCAGGAGATTGATATGATCAACGCAAAAATCAATTGGTTTATGACACACACGACGATGGCGGTGATTATGATTTTGCGATATTGCTCAATGATTCCCGCAATTCGCAGGTAGGAGGCCAGCAAAGCGACTTTGAAACCGAGGACATCGAGACAGTAGATTGGGCCGCCGGCATATTGGATCTATGGATTGAACAATGTTAATACCAGGGTCGAGTTCGAACAATGTTGGTCTCGCGATATGCACCTTGCTAAAAGGAATGATATTCTCCTCTGGAAAATAAGCGGCACTGAGTCCTTGGCCCCATCGAGTCTCTAAAATAGATATTTTGTCAGATTCCCGAGTTCGGCAGCTAAGCTTCGCTGATCAATGGATCGACTCACGAGCCACGGCGATCCCCGCGTATGCTAGTGTCAGCAGTAAACTCGCCAGTGCTGCATAGTCATCAATCCATGGAAACCGCTTGTTGGATATTCGCACATAAAATCGCAGGCATACGGCCAGGAAAGCTAGGGTTGAGCAAACCAAGCAGATCGCAATCACTCGCGGAATGTCACTGTTTGGATCAGTCTCGTGAAGATTGTATACCCAGCCCATGATTTGATCATTGCGGGCAAGTAAGGCAGACTCTGCAAGGGGATGGTGTCTTCTTATCCTCAATTAATAAAATAATTACGGAGTCCGAATTACGGAGTATACAGGATTTCACAAGCTGGGTGGGGCGGCGGGGGGCTTGCATCAGGCGTAATTAAGTTGCATGACTAGATTCACAAAACGACAGGGGTACGAATTATAATTTGTCGGCTTCTCTTGGTTTTTGTGGCCTGTAATTAGACTATGATTTTGTAGGGAATTTTTTGCCCAGAAACAGAAATAGATATCTCTTATATAGCAAAAGAAAGGCCTTGAATATGAACTATTACCTCCATGTGTTCCAATTCGGACTGTCTTAGAGTTTGCGGAATGCAGAATGTTCCATGGTTTTAGGGTGGGGAAGCGGGCTTCCCGCTGACCAATGAAATTCCGAAACAATCTTGGAATTCACATTGTTCTCCAGAACTAACAGGGCTAGGGCCGTGTATTAGCTGCAACATATATTGCCTGCATCAATAGTGTGGACTTTTCTATCTAAGCGAAAACTGAAACCCCCCTGACTTTTAGCCTTTTCACGGATATTTAAGTCACAGGCTGATACATTTGCATGAAGCCAATCCATTATGTTTTTCCGCGCAACCTTCATTGCCTCGCTGTTGGCAGTCCTGCCTCAGGCTTCGGCCACGGCTTGCCGATGCGCTCCCGCTGATGATTGCTGGCCCACAGAGCACGTCTGGTCTCAATTAAACAAGACCATCGATGGCCGTCTAGTGAAGACCGTGCCTCTTGGCACCCCTTGCCATGCGCCAAATTACAACTCTGAAGCCTGTGCAGTGTTGAAGGATGGGTGGCTACTTCCCGAGGAGCAGTATGTCGCTTTATATATGGAATAACATGAAAGCGCCAGTACTGACTATATTTTTGACAGCTATGAATCGTCTTCTTCAATTATGGCGCCGTTCTTTGCCGATGGTGTTTGTGATCCATTCCACCCTGTCTCAAAACCCTGCACACTGGGCAACTATGTGCGCTACAGCGTGAATGTCACCAGCCAGGCTCAGATTTCCAAAGCTGTGGAGTTCGCAACCAAGCACAACATTCGTCTAGTTATCCGTAACACCGGCCATGACTACAATGGCCGGTCCACTGGTGCAGGAGCCCTTGCAATCTGGACTCACCACCTGAAGGATCTGTCAATCCACGACTACAAGGATAAGCACTACTCCGGAAAGGCCATTACTATGGGTGCTGGCATCCAGGGCCACGAAGCCTACGAAATCGCCGAGGAGACTGGCTACCAGGTTGTTGGTGGTGAATGTCCCACCGTTGGTCTTGCCGGTGGCTACACCCAAGGAGGTGGTCACTCCGCACTTGGCTCCCGTTACGGCCTGGGCGCCGATCAAGTCCTAAAATGGGAGGTCATCGACGGCCAGGGCAACTTCATTACTGCTACCCGCGACAACAAGCACTCCGATATTTTCTGGGCTCTGAGTGGCGGTGGTGCTGGTACTTACGGTATCGTCTGGTCCATGACCTCGAAGGCACACCCCGGAACTCCCGTCTCTGGCTTGAACCTGACCTACACAAATGAGGGTATCTCGCAAGATACCTTCTTCGATACCATCGAGACCTTCCACGCCGAGCTACCCGCTATCGTCGATGCAGGTGCTATGAGCGTCTGGTACTTCACCAACACCAGCTTCTCTATTGCTCCAATCACCGGTCCCAACATTCCTGTCGCTGACTTGGTGGCACTTCTCAAGCCCTTCACCGACAGCCTCGATAAGCTCGACATCAAGTACAACATGGTTGCCAAACAATATGAGAGCTACTACAGCCAGTTCAAGGATATGCAAGGCGTTATCCAGGTTGGCACTGCCCAGTATGGAGGTTGGCTGGTCCCGAGATCGGTCGTTCAGAACAACAACCACGGCCTAATGACTGCTTACCGTGAGATCACCGAGGCTGGCGGTACCTTCATCGGCGTCGGTTTGAACGTCTCCCACAAGGTGTCTGGAGATGTCCATAATGCGGTCCTCCCTGCTTGGCGCGAGGCTCTGATTGATACTACTTTGACGACACCATGGGAGTGGGATAATTCTGCTCTCATGTTGGAGCGCCAGCGCCAAATGACCGAAGATTTCATTCCTAAACTGACTGCGCTTTCTCCCAAGTCCGGTGCTTATATGAATGAGGTATGTAAACTGATATCTAGCTCTAATTTCCTTCATCGTGGACATATGCTTATCGTTTTTACAGGGTGACTTCCAACAACCCAACTTCAAGGAGGTCTTCTATGGTACCAACTATGATACCTTGCGCAAGATCAAGGCCAAGTATGATCCGAAGAACATCTTCTACGCCAGAACCGCTGTCGGATCTGACGAGTGGACTGAGCGTGAGGATGGCCGTTTGTGTAAATCTACCTAGAAGGATCAAATCCCTGGTTATATGTTAAAAAGTCGTATGCATATCTCAAGCATCTTGCCGTCTACCTATAGAACCGGGAAGGGCGAGAAACTATCTAGAAAAAGACTATAAATAACATCCGAGAGGACTAACGAGGCTGCATAAGCGACCGACTATTCTAGGGTTGAATGTGGTACTGTAAAATATATCAAAAGTTTAACTCGTATCATTTATGGGCTAGATAAATTGTGGTGTGTTGTGAGATGGGACTGAAGTATACTTGGCCACTCACCACTACCAAAAGGTGGGGATTTTCAGGTTGCGATCGAAAGGATCTATGTATTTCAAATATACTCGATGAGATGATTGCGAGAATCTCATATATTAAATCGCAAGGAACATAATCTATTGAAAGAGTGTGATATGACACGAAATTTGTGCCAACAATGAGACAATATCTTCAAGATGAAAATACATACCTACATGTAGATGCAGCGAGCATTATCTTGAGGGGACATTAAAAATCCCGAATTAAAAAAGCAACCACCTATGTAACATCGTGATTCATCACCCATAACTATATACGTTGATAACTTTACGACGAAAAGAGAGTCAAAAGAAAGTGGCATTAAAACGCTTCCCATTCGCAAGATTGCGCTTAGGGACTTTGTGAGGTCGCTGGGGTGTTTAGGCAAGAGTATGGCCAGGTGATCCATCTCCATGCTCATGATCAACACAAGGTTTCTGCAAATGGAAGTGCATGTGAGAAAAAAATTCAAAGAAAACCTCCCATACTCTGCCGGGAATGGTTTTCATACTGTTGTGTGGGTATAGATGTGTGAGGAGGTCATATGGTAGCGGTGAGACTGGTTGAGCAGCATGACAAGGCGTGGGATATCCTTCGAGCCCAGATTTGCCACAGACATGCATTCCAAGGACTGTCATGGGATCTCATCTGAAAAGCGAAAGGTTAAGATCGGCGCGAATGATCGCGAGTGCGGCCTCTGGGTGTAGGAGCATTCGCTCACGTGGGAAGCGTCCGTGGGGGTTTCGTGGGGGTTAGAGTGAGATGGCCGCCATCTGAGAATTTCGGAACGAAGATACGGTGAGAGCTTGGTGAGTTGTAATGGCAAACACATCTTTCAGAAGTCACTGAATAACGGCTCGTACTTCTTCTTCAGATCTTCCGTGTAAATGTTCGTATTTCTGAGGTCGGGGGGATCCGGGTATTCTTCAAAGTTACCCGTGTCCGCCGGGTGGGATAGGCGGGGAACTATAGGTCCTTTCACCCGGCGATAAAACAAATCATCCCAAATGACATTTTGGAAGAACGGATGAGACTTGACTCGAGTCGAGCCACCAGAGATGTGTCCTAGTCGCTCGGACGGATTTGTTTTACAGAGTAGGGAGACGATGTTCTGTGCTGCGGCCGGCATATTCGGTGGGAAGCGTAGACGACCTTCGATAATCTGCTCGTAGATGCGCATAGGGTTTTGATCCCAGAAAGGGGGCTGTCCGATCAAGAATTCGTATATCAAGATTCCAAGAGCCCACCAGTCCACTGCAAGACCATGGCCACTGTTTTGAATAACCTCTGGAGCCAGGTATTCCGGTGTGCCACATAATGTGTATGTCTCGCGGTTATCGACTTGCTTCGCAAACCCGAAGTCAACGAGCTTGATGTGACCATCAGCGTCCAACAGGATATTCTCCGGTTTGAGATCTCGGTACGCAACTCCATGGACGTCGTGCAGGAACTCGATTGTCATTGTTATTTCGGCGGCATAAAATGTCGACGTTCCTTCGCTAAAGCGTCGCTGTCGTCGTAGATACGTGAATATCTCGCCTCCAGGACAATAGTCCAGCTAGCAATTCGTTAACACCTTGTGCTCACAGCATATTCCAAATTCAAAGAAAGTGTCATACCAGCATATAAAGACATTTGTCATCCGAGAATGATGCAATCAGGGTTGTGATGAAAGGGTGGTCAATGACCGCTGCAAGGGCTTTTCGCTCGTTGCGCACATGTTCCACTTGCTTGAGTTTGATCACTTTGCAGTCGGAATCAGCACGATTTATTCCCTCGCCACACGCAACGTTAGACAAAGTGGCGCTTACCGTCCGCCTTTCGAAGAATTTTCAACGCGTAAACTTTGTTCTTGTCCTGTTCGTCCTTTAACCTTGCGAGCCACACCCGAGCGAAAGTGCCTATACGATGAAAAAAAACATGAATAGTCAGACGCCACTCGTATGAGAGAAATAATAGGCCATGCGCTGACCGGTTCCAAGAGTCTTGACGAGCGCGAAATCGCTCACATGCAGATTCCTCGACGAGATGCACAGTTGCTTATCCTCCTGGCGTTCGGTGATAAGGAAAGGGTTCGAAGATCGCGGGGAATGGCGGAGGGACTCGACGAGGTGCTTCTCCTTGTGATGCAGAGTTGAATTTAGCTTGGAAAAGACCATGGTTCCTGGCGCCTCATTTGGCGAATGTTGCACTGCTCCGGTTGCCATTAGAATAGTCAAAGGTCATGTCGCGGTTAAAGAAAAAAAAAACGTTTATGGAGACCCCGTTAGCGCGCCACCAATCGGCAACACAGGCTAATTCCGAGTTTCAGATCATAAAGAACATTGAGGTTCGGTTTGAAAGAATCTGAGGCTTTTTTTTTGGAAAAAATCGCGGGGCAAAGAGTTGTAAAAAGGAAGTTCTGCCCTCTGACGTATCTATGGGGGCGGGGCTGAACGGGAGAACGGTGATAAACCGGACTGAGTAAGCTCTAAGCTCTTAGCTTTGATTTGATAATCTTTCATTCTAACCTTGGAAGATTTTATTATACATCGGAAGAATGTTATTTCGATTCAGAAGTATCTTGATCCAGTCTCATAGCTATCTGTTCTGGTTACGTTTTTAGTACACATCTATGAAATCGTGTCTCTTCGAAGATCAGGATGACCGGTGGACGAAAAAAAAAAAGTGTTGTGGAATGAGTTGTCGTATGAAATTGCTCAAGACTTCGAGTTTAGGATCAAACCAACAATCAAGCTGAAATCATGTTAGTAAGAATAATCTGAAGAATCTGAGTCGGAAACCTACCCATAAAGCCCGAGAACTTCGCCGAAAATCAGGATGAGAATCATTCCCACGTAGACCCGAGACTGTTGCATGTATGCCCGAACACCCTAGAGTAGCTGTTAGAGCTCAATAGTCCCCTCACGTTGCCGCGCATATAGGGTCCTTACTGCATCGCCCACAACTCCAATTGTATAACCAGCAGCCACACCCGTAAGACCAACTGACATTCCAGCAGCAAGATGCATGAAACCTCTGTGCAGTGTCAGCTTGTGTCAAGCTCCATATTCATCCAACTCTCGAGACGTACGTGTATAAACTCATATTGGTGGTTGGGCCCACTGCTTGCGCAATGAGCACGGCGATAACGAGACCGTAAACTGCAATGATACCGGACATAACAACTGGAATGAGGGACTGCAGCCATGAACTCAGTTAGCTACCGTCACATCCATCATGGAACCGGCGAATCTGGATAAAAGGATTCCTTACCTTCATGATGAGATCAGCCCTATAGGTTCCCACACCTGCAATTCCAATGCCAGACTTTGCTGTGCCGTAAGCTGCTCCTGCCGCTGTGAGATTGTAAGCTGTTTGTCCGGATGCCTAGAACCTAGAGAGCTCCATCCACATGAGATATTTCACGTACACCCGAAGATCATCTACAGGGAAATGTTAGTGCACTGTCAAATCGGAACGAGGTTATAATAGACTCACTGCAGCGGCAATTCCAGCCTAGTATAGGGAGCCCGTCAGTCTATCCACTCCAATGTTCTCGGGGGGCTTGAACTCACGAAGGAGAAGAACGGAGCGAACTTGGGCGCAAGCTCACTGTCTGCCATAGTGATGTTGGAGCAAGATTTATCTTGCAAATCACACGGAAGAAATATAAGAAGAAAATGAGAGCTGTTTGATACAAGATCAAGGGGAGGGAGAAGTTCGGGCTGTTGATAGGTTTCAAGGCTTTGGGTGTTCCACATGGCCACTTCGCCCGCCGTAGTCCACGCCATTGTCCGGTCCTGGGCGGTGACGATACCGTACCCGTTGTATTCGATTCTGAACGCCCTATCGCCAGCACATGTGCAGATTAGGTGCCTTTGTATTGAAATTATCATACCGGCCTCGCCGTCACCTTCGCCATCCTCGTTCTCCTGGTCCCCTCCCCCCAGTTTATTACTGCATTTTCAACATCCAACTATCACCCCCACCTTCAACAACTCTCCTACCTTTACTACTCACCTTAAGTCTCGGAGGATGCTGAGGGCATGAAATCGAAAGGAGCCCTGAATTTGTTGCGCTCACAGCTCCTGGCGCTTTTCCATTAGTACCGTTTGATATCGCCTTTAAATTCCCCCATCCGAACTGAGGGGAGTTATGGAATATTGAGTCCCATCAGTGCTTTGAGACAATCTATTATTTCTTTCGAGGTCACTGCCTACGGAATTTTTCTCTCGTTCCAGCTATATTGTTTCTCCCGTCTACGATCTTGAACAAACCTCTTGCGACGCCCTGAACGCTCTCCACGATCAATCCGGATACCCCTTTCGCCTTCCTCGCACCTCGGCATAGATATACATTGCGTATCTGATCAAATCACCGCTACTCGTCCCTGATCGCTGATAATTTGTGAAAATGGCGGATTTGGGGGGCCAACGTAGCCGGAATTACCGGCCTCACGGACCCGCCTCGTCCACGCAGCGGGATGCAGCGTATTCTGACATATTTGGAGGTGCACCACCCGCAGGACGCTCTCATACCATGAATTCGCAGACCCCACAATTCGCCCAGGGTCGTGCTCATACCATGTCGTCGCATGTCGCACAACCTCAATTTCAGAGACCGCCGCCGCCGCCAACACGGCAAATGCCAAATGGACACGGACCGCCATTGGGACCACCAAATGGATATCCTCCACCCCCACCGTCTGGGCAGTACCAGGCCTACAATCCAG